GCTTGAACTAGCTAGGGTTTTGTGCATTCTGTCATAACCACTATGAGTTCACACGGGCGGTGTCCTGAAGATCCTGTTTCCGTGTGGTCATCCGTAGATACTGGGTCTTATACTCTTTCCACAGCCTTCCACAATGATGTCTGAGTCTTAGGAGGAGGCAGTGTGGCATAGATGTCCAGGCCAGGGCTGAGCATCTGTGTAGTCTCTTACACTTTACCTCGACCAGTTGTGAGTGTGCATCAACCAACCACATCTACTGCAAACAGGGACTTCTCTGATGGGAGCTGAGGGATGTGTTCTGTACCCACATCCGCTCTGTTGCTCCGAGACGTTCCCTCGCCAAATGTTTACGAAGCATCTATTCTATGCCCGGCACTGTGGTGTGTCCCACAGATAACGCTAAGAACAAAACAGCCCAGAGCTGCTCTCCTGGAGTTCAGTGCTGGTAGGAGGCACAGCGCCCGCACATTTAGAAGGCTCCAGATTTTATCACGCTACTCACAATGACACAGTTCAAAACCTAGAAGTTGTATTCATTTTTCGAGCTTTACATTCAGTATTTTGAGCCACGGTTGCCCTTGTGTGTCTGAAACTGTGGGAAGCGAGTTCATGGGTAAGGGATAGACTACTGCAGAGTTTCCAACTTGGGACTGCTGTCATCCCAACTGTCTTCCAGAAGTCGGTGGGGACTGCTCCAGTGCCACCTCTAGCTAGCACCATGAGCAGGGAGGGAAAGGTGGGTACCAGAGTACACCTAGGCACCTGGGGGAAGTTCCTGATGCTGGAGCTGTCCTGCTGTCCCTCCTCAGTGCATAGTACACATGTGAGCCAGAAACAGCAGACACACACACTCACACACACACACACACACTCTCACAAACACACACACACACTCACACACACTCACACACTCTCACACACACACGCGCACACACACACACACACACACTCACACCAGACACACACACTCACACACACCACACACACACCAGACACACCAGACACACTCACACACACACTCACTCACACACTCACACACACACTCACACATACACAGTCACATACACACACACACCAGACACAGCAAGCAAGCCCCATTTCCCCTTTCACGCAAATGGCCACCTTACTCACAACCCTTCACTGCTATAAACCTCCTCCGTGGCTCCCCGGTTCCCCCTGAGCTGAGACAAGCTTTGCAGCCTGGCCTTTATGCCAGCGCAATCTAGGTTCTTTTTCTAGGACCGCAGCAGCCTCTCTTCCATCTCCTTTGCAACCTCACCTCAAAATCAGGCGTCTCCCACCTCCCAATCCCAGAGGCACTGCTGCCTCCTACTTTATTTTGCCTAGCTTGTCTCACAGGTGGGAGCTCCCTTCCTGGCCAGTGGTGCCCTGCCTTCCCGCAGAAGCTTCCTCTGCCCTCTCCAGGATGCCCCCCCCCCAGCCTGTTTTGCTCAGGGTCCCTGAAGACGACATCACCAACTCTCCTTTTGTGTCTTTCTTCCTCCACTTCTTCAGTTACTTCTCACCCACCCCCTGTCCCTCCATCGCGTTCCCCCTTATTTTCCCTGGGCCGCTGGACCATCGGTGTGAGGTACAGTAGATTTCTGAGGCAGCTTACAGAGGTAGGAGGCAGAAAAGAGACCGGACAGTGAGTGGCCCCAATAGACTGAATGTTTATTTCAAACATCGAGGGGCTGACGTAGCAGGAAAGGGGTGTCAACCAAAGGAAGAGGATACTTAAGAGTTTTCATAGGAGGTTTGGAAAACGGAGCTACGTGCCAGCCCGCAGTTTCTCCGTCCTGGGATTGTTTGTTCCGACAAGGCTGTTTTATCTTTGGAAGCTACCTTGTCCCAGCTATCAGGATGTGGGTCATAGTGATAGGTTGCATTTGGCAATGGCGATGAGAGGGAAAGGGCTGGAGTTTCAGCACAGGACCCTGGTCAGGATTGGACAGTGTTTGTTCAAGGTTTATTCTAACAAGGCGTACTGATAAACAGAATGCTTGCTTTATTCACTGTGGTCATGGAACAAATGACTCCGCTATCCCGTAACTTCAAGCAAGGCTCACTCTGAGGGCAGAGGATGTAGCTCTGTTGGTAGAGAGCTTGTCTAGGGTCTGATTCCCAGTACTGTGTAAAATATGTAAGTTTTCTTATTTCTTACAATGCCCAATCCGGAAGCCAGGTGGTGGTGGCCCATGCTTTTAATCCCAGCACTTGGAAGCAGAGGCAGATAGGTGGATCTCTATGAGTTCAAGGCCAGTCTGGTCTACAGAGTGAGTTCCAGGACTGCACAGAAAAACCCTGTCTCGGAAAAGGGGGTGGGGGGGGGAAGGATGCTCAGTCAGGAGCCCTAGCATTGTGCAAACCAAGCCTGATGGTGTGAGCCAGTGGTTCCAGACCTTGGATGGGGTAGAATCAGGAGGATCAGGAGTTCAAGGTCATCTCTCAGCTACACAGGGCGTCTGAGCCAGGCTGGGCTACAGGAGACCCTGCTTCAAAAACCAAGTGTTGGAGGTGGAGGGAGGGAGAAAGTGATGGAGAGAGAGGCAGAGAGGAAGCAAGGGAGATCAGGAGGGATTGAGAGAGACCTTTGGTGGATCTTCCCTGGGGAGATCAGATGCCCCTGTGGGCGAGTACTGTCAGCACTTGGGACAGCACCCAGTGCGCACTCATTTCTTCTCGACAAAATCAACCTTGGCAAAGGGTGCACAGGCAGTCTGGAGTTCACAAAGACATTCCATCCACCGTGGGTGTGTCTGGGAATCGGGTAGGAGGCCTGCAAAAGCAGGAGTCTGTTTGCATCTTTTTCTTCGTAACAACCACTTTCCTAGCCAGCCATGCATGTTCTGGGACTCACCGTGGACCAGGTTCATGTGTGCATGCTAGGGGCTGGTAAACTGGCCCATTGCTTGTTTTCTAAATAAAGCTTTATTGCAACACAGCCATGCTGGTTTGTTTGTGTATCATCTGGTTGTTTCCTGCTACGTGGTGGAGTGGCTGTACTCTTAGGACAGTTGAGAATTTGACCAACAGTAGAGATGATGTTTGTCTGCTTGTACACTCAAGGTTATCTTTAACATGGTGAGTTAGAGAGCTGTGTGAGCTACAAGAGGACTGTTTCAAAACAAACAAACAACCCCCCCAAATCAGGCTTTTTTTGGGGGGCACCAAAATCATGACATGGAGACATTGTCAGTTTTTGATGCTTGACCCCAGCTTGTGCTTGTTTCTGGCTAGCTTTTAAAACTTAAATTAGCCTGTTTTTCTTTATCTACCTTTTGCCTCAGCACGGTTTGCCATAGAAGGAAGTCAGGACAGGAAGTCAAACAGGGCAGGAACCTGGAGGCAGGAGCTGATGCAGAGGCCACGGAGGGGTGCTGCTTACTGTCTCGCCTTCAACATTCTTATCTTCCAAGCTTCTACAGAACAGCTTGCTATGGCCTCAGCGCTCAAAGATTTTCTAACCCAGAGTTCTAAGGTATTTTCAAAGTCCTCCCTCAAACACACGGTCAGGTCCGTCACAGCAATGTCCCTACTCCAGGTGCCAATTTTCTTTTCTTTTTCTTTTTCTCATTCTTTTTTTTTAAATTAATTTGTTTTTTTACATTCCAATCCCAGTTCCCCCTCCCTCCTCTCCCCTCCTCCTCCCATCTGCTCCACAGATAGGGTAAGGGAACTGTGAGGGTAGGGACGTAATTCAGGTATAACTGCACTGGGAACACAAGAGGCGCTAAATAATTGTTGCAGGAAGTTATGAGGGAGTGCTCATAGGTTTGCATTAAGGCTGGTTGTTCTTTTTTCTGTTTTTGGAATGACCAATCGTCCCCTGAGCTTGATTTCTTACAATGTCTGGGTCAAGTGTATGCATTGGCAATCCTGTGACTAGGCTTTCAGGAACACCAGATAATTGACATTCCCTCCAGCAGGGAGTTTCCCTCATTCTTGCCAACACTGAATATTTATCATAATTTTCAATGTTGCCAATCTGATAATTGAAAAATATTATCTCATTGTCACCTTCAGGAGGACAAGTGAGATGTCGTTGTGTGCTGGGAAAATTACTACCACAGGATGCATTCCTCCACAGTCTGTACCTCCCCCCCTCAGCTTCCTTTCCTTCCTTCTGTCTTTCTTCTCTCTATCCCGTTCCACCCTGCTCCTAGACACCAAAGCTTCAGTATGTTTTAAACATTTATTTGGTTATTATTATTATTATTATTATTATATTTTTTGGTGTGTATGTGTGTAGGCATGCACATGCCTTGGTGGGAGGTCAGAGGGCAACTTTTGGGAGTTGGTTTCATTTTTCCACCATGTGAGTTCTAGGGATGAAACACAAGTTGCAAAGCTTGTATAACAAGTTCCTTTACTCAGTGAGCCATCCCACTGGGCTCCGTACGTCGTTTTAAAGTCCTTCTTTTCCTTCAAATCCAGGGTCCAGGCCCCAGCTTCCTTCCTCAAACCCGGGAGACCACACCCACCGGTCCTCGCTTAGACACAAGACCTCACCCCTCCTTCCCCAGACTCAGGGATCCCAGAAAGAGACCTATGCAGGAAGTGCTATTGTTAAATGTTATGTAGAGGTGGAAGCTCATGATTCGTTCTACGTGATTTCGCTGTCTGGAAATAAATGGTAATGGTTGGTACCATGTCGTGCACCCCCTCCCCCGCCCCGCATGTTTCTCTGTGTAATAATGGATCTCCTTCTGTAGACCAGGCTGGCCTCAAACCCAGAGATCCTCCTGCCTCTATCTCCGGAGTGCTGGGGTGTAGCTCCCAGCTGTTTAAAACAAAAACAACAAACAAACAAAACCAAAACCACCCCCCACCACCCACCCCCGCTTGGATTGGTTGAGCGTGACATTTGCTGCTGCTGGCACGCCCGTCAACCTCCTGAAACTACGATTCCCAGCATTCAGTGCGTCGCGGGCCTGCCTCCAAGCCCCGCCCCCACGTCTGGCCCCGCCCCGCCCCAGGGCGTCGTGATCTGGGAAGGCTGCGTCCTTCCACTTGCACGCACGTGGGTTTCTGAGCCCCGCATCGGAGCGGCGAGGGGTGCAGGTCCGCCCACACGCTGCCCCCCCCAGCCGGGCATGAACCGCTTTCTGCTGCCGGTGTCCGTAGTGGGCACGGTGATCGGCGGCACCGTGCTGCTCAAGTGAGTCCGTGTGCGCTCGGTGCAAGGCCTGCGGCAGGGGACTGCCCAGCAAGGCCCGAGAAGGGTCCTTTAGCCCCAGTCCTCACTCCTGGAGTCTCCCAGCTTACTTACCCCCCCCTGCACCGCCTTTCCGGACCGAGCTGCAGGGCGCGTCACCTCCCCAAGGTCACCCAGGGAGAAGGGGTGGGGTCGGGATCTTGTGCAGTTTTTGTGTCTGCACCGCTTACTACTTTCCCTCTCCTCCCCTTCCCTTCCCGGTCCGCTCTTCCCGTCGGCCTCCTTTTCCCCCTTTCGTCCCTCTCTCTCCCCTTCCTTCTCTTTCATCCCTTGCGTTTTTGAGACAAGGTCTCACTGTGCAGCCCTGGCTGGCCTAGAACTCATTACGTAGACCAGGCTGACTGAATTTACGGAGATCCATCCACCTGCCTCTGTCTGTCTGAGTGCTGGGATCAAAGCCGTGCCAGGTGCCACCACGCACGGCTTACATTTGTGGATTTTTAAAATTTTGGCTTGTGTGCGCGCGTGTGCCACGCTTTCTGAGGTTGGAAGAGGGTGTCAGATCCCCTGGAACTGGAGTTGTGGCTGGTTGTGAGCCACCGCGTGGGCGCTGGGAACTGAATCTGGATGGAGCCCTTCCTGCTAAGACGTCTCTCCAGCCCCACAGCTGTGTACAGTGCATTCTGACCATATATACTTCCCACTCATGTTCTCACACTCCCTGGACCCCTTCTGACACATCCTCCTTCCAAGTTCACGTCCTTTGTTATTTTGAGACAAGGTGTCATGTAGCCTTGAACTTGAACTTGCTGTGTAGTTGAGGATGGCCTTGAACTCCTGATCCTCCTACCAATGCCTCCCCTGTGCTGGGCACCGTGTGTTTTGGTTCTCGGGTAGGGGAATGTGAGCTCAGAAGGGTGGTTAGCCCCAGATCATAAATCCAGGCATGAGGCAGACAGAATTCACTCTGCTGTTTCCCACCCTCAGGGACTATGTGGCCGGTGGAGCTTGTCCCAGCAAGGCCACCATACCTGGGAAGACTGTCATCGTGACCGGAGCCAACACAGGTATCGGGAAACAAACTGCACTGGAGCTGGCTAAGAGAGGTGAGAACCACCCGCTTTGGGGTTCTGGAGAGGTTCGTTCACACTGGTGTGTGTGGCAGCCCTGATTAAAATTGCTCAAAGGTGGGAGCTCAAAGGTGTGGTCCGTCCACACCCTGGAATATTTTGTTAGAGTAGTTACATTCTTCTTCTTTAAAAAAAAAATTAATAAAACCTATTTTTATTATGTAGTGTATATATGTTGGAGTGGGACGGGTTTGAACTTTGCCACTGTGTGTTTGTGTGTATGTGTGTGTGTGCGCGCGCGCGTGTGTGTGTGTGTGAGTGTGTGTGTGCGCGCGCGCGCGCGTCGTGTGAGTGTGCGCACGTGTGTGCGCGCGCGCGCGTGTACATATGTACATGCTTGTGGAGGGCAGAAGACAGCCTGCGGTGCCATTTCTCAGAACATCAGAATAACAACAGCTCTAGACTCATTTGCACTTTCCCATATGTCCCCAAAATGTTGTTTCCATCTTCCCACCTGTTCTTAAAATACTACATGACCCTGAAGATGCCTTCATCCTTTATTCCTCACCCGTTACACCCTGATCTTCCCTGCCACCCCAGCTCCAGGAAACCCGTGTTTGCTCTCTATTTCGGGGGTTGTCTGTTCTGGACAGTTCATGTTACTGGAAGTGTGTATGAATTTGTTTTGTTTTGTTTTTCGAGGCTGGGTTTCTCTGTAGCTTTTGGAGCCTGTCCTGGAACTCACTCTGCCAACCAGGCTGGCCTTGAATTCAAAGAGATCCGCCGCCTGCCTCTGCTTCCTGGGTGCTGGCATAAAGGCGTGCGCCACCAACGCCTGGTGCATGTATGCATTTTGTGTCTGACACACAAGGTCCATTCACTGTGTCATATGTCAGTGTGTCTTTCCCTTTTATGGCTGAACAATATGCTGTCATATGGGTACACTACAGTTGGTTTATCTATTGACTAGTGAATGGTCCTTTGTGTATGTGTGCTGGGGATTGACCCCAGGGTTTCTTGTTTGGTAGTCAGCTGCTCTACCACTGGGGTATTCTAGGCAGGGGCTCTACCACTGAGCCACACCCCAGTCCCTCACTGGGTAGGCAGGGGCTCTACCACTGAGCCACAGCCCAGCCCCTCACTGGGGAGGGGCTCTGGGGGCCCCCCCCCCCCCCCACGAGCCACACCCCAGCCCCTCACTGGGGGATTCTAGGCAGGGGCTCTACCACTGAGCCACACCCCAGCCCCTCACTGGGGGATTCTAGGCAGGGGCTCTACTATTGAGCTATGTTCTCAGCTCCTCTTTTGGGGATTGCGGGCAAACTCTTTACCATGGAGCCATGCCTTCAGCCCTGTACTGGTAGATTTTTACTTTTTGAGATAGGGTCTTACTAAATTGCCCAGGCAAGTCCTAAACTCTTTCTGTAGCCTAGGCAGGCCTTGACCTTGCTTCCTCCTACCTCAGCCCCCAGAGTCACTGCCAAGCCCAAGTAACTGGGTTTCCACCTTTTGGTTATTGAATATATTACTAAGATTGCTTGTATACAGATTTTATGTGGGTGCGTGCTTTTATATCTGTTGGATAGATATGTAGGGATTGGTTTGTTTCCTGTTTCTTTTCATGTTTTCTTCTCCTGGGCATCCAGGAGGCAACATCATTCTGGCCTGTCGCGACATGGAGAAGTGTGAGGCGGCCGCGAAGGACATCCGTGGAGAGACCTTGAATCCCCGTGTACGCGCCCAGCACCTAGACTTGTCTTCCCTCAAGTCCATCCGAGAGTTTGCTCAGAAGGTCATCAAAGGTAGGCAGGAGGACACTTGATATTTCCAGCCAAGGTTCGGCCCTTCCAGCCAGCTCTCTGGGGAGCCCAAAAGCCAGTCAGTTCTGGAGAACAGGCGGTCGACATGGTCTACTGGCTGAATTCGGCTGCCCCGTTTTACTGTCGTTTTTTGTACGATCGACTGTGCCTGCTCGTGAGAGTCCGTCATTGTCCGCCGTGTGGCCTGTTAGCACTCCCTCAGAGTAGGAGGGGGTGGCGGTTTGGATCAGGATGGCTTCCGTAGGCTCTTAGTTTCCAATGCTTGGTCCCTGGGTAGTAGAACTGTTTGAGAGGGATCAGGAGGTGTGGTCTTGTTGCAGGAAGTGTGCCCCTAAGGGTGGGCTTTGCGGTTCCAGAAGCCTACGCCATTCCCAGTTAGCTCTCTCCGCCTTATGGTCGTGGCTCAGACGTGAGCTCTTGCCTGTCTGCTGTCATGTTGATGTCCGTGGACTCACCCTCTGAAACCGTGAGCCTCAGATAAACTCTTCCCTCTATATGTTGCCTTGGTCATGGTGTCTTAGCGGGGCCATAGGAAGGTAACTTAAGACAGAGGGGTTGGGGGAGGGGTCGTTGGACCCTCATCTGAGTGTCTAGACTCCCCTCCCAGCCTATCTGCATATAGTTTTCCTCTGATTGCACATGGCCTCTGGGGGGCTGGGGAAGGGAGTGAGATGCAGAGGCTGGGGATGGTTAGCGGGGAGGGGAGCCATCTGTGTGGCCATGAACTTTGAGCTTCCATGCTTTGGGATCATCTATACTCCTGCCTACAGCCCCTTTCTATAGTCTGTAAGGAAGCCCAATAAACTAACGGGGTTTCCAGGGAGAGCTTCGTGGAATGGAATTTTGCCCTGCCGTTGGGACCTTAAAAATATTATCATTTTATCTTAAAGAATTTTTAAAAAATTTTTATTTATGTGTATGTGTGAGTGCCCTCAGATACGAGAAGAGGGTGTTGGATCCTCTTGGGCTAGGATTACAGGTGGTGGTGAACCTTTCTTTGTGCTCCTCTGGAGGAATATCAAAGGCGTGTAACCACAGTCATCTCTCCAGCCCCTCTGTGGGACTTTGCAAGGAGGGAAAGGAAGTAGGCATGGTTTGTAGAGTTTGGGCAGCTCAGACCTCTGAGTTCACCCTTTCCTAGTGGAGGCTCCCACTGTTTCTAGAGCTAGGAAGAGGGGCTCTCTGGGTCCTCTCTGGTTGTTACAGCCACAAGGGTCATGCTGAATACTTGTGTCCTTGCTGGGAGTCTGGGCAGGTTGTCTGTTTGGGTGGCTGGAGTAAAGAGCCATAGTCTGGGTGATGAGTAGCAGCAGACATTTCCCCCTTACTGTCGTGTAGGCTTGAAGAGCAAGATCTGTGTAAATGGAGAAGGAGCAAGCCATGGCACACCTTACCTCCTCAGCATCTCAGAAGACGAGAGGGATTTCCTGTTTCTCCATGCATATGTCCTGTGTCTGCCCTGCTACCTCACTTCCTGCCCGTCTGTACAGACCTCCAGATCTCTCTATGGTTAGCTAGTGGCAAGCTCCATCCTCTGACCCCCCCAGACATATGTATATGTGTATGAACACATGCAACTATGAACACACACACACACACACACACACACACGCACGCACGCATGCACGCACACACACACACATACACAATTGGGTCACACAGGTCAGAGCTGACAAGACTCAGATCTGCAGCTTGCTAGCTGGAGGCCTGGTGGATGCAGTTCCTGCCCAGAGGTTGCAGGCTCCAGACTGGGTTGAGTCTGAAGGCAGGAGAGAGCCGGTGCTCCAACTCAAAGGCCTTGGATGGAAGAATGTCTCTGCTATGTTTGCAGAGGGTCAGCCTCTGTTCTGAAGACTAGGTGAGGTCCACCCACATTAGGGAGGGCTGTCTGCTTGCTAAACAGTTTGTTGATGTAAATATTAAATCTTTTCCAAAACTTAATTTTGACCAACTATCTGGGCATCCTGTGGCCCATCTGTGTGGACATCTAAAATGTAACATTTCATCCAGTCTTACCATATTCTTTCTCTCTTTCTGTCTATATCTGTCTGTCTGTTTAATCTTTCTCTCTCTCTCTGTATAAATTTCTATGTCTATAAATTTGTTTATAAATTATTGTGTGTATATGCATACACACACACATATGTAAATTTATTGTGTGCATGTTTGTGGGCACACATGCATGCTTTGGCTCACATGTGGGAACCAGAGGACAAGTGACAGGAATCAGTTCCTTTCTACCTTTACATGGATCCCAGGGATTGAACTCAGGTCGTCAGCCTTGGTAGCATGAGCCTTTACTTACAGAGTCCCCAGTCTTATATTATTATAATGATAATTATTATTTTTTAAATAAAATCTCACTATGTAGCACCTCACATAGATCTGCCTGCTTCTGCCTTCTGAGCTGGGATTAAAGGTGTGAAACTTACCACTGCTCTTCCCTTTACCACTTTAAAAAATAAATTACTTTAAGAATGTAAAGATTTTCATTTATTTACTTTTTGAGAACCTGAGTGGCCTGGAACTTACTGTGTCGATGGGCTGGCCTTGAACTCTTCTGAGTGCTGGGATTAAAGGTGTGCACCTCCACACCTGGTCCTTACCCCATGTTAACTCCTTGCATTGCACATAGCAGCTCCCTGGGTCAGGAGTTCAAGATGCTCTTTAAAATTTTTTTTTTTAAATTTTTGAGACAGGGTCTTATTATACCATCTCAGCTGGCCTCAAACTCAAAAATCCTCCTGTCACAGACTTTCTGAGATCTGGCATTACAAACATGCACTGCCATGTCAGCTAACGTGCATTTTTGTTACTCCTCTTCTGTCCCCACTTGCTGGGAATAGAACCTAGGACCTTGTGAATTCTGAGGCACACCCTCAGCCCTTTAGTGATTGATTCTAGGCAGGGGCTTTACCACTGAGCCACGCCCCCAGCCCCTCACTGGGGGATTCTAGGCAGGGGCTCTACCACTGAGCCACGCCCCAACCCCTCACGGGGACAGGCAGGGGCTCTACCACTGAGCCACGCCCCAGCCCCAGGGGCTGGGGGTCCACGGCGGGGGCCGGGCCAGGGCCGCGCGCCCCCCCCCTCACTGGGGGATTCTAGGCAAGTGCTTTATTCCTGAGCTCCATTTTCACTCAGTCCCACCATACCTTTTTTAGGTGTTCAACCCAGGGCAGATCTGACTATGCAGGATGATGGATGGGCACCACAGGATGGTGGGGATGTGTCACAGTTATTAAAAACACGGCATCCGTGATGAGGGAAGACAGGAGTCAAAGGGAGGATCAAGAGTCAGATCTGGGGAGTGGTACGCAGCGCTGCAGTGGACCAGTTGGCAAGGCTAGCATCTGGATGAGGCTGTGCTCACTGCAGAATCATGTCTGCAGAGAAGGCCAGGATGCCGGCTCATCTTGCTCCCGGGTTCCTGGTGATGCTAAGGACACAGATGAGTCAGAAGGGCCCGTGTGTCAGGTCAGGGATGATCCGTGTGCTGCTGGAGGGCAGTGCCTGGGGCTCTTTTTTTGTTGAGTGTCCTTTGATAATCCCAGGGCTCAGCTGGCAAATTCTGTGTTTCTGTCTCACAGAGGGCTGACTCACTGCCCCCTGCTTTCCTTCCAGATGTCAAAGCTGTCTGTCAGGTGTCAGTGTTTTGAATAGGAGCCTAGCTTGAAGCAACTGGAGTTAGGGAGTACAAAACACATTCATTGTGGTAGCTTCCTTAACTTAATTTATTATTTATTTATTTATTTATTTGATTTTATGTGTGTCTCCCAGCACTCCAGAAGAGGGCACCAGATCTCATTACAGATGGTTGTGGGTGCTGAGAATCAAACCCAGGTCCTTTGGAAGAGTAGCCAGTGTTCTCAGCCTCTGAGCTGTCGTCTCCCCAGATAAATTTTTATCTTTTTAAAATTAATTTTTATCTAAATTTAAAACAATCTTATTTTACTTACCAATCTCAGTTCCCTCCCATCCCCCCCCACGCCTCAGGGAGGGTGAGACCTCCCATGGGGGGGTCATCAAAGTCTGACATCATTTTGGGGAGGACCTAGGCCCTGCCCCGTGTATCTAGGCTGAGAGACTGAGTATCCCCCCATAGGGAATTTGTGCATTTGTGCATTAGGGATAAATACTGATCTACCAGAGGCCCCATAGACTGTCTAAGCCCCCACCCCCCCAGGTGACACCCACATGGATTGGTCCCATGCTGGTTCCCAGCTGTCAGTCTGGTGCCCGTGAGCTCCCAGTTGCTCAGGTCAGCTGATTCTGTGGGTTTCCCCAGCATGGTCCTGACCCCTTTGCTCATCACTCCTTCCTCTTCACAGCTGTATTCCAGGAGTTCAGCTCAGTGCTTAGCTGTGGGTCTCTGCTTCTGCTTCTGGATGAAGGCTCTAGGATGACATTTAAGGTAGTCATCATTCTCATTATAGGGGAAGGGCGTTTAAGGCAGCCTCTCCACTGTTGCTTAGATTCTTAGTTGGGGTCATCCTTGTGGGTTCCTGGAGATTTCCCTAGTGCCAGGCTTCTCATTAAGCCTGTAATAGTCCCCTCTATTCAGGTATCTCTTTCCTTGCTCTCCTTCTCTGTTCCTCCCCCAACTCTACCTGCCTGACCCCTCATGTTCTCCTCTCCCCTCCCCTCCCCCCTCCTCTCCCTCCTCCCTCCCCTCTCCCTCTGTGCTCCCAATTTACTCAGGAGATTTTGTTCCTTTCCCCTTCTCTGGGGGTCCATGCATGTCTGTCTTAGGGTCCTCCTTGTTTCCCAGCTTCTCTGGAGTTGTGGATTGTAGGCTGACAATCCTTTGCTCTATGTCTCATATCCGCTTATGAGTGAGTACATGCCACATTAGTCTTTCTGTGTCTGTTCCCTCACTCAGGATGGTTTCTTCTAGTTTCATCCATTTACCTGTGAATTTCAAGATGTCACTGCTTTTTTCCATTGTGTAGATGTGCCACACCTTCTTTATCCATTCTTCAGTTGAGGGGTGTCTAGTTTGCTTCCAGGTTCTGGCTATCACAAATAATGCTGCTATGACCATAGTTGAACAGATGTCCTTGTGGTATGAATGTGCATCCTTTGGGTATATGCCTAAGAATGGAATTGCCGAGCCCCTCATTAACTTTTTTTTCTGGTTAGTTTATTTTTATTTTGAAGACAGGGTTTCTCTGTGTAGCTCTGGCTGTCCTTGAACTCACAGAGATCCACCTGCCTCTCCCTAGTGGTGGAATTAAAGGCATGTGCCACCACTCAGCCTTTGTTAACTTTTAATTACATTTAATCTCTTGATCTATTAATCTGTGTGTGTGTGTGTGTATGTGTATGTGTGTGCGCGCACACGTGTGTACATGTGTGTGCCTAGGCATGTGTGCCGTGGCATCAGCAAGCACCTTTGCCCGCTCTAAGCATTTCTCCAGCCCATCTGTTTCCTGCATGGCTGCCATTGGTGAGTTCTGTACTTTTTAGTTCTGTTTAATTATGCGCATGTCTGTCTGTGGGTATATGAATGTGAGTGGATTGGATCTCCCTGTAGCTGGGGTTGTGAGTGGTGTGGGTGCTGGGAATCAATCTGAACTTGTGTCCTCTGCAGGAGCAGTCTGTGGTCTCAGCCACCAAGCTGCCTCCAGCCCAAGAGAGTTGCGTTTCATTTGCTTTTCTGTTAATAAATCCACTTCTCAGCCCGAGAACCCTTCAGTGGTTAGAACTCATTGACAAGTGGCAGAGCCCTCTCCTGTGTGTATCTGGTTCTCAGTGATGCTGGAATGCCCGTTTCAGGAAGGCAGTGACCTCGACTCTCCTGTCCACCCTGTATTTCCAGTGCCCAATTATAGGTGCTTAGAGAATACTTGTTGACCGAATAGTAATTACATGATTCTACCAGGCAGGTACTATTATCGTTTTAATCAAGGAAGAAACTGAGTTGGAGGGAAGCTATGTGAGCTGGCCAGTGTCAGAAATCTGGTCAGGTTTTTATTTTTGAGATAGCCTCACTCTGTATGTAGCCCAGGCTGGCCAGGATTAGAGACATAAGCCACCATATCAGGCTTTCAATCTAAGATGTGAACCCCTGTCTGTCCGGTTCCAGATGTGGTCCATTCCCACCCCCTTCCCCTCCCCAGCACTGGGAATCAAACCCAGGACTTTGCAGACATGTCATAGTTGGTCGTCTACGTGTCAGGTCCTAGAATTATCCAAGAGTTGAACTTCTGGGCATGTCTGTGAGGAAGTTTCTAGATTAGGTTACTTGGGAAGACCTGCCCTAGCTGTGGGCAACATCATCCCTTGGGCTGGGGTGCTGGACTGATTAAAATGGAGACTCCATCTGAGCATTTATCTCTGTGCCGGGATTAAAGGTATGTGGCACTGGACCCAGCAGCGATTTATCTTACTTTAGTAACTTACTCATTTTCGGATACATATATCAGTGTGTGTCTGTTTGTGCATGTGGGGGCTGGTGCCTGCAGAGACCAAGGGAGGGCAGTGGATGTCCTGGAGCTGGAATTGCAGGTGGTTGTGACTCCTGATGTCGGTGCTAGGAACTGAATCCCTGTCCTCTGCAAGAGCAATGTGGGCTCTTAACCTCGGCCATCTCTCTAGCCCTGCGACAAGGTTTTGCTTTATTACCCTGGCTGGCCTTGAACTTGCCAGCCTCCTGCCTCAGCCTCCCCAGTGGCTTGGAGTTTGTGTCTGGTGTCATAGATCCTGTTCCCCCACAAAGTCAAGAAAGAGAGCCTTGTCCCCGTCCCCGTCTCTTAGGTGCTAGGCACCCAATTCCTTATCCGCACTGAAAAGCCCTTGGAAGTGTTATGGATTCAGTTTCATCTCTGTGTGGGAGGCTCTGACTCCTAGGATCTCAGAAGGTGACCTCGTTTGGGGGTAGGTGTGAGGGCATCAGGATAGGTCCTAGGTCAGTATCCCTGGTGTCATCGGTGTCATCATCATGGGAACTGAGACACAGAGGGCTAAGGATGATGGGAAGAGACATAGGGAGGAGCTGGTTGTTCCCTTCTTCAGCCCTAGTTGGACCAGCTCTTGCTTAGGTCCTGATCCAGTGTCTGAGTCATCCATTTCTGATTTTTCAAAGAGTTATTTGCTTTTATTTTATGCACATGAGTACTTTGCCCGCACGTATATAGTGCCATGTTCATGCTTGGTGCCCAAGGAGGCTAGAAGGCGGCATTGGATCCCTTAGAACTGCAGATGTGCACAGTTTGGTGAGCCACTGTCTGCCTCAGCTCAGGTTCTGTTGCTGTGAAGAGACCCCATGATCAACAGCAAGTTGGGGAGAAAAGGGTTTATGTGGCTCACACTTCCACATCGCAGTCAGCCACTGAGGGCAGTCAGGACAGGAACGCAAGCAGTTCTGGAACCTGGAGGCAGAAGCCGATGCAGAGGCCATGGAGGAAGCTGCTAACTGGCCTGCCTCCCCTGGCTTGCTCAGTCTGCTTTCGTATAGAGCCTGGTGCCACCAGCCTAGGACAGCACCACCCACAACGGGCTGGCCCCTCCCTCACTGGTCATTAATTAAGAAAATGCGCTACAAGTTTGCCTACAGTTTGATCTTATGAAAACATTTTCTTACCTGAACTTTCTTCCTTTCTGATGGCTCAAGCTTGAGTCAAGTTAACGTAAAACTACCCAGGGCAGCTACCAGAGGGGTCTGGGAACCGAACCCAGGTTCTCTTCAAAGTCAGCATGTGGTTTCGCCAACCCCAACTTCTGTTGTTTAAGTTGCTTGGGTTGTAGTGTTTTGTGATGTCAGGCAGAACAGATGTCTCTTTTAGGAACAGTATGCACTCTTAACTGCAGAGCCATCTCTCCAGTTCCTATTTGTTTGTTTATTTCTGGGCCAACGTGTCTAGCCCAGGTTGTCCTTGAACCCCCCTATGCAACCTGAGGATGACATCAACCTTCTGGTCCCCTTGCCTCCTCCTGAGTGCTTGGATTTCAGGTGTTGCCACACACCTGTTTTATGTGGTACTGGGGATAGTAGTTGGGGTCTGGTGCCTGGTAGACAAACACTTTCCCAACTGAGCTAGATCCACAGCCCCGAGGGCCTCACTTTAACTAGATCACTTCTCTGACCATCTTACTTCCAGTCAAGCTTATGTGCTGAGCTACCCGGGGTCAGGCTCAGTCTGTGGCTGTGGGACTATGACGTAGAGGCAGCTCACATCATGGCCAACCAGTATGCAAGCAGAGTGGGGGCTAGAACCCAGGGCACTTTGGTGACTTCCAAGACCCTTCCTCAGCAACCAGATTCTACCAGTCAGTGCCCGACACTCTAGTCTTTGTGCCTGTTGTCACAGGACTTACTTCCTCCCTCTGTGCCTGATCCTGGCTGGTGTCCCGTAGGAGGGACATTAGCCCGCCCTGTTGCATCAAGGCCCATTCCATGATCTTATCTGAGTGGCATTCGATCATCTCTGCAGAGATCCTGTTTCCCAAAGTGTCCACCTTCTCAGGCGCCAGGTAGCCAGGAATGTCCCACCCCCAGGCAGGGGTGGAGTCCATCCTCGGCCCTGACGTGTCTGTCCTCACCCATGTCTCCTAGAGGAGGAGCGAGTAGACGTTCTGGTCAACAATGCGGCCGTGATGCGGTGCCCACACTGGACCACTGAGGATGGCTTTGAAATGCAGTTTGGTGTCAACCACCTGGGTGAGGTCTGGGCTGAGGGCTGGATGGTTTTACCCGGGATGAGAGTGAGTTCTCGACGGGGAGACGCCCACTCTGGGGGTGGGGGTGGGGTCTTTTAAAGTGTATTAATGTGTGTGTCTGTCCCACGGGCTGGGTGAGTCTTCACTTTTCTTTCTTGTATTGTAAAAATTAGTTTTTAGACGGTAGTTTCGCATGTATGTGTCCTTACGCCTTAGTCTCAGTTCTTACTCTTGCCCCCGCCCTTCCCCCCGCCCTTCCCCCCGCCCTTCCCCCCGCCCTTCCCCCCGCCCTTCCCCCCGCCCTTCCCCCCGCCCTTCCCCCCGCCCTTCCCCCCGCCCTTCCCCCCGCCCTTCCCCCCGCCCTTCCCCCCGCCCTTCCCCCCGCCCTTCCCCCCGCCCTTCCCCCCGCCCTTCCCCCCGCCCTTCCCCCCGTTACGCTCTGTCATGGTTTTGCTTTTGCGGCTGTGCTGAAACACCCTGGCAAGGAAAGCAGCTCAGGGCACAGTCCCATCACTTCGGGGAGTCAAGGCAGCTGGCACTTGAAATGGCACCGACCACTTTCAGGGATCACAGTCTTAAGGTGCCCGCCTGCAGACAAGGCCACAGCCAGCACGGCCTGGGCCGCTCCTCTCTGAGGCTGTGTTTCCAGGCGAGGTTGTGCCAGATTGATTGACAGTGGAAACGACCGTATCGTCTGTCCCTGCTGGTTCTCTCTCGCTCTCCTTAAAAAAAAAAAAAAAAGATTTATTTTTATTGTGTGTATCTGTGCATCACATGCCTGCCTGGTGCCTTCTGAGGCCAGAAGAGGGTGTCAGATCCCTAATACAGGAGTTGTGAGCGTCCATGTGGGTGCTAGGAATTGAGCCTGAGTCCTCTGAGGATCAGCCGGTGCCCTTAACTGCTGAACCGTTTCTCCAGCTCTGATTTCAATTTTGTTTATGGCCTATTTCTCCATTACATATATCTATCTATTTCTTTAATTTTTTCCTCAGACAGGTGGTTATGCACACCTTTAATACCCTGTCTTGAAAAAACAAAACGCGCACACACACACACACACACACACACACACACACACACACACACAAAGAAAAAAGAAAAATCAACTGAACGTAAATTTAAGTTTTTTTTTTTTTTGTTGTTTTCCTCAGAAACACCAAACATCTCCAAACAAAATATCATAAGTGGGTGAGGATATAGGAAGAGGACGGTCATGCTACTGCTGGGAATGAAAATGAAAACTGTGGGTCTTGCTGGTAAAGAGCACTGGCTGCTCTTGCAAAGGGCCTGGGTTGAATTCCCACCATTCCCACGGCCTCTCAAACATCTATAGTTCCAGTTCCAGGGGATTCTCTGCCCTCTTGTGGCCCCCAAGGGTATTGCATGCATGTTTTACATAGATACATAGGCAGACAAAACACTCATACTACACACACACACACACACACACACACACACACTATATGTAAAGTAAAATAGTCACTGGAAAAAAGTGTTTTCTTGTCATCCTTCATCCAGGTCACTTTCTGTTGACAAACTTGCTGCTGGACAAGCTGAAGGCCTCGGCCCCTTCGCGCATCATCAACCTGTCATCTCTGGCTCACGTTGCTGGGCACATAGACTTTGATGACTTGAACTGGAAGACGAAAAAGTATGACACCAAGGCAGCCTACTGCCAGAGCAAGTTGGCCGTTGTCCTCTTCACCAAGGAGCTGAGCCGCCGGCTGCAAGGTGTGCACGTGGAAATCTTTTCTGTCCTTCTTCCCTTCCTCTCTGTGCCTGGAATAGTTTCATCGCTCTGAGGTGGTGGAGAAAGGGCAAGCAGTAGCTTTAGACACTGTCGGCAAAAGGATGGCACCTGCACCACCATGCTCCTTCCAGTGCCGGAGGCAGACATCACTAGTAGATCATGGTTGTAATGATTGCTCTTTAGTCTCAATCAGCCTGCCTTCATCAGACATGCTTTCTAAGCCAGTGGTTGTGAACTGGGAGTGGTTTTTGTCCCCAGGGGACATGTGACAATGTTTGCAGACATTCCTGTCACAACTGGGTTAGTGAGAGGTTGCTCTTGGCATCTAGTGGGTTGAATTCAGGGGTCCTCCTGGGTGGTTCCCCAATTCCTTCCAATCTGATAGAAGGGGTGTAGTGTCAGGGATGAAAAAGCTTTCCCTGGCTTCTTGCTTCTCAAAAGTTGTCTGTGGTCATCAGTGCCAGCCCGCTGGCATCTTAGATCCCACTCCAGTCCCCGGCTTTAGACTCTTGGGGGCAGTGGGTCTATGTATCCAGCCTCCAGGGCTGCTGTGCTTGTGGAAGCCACATGACAGAGCCGCCTTGTAAGAGGAAGCCACTTCAGACGGAGGTTTCAGAGCACAGAGGATAATGTGGGTTCAAGTGTGGGAGACAGCGTAGGACCCGGAAGATGTGGAGTGCACTGGCGGCTGCGGCAGCCTTCCAGGCAAGGGGCCAGCCCCGTCTTTTTCCACTAGTCTTTCCGTGTGCATATTTTTGTGCATGAGCATGAAGTGTGGTGGTGTGGTGGTGTGTGTGTGTGTAAGTCAGTGAGTGGGCAATGGTGGGTGTCATCCACATTGTGGTTTTTTTTGGAGACAGTGTCCTCTCCTTGGCCTGGAGCTCACCTCCTAGGCTAAGCTAGCTTCAGTGAGCCCCTGGGATCTACCCGTCTCTGCCTCCTCAGCACTCACTAGGGATTAGACGCCCACACTGCCACAGGCGTGCGTGCGTGCGTGCGTGCCTTTTGACCTGTGTTGTGGGCATCAAACTCAGGACCTCCTGCTTATGTGGCGAGCTCTTTAACAGCTGCGCTACCTATCTTCCTACCACTCTACGGTCTCTTTTTCCCAGGCACAGGTGTGACGGTTAATGCTCTGCACCCGGGTGTGGCCAGGACAGAGCTGGGAAGACACACAGGCATGCACAGCTCTGCCTTCTCCAGCTTCACGCTTGGTGAGTCCCCTTTCAGCTTGGTGTTCCCTCACAGAGCCCTCTCCCTGTGTCATCTCAGCTGGGGGTCCAGCACTTTCCCTCAGAGACTGTCTCTGGAACCGGTTACGTAGACCAGGCTGGCCTTGAACTCACTGAGATCTGCTTGCCTCTGCCTCCCGAGTGCTGGGATTAAACAAGTGTGCCATCAGGCCTGTCAGTTTTTCCCCCTCATCATGACCTTGTATACACTAGGCTGGACTTGAACTCATTGTGTAGGTGAGGCTGGTCTTAAACTTCCGATCGTCTCACCTTTTGAGTGCTGGGATTACAGGTGTGTGCCACCATGCCTGCCTGATGGCTCCATGTCTTTCCACCCTCTCCCATGTCTTGCTGGGATAGATGGGGCATTATCCTATGTGGTTCTAGGCTCAGATCGACGGAAAGCAGGCTAGAGACACATTGATAAATAACAAAGCTGTCATGGTGGAGGAGGGGTGGATAGGCGTAGTAGAAGGGAGATGGAGGGAGGAAACAGGAGGAGAGGAGAGAGAGGAAACGGTGGTTGGTATGTAAAATAAATGAAAAAAGTTGAATAAAAAACCCCAAAATGAACACAAAACAAACAACAAACAAAAAAAGGAAACTGTCTTGGAGGATAAGTCTTGAGCTGACTCCCCGAGTCAGGCTGTGCACAGGGTAGCATCAGCTTCCCCCAGAATCAAGTCACCCAGGGAAGCACATCCTCCAGTTTTAATGGCATCTTGCCGTGTAGACCAGGTTGGCCGTGAGCTTGTGATCCGCCTGCCTCCCGAGTGCGAGGGTCCCAGACACCCCTCACTATGCCTGTTGCTTTGAGTCGCAGTCTCCTTATCTGCGTGTGAGGTCCGTGATCGGCTTGTCCTTACAGTCACTGGGAAGATGAGGTAAAATTATCCAGGCCTGCACAGTGCCTGGCCAAGAATGTAGCTTGACCCGCAGCCAAACATTAGGCAGGGAGAGCCTAAACGGGAGGTCTCCATCGAGTCCCCCTTCCCTCCTTGGCGCTCAGGGAACCCCTCAGAAGAGGGAGAAGGAAGACTGTTGTGGCCAGAGGGCGGAGGACACTAGGAGAGTAAGCCTCATGGAGCAGGGCTCGGCTCACAGAGACTGGAGCAGCAATCACAGCCTGCATGGGTTTGTGCTAGGCCTTCAGTATACTTGTTAGGATTGTTAGCTTGTTATTTTTCCCCCATGGGACTCTTATCGTTAAGAGTGGGGGTGTCTCTGACTATTTTGCCTGCTCTTGGGACCCTTTCCCCCTACTAAGTTGCCTCGTCCAGCCTTGATGAGAGGGTTTGTGCCTACTCTTATCGCATCTTGCTGTGTGGTGTTCAGTTGATGTCCCTGGGAGGCCTGCTCTTTTCTGAAGGGAAGCGGAGGAGCAGTGGATCTGGGGCAGAGGATGGGGAGCAGTCTGGGAGGAGTGGGGGGAGGGGAAACTGTAGTCGTCATGTGTGAGGGAAGAATTTAAAAAATTAAGAGTGTGGTCCGAGTCAGTAGAGCATTGTAACTGGTGTTTATTATCCCCGAGAGCCGTTCAGTGGGCATGTGTCAAGAACTTTGACACGAGAATACCTTGAGACACGTCTGTTAAATTGAGGGCTGGAGACGTAGCTCAGTTGGCAGAATGCTTGGCTCGCGTGCCATACGGCTCTGGGTTTGGTCCCCGGCACGGTGTAAAATCAAACATGATGGTGTATGCTTTCCAATGCTCTGGAGGTGTAGGGAGGAGGATAAGAAGTTTAAGGTCATCTTTGTCTGTATAGTGGGTTCAGGGCCAGCCTAGGCTGCGTGTGTCCCTGTCGAAGAAGAAGGAGGAGGAGGAGGAAGAGGAAGAAAAAAAGATTATTTTCAGGAAGGATAGAATAGGGAAAAGCTTGCTTTCTTTTTTTCTGGGAGCCTACAGGGAGGCTTCCTGTAGGAGGCAGCTTTTGGATTCACCCCCTCTGTTTGGAGGGATTAGTTGGGATGTTGCCAGGGAAGGGGCCTTTAGGTAGAGGGAACAGCAAGGACAAAGGCCTGGAGGTGGGCTCCATGGGACTTCAGCGCAGCTCCGAGCCTTGAGTTTGGGGTTCCCTGAAGGTAGAGCAGGGGAATTCTTTTTTCTTTTTCTTTTTTGACTGAATGAATGTTCTGTGGTTGATTATAGGGCCCTTCTTCTGGCTGCTGTTCAAGAGTCCCCAGTTGGCGGCCCAGCCCAGCACATACCTGGCAGTGGCAGAGGAACTGGAGAGTGTTTCTGGGAAGTACTTTGATGGACTCAGAGAGAAGGCTCCATCCCCTGAGGCTGAAGATGAGGAAGTAGCCCGGAGGCTTTGGGCTGAAAGTGCCCACTTGGTGGGCTTGGACATGGCTCATGGGTCCTCTGGGAAGGGACAGTCCCTCCCCAGATAACTCCCAAAGAGCCAGCATTACCAAGGCTGCTGGCTGCCATGCCGTCATCATCTTCTAAGGGCAGTGTTGGCACTCTTAGACTCTCAAGACCATGGATGCTGGCTTCCATGCCCTCATCACCCTCTAGGGGCAGTGTTGGTGCTGTTAATGACCATGGCTGCTGACTGCCATGCACTCATCTTCCTCTAGGGGCAATGTTGGCACTGTTAGACTCTCAAGACCATGGATGCTGGCTCCCATGCCCTCATCACCCTCTAGGGGCAGTGTTGCCTGTGTTGGCACTGTTAATGACCACGGCTGCTGACTGCCATGCTGTCATCTTCCTCTAGGGGCAATGTTGGCACTGTTGTACTTTCAAGACCATGGATGCTGGCTTCCATGCCCTCATCACCCTCTAGGGGCAGTGTTGGCGCTGTTAATGACCATGGCTGCTGACTGCCGTGCACTCATCTTCCTCTAGGGGCAGTGTTGCCACTGTAGACTGGTGCACTGTTAAAGAGTGGGTAACCAGATAAATTTGGCCAGTCGTAGTTCTTTGTGGGCCTTTGCATACTTCTGTCTCCTCTATGAGACTTGACTTTGTTTCAAAAACAACTTGGCGGAAAAGGGCTTACAGGTTACAGCCTGTCACGGAGGAGGGACGCCGAGGCAGGAACTCAAGTCAAGAGCTTGAAGCAGTTACCAAGGGACGTTTGCTCCCAGGCCTACATTCAGATGCCTTTCTTTTATTTTTATTATTATCATTATTTTATTTTATTTTTTTTTTTACAGAGAGGGTCTTACTCTGTAACTCTGGCTTCCCTGGAACTTGGTATGTTCCAGTTCAAGTCCAGGCTGGTCTTGAACTCACAGAGATCTCTGCCTGCTGGGATTAAAGGCATGTGTCACCATGCCTAGGCCAGGAACCAGCCCAGGCCTACCTGCCCAGCCAGGGATGGTCCCACCCATAGTGGGCTCGTCCCTTCTACATCAATTAACAGTCAAGAAAATGTCCCACAGACGTTTTCCCCGGGACAGTCTGGTCCAAGCAATTCTTGGATCCGTCCCTCATGATTGAAGACTGCAAAGGATAATTGCTACCTCACGGGATGGCTAACTAGTCATCTTCTGTTTTATTTGACACGTGTACTTGCTGGGACAGAATCCCTGGCAAAGCCACTTAAGGAAGGAAAGGTTTAGTCTGGATGGCAGCTCCAGGGTACAACCCACCATGGCAGGGATCGTGGTGGAGAAGGCATGATGGTGAGAGCTTGGGGTGGCTGGAGAAGGCATGATGGTGAGGGCTTGGGGTGGCTGGAGAAGGCATGATGGTGAGAGCTTGGGGTGGCTGGAGAAGGCATGATGGTGAGGGCTTGGGGTGGCTGGAGAAGGCATGATGGTGAGAGCTTGGGGTGGCTGGAGAAGGCATGATGTCGAGAGCTTGGGGTGGCTGGTCCATGCTGCGTCTGCTGTCAGGAAGCAGGGAAGAGGTGCTGGTGCTGGCTCCCCTTTGACTTTATGTTTTGGTTCTTTATTATCAGCGAGTGCGTGTGTGTGTGTATGTGTGTATGTGCATGTGTGCATGTGTATGTGCATGTGTGTATGTGTGTGTGTGTATCATGTGTGCTTGTGGAAGCCAGAGGAAGACTTTTGGGAGTTTTTTTTTTAATAAGTTTTTATTTAAATTAAAACCAATCTTGTTTTACATACCAATCCCAGTTCCCTCTCCCTCCTGTCCTCCCACGCCCCCCCACAACCCCCCCATCCCACCCCCACCCACTCTGCAGGGAGGGCGAGGCCTCCCATGATGGACATTAAAGTCTGACACATCATTTGGGACAGGACCTAGGCCCTGGCCCCTGTACCTAGGCTGAGAGAGTGTCTCCTCCCCCCATAGGGAATGGGCTCCCAAAGGGATAAATACTGCTTCTACTGCCAGAGGCTCCACAGACTGCCCAGGCCCCCCAACTGACACCCACATTCAGGGGGCCTGGTTCGGTCCTATGCTGGTTTCCCAGCTGTCAGACTGGGGTCCCCGAGCTCCCTCTTGTACAGGTCAGCCATTTCTGCGTGTTTCCCCAGCCTGGTCTTGACCCCTTTGCTCATGACTCTCCCTCTGTACAATGGAATTCCGGGAGTGTGGCTCAATGCTTGGCTATGAATCTCTGCTTCTGCTTCCATCAGCTACTGGGTGAAGGCTCTAGGATGGCATTTAAGACAGTCATCAACTTCATTATAGGGGAAGGATATTTAAGGTAGCTTCTCCCATTTTTTTTTTTTTTTTTTTTTTTTTTGAGACAGGATTTCTCTGTAGCTTTGTAGAGCAGGCTGGCCTCCAACTCACAGAGATCTGCCTGCCTTGCAGCCTAAGTGCTGGGATTAAAGGCATGCACCTCCACTGCCACGGTTTGAGAGGGCTTGAAAACAGCAGTACCCTGAGATATAGGAAAGATGACAAAAATCTACTTGAAAAAAAACCCAACAGCCCAGAGAAGAATTTCTGGGCAAGTAATTAAGCTACCTAAAGAAGCTGGGCTGGGCATGGCAGTATATACCTGTAATCCTAGCCCTAGGGAGGCTGAGACAGGAAGATCTTGAATTTGAGTCTTAATTTGGGCTACAGTGGTGAGTTTCTATCTCAAAAAACTGAAAGTCAAACCACAATGAGTAAAAAAAAAAAAAAAAAAAAAAAAAACAAAAAACAAACCCCAAGAAAACAAAAATCAAATCAAAACAAAACAAACAAAAAACCAAAAACAAAACCAACAACAAAAATCAACCCAATATAAAACAAAAACAGACCAGTGAAACAGCCACGCAAATCTGCTTTGTGTGGTGGCTCAACAAGGAAAGGAATTGAACTTGTGACAGATTTTGTTCTTTGGAGCTGGGCAATTCTGTCCTCTTGCCTTTGGTGACCAACTGTAGCAACATTCAAAGGGTACAAACAGGGCTGAAATTTACTTAGTTTTTAAGACGGTCTTGTTGCCCAGGCTAGCTTTAAACCGGCTAAGTAGCAGTAGCGGAGGATGACCGTCAGCTGTGGATCCTCGTGCCCCCACCTCCCAAGTGGTGGGATTACAGGTTTTCAAACACCATAGGGCGGACACGAAACGGACCTGTACCCGTACAGCCTCATCAACTAAAAAATACCAAGATACAGTGGAAGCTAGTGGGAAGAGAGCTGTTTTCCTGAATCTTCCTCCGCCGGATGCTCTCTCAGGTCTTCCCGGACACTGCAGCCTCCAGCATCTGAAGCGTTAACTCCCAGCAACACTAGGTAAAACTGATCTAGTCTTCGGATCATCATCACCTTACATCTATTCGGCCTATTTGTTTATCCTGACCCTTATTTACCGCAATACATGTCAGGGCCCACCTCATGTGGACAGTAGAATGTTGAGAATTACCCTAGGCTTGAGTGCCAGGTTATTTTCTGTGCCGGAGACTGAATCCTGGTCCTTATGTATGCCAGGCAGATGCTCTACCACTGAGCTGTAAACCCCTTGCCTTCCTCACGGGTTCTTTATATTTGTTTTATACAGGTGGGCTTTGAGCTCACTATGTAGTTGAGGATGATCTTGAATGTTGTCTTAACCAGTTGTATATTCATTTGGAATGGAGAGTTTTATTTTCAGATCCACTATTAGTCATCTGTGCATCTTGCAGACATGTAGACTGTGTTGTGTAGTGGGCTTAGACTTACACCAGCAAAGACTTGCAAATGGACCAGGTGCAAACTGCCCAGAATAAAAACCAAAGAATAAAGGGATCAATTTTTTTGGGTGTCTGGGGATGAAGGCCACTGTAGCTATGGGTCATGGCTATGGGAACCAATATTCACTGTTTTTGCATGTGTGTCTGGGGGAACTCAAGCAAGAAAGTGGCAAACAGCTGCGCTCATGATCCTGTATTGTAGAGTACGGGAGGCAATATGTCCTCACTGAACATATTTTCCTTTTGAGTTTGAGGGTAGGGCCCTGCTGTTGGATCACGGGACACCGTCAGCCAGCTCATTATCAGGCAAGTAAGTAAAGGCTTCTCTTGGAGATTAATCATCGAACAATCCTATTTCTCTCCATGAGTGTCTCTTACTCATTGCCAGCTTGTGGAAATTACTCTGTGACATTTAATGAAAGTTTACCATGTCCCACCTGGATGTGGGGGTCACACACCTATAACCCTAACCCTTGAGACGTGGATGCAGTTAATCTCTGCTTCACCCTTTTCTTTCTCCCGTTAAGAGCCGGACCCTGCGGGCTACAGTTCAGAGAAACTTTGAGACCTGCAGTGGAGTGCCATGCAAAGGAGGTGCGTGTGAGAGAGGCTCTGGTTTGGTAGGTTTGGGAATGAATACATTGGTTGTTCCATCCGAATCCCCGAAGGGGGAATTCACCAGAGGGCCAGTTAGGCTTCAAGATTCCCGAATATCAGGAACATAAAAATCAAGAAAAACAGTCACTTCCTGGGCCACAGAAGGGATTCCCAGGGGTCCCAGTGAGCTAGAGAGGGAGATCTGGCTCTGAGTTTACACCCTCACAGAACATGCCGCTCTGGACTGAAGGTGAGGGTATAATTGTATCACTAGACCCAAGATAAACGATAAGTGGGTGTTTATTGGGGAACAGTTACACAGAAAAATACAAAGAACCCCTGGACTGTTTCCCTGCTCTTCCAGATCTGTTGACCCAACACATAGGAAAGCCATGCCTCAAGCTCCTCTCTTTCTGCTTCTCAAAGGGGTGTGGCCACCGTTACAGGTCCACAGACCAGACACCCACAATTCCCCTTTTAGTCTAAAAAAGAAGGGTTTAAGCCGTTGCAAAAACTATATACAATGATAACATATGTCAAGTATACTCCAGGAAAAGGAAAGGTAAACAAGCACCAATTAAAACCTACTATCAGCAAGAGCAACGTTGAGCAATAGATATATACTACGTGTCCAGTATGCATGTCCAGTATCAGGGTAAAGGCATGACAGAGATTACTCTGATAGCAGTCCTAATCTGGAAAGTCTAAATCTTGTCTATCTAAGATAAGAGAGGGTATTGCTATGACTATCTAGTCTTCAACCTCATCAAAGACCTGAGAAGGAAAATAATAGTAGGGTAGACAGGAAGTATGAGTGTGTGACTTCCAAAGGTGCAAGCAACTACAGAAACAGCAGGCTACCTGGACAGTCACCCAAGGTCTCACAGCAACGTCGGGGCAACCAACTTTGGCTAAGGCCTAAAGTATCAGATGGACCATCTCAGAAGCAGGAAAATTGAAATGGGACTCTATGGGATCCTGTAGGAAAAAAAACAAGGCAAGGAAAAGTCTCAAGAGGATTAGCTGTAACATTTGTAGCTAGTCTCTGAGTGGCGGGAGATGCTTGACCGAAGTTCTTGTCTGAAGCTCCGTTATATGAAAGTGCAACACGTTTCAGCTAGCTTAGTCTGGCAGTATTAGTCCTAAACCAGTCTTAGAACGGTGTTTACTAGTTACTCAAGTGGAATCGATGACGTGGGGCCCCATCTTCTTTCTGGAGACTTCAACGATTCTGTTAGGAAATGTTATTGTTCATTGTGGAAGACTTAAACATTAATACCAACACAGAAAGTTTAAATTTTATAGGATGAAAATAAGTACGGGGGAAACTAAGATAGTAGAGAAACGACAGGGTTTGGACAAATGATAATCTCTAGGTTTTGTTTTCTTCTGTCTTATGGGCCCATCGGAACTGGTTTCCTTGGTCAGGTGAGGTTTGATGGATGGATAGAAGTTTGCAGCTCAGGGGAGAACGGGGAATCTTCAGGACCGGTACCACAGATACAGCAAGCAAAGAGAAGGCACATTGCTGGGCTTAGAAGAAACAGGAAGAGGGAGGGGCTCTGTGGAGTGAGTTTAGCTGGGTCAGGAAGCTACTGGTCATCAATTTAGCTGGCCATCAGGCAGGCAGGCGGTTCATGGGGTGAAAAATAACATTAGGAAGGTGTCTGCGGTTGGGCCGGCATTAATGCCTACAGCTGGGGACTTCCTCTAGGTAGAGCGTGTTAGTTGTTTTTCAGCTCTGGGTGGGGGGTGGTGTGGTGGGCATAATCTACTGCACAGAGGTCGGACGACTAGGGGATAGTGTAGCTGCTCACATGGTGGGTGAAGTCCCAGGACACTGCCACCATTCTAAAAGGCACGGGATAACAGGCTGGTCCCCACTGTCTTGTTTGATATTTTTAGCAGACATCAGATAGGATTTTGAAGCATGATTCACAATGAGGTTTTCTTACACACATCTTTATTGTTGGGATAAGCACCTGTGAACATCATAACAGGGTAGGAGCTCCCTTCTCCCTGGAGCCCAAGGGGCAGCCCTTAGGGTGACCTGTGTTTACCACTTACACGCTTTTCCTTTTAGATCATTTTATAACATCTGTAGGAACTCTATTACACATAGTTGACCCAGACCAGTAGGCCATTCTTCAGTGGGATATTCACTTTGTTTCCTTCCATGGCATGACCACGCCCATTGGGGGTGGAGCCAGGGGCGGAAGTAACCTAGGGAATTAGGTCGGAGGAGGAGCTGGGAACGCTCTCTTGCAAGGGACAGGAGGACTTCCAGAGGCATTCTTGGAAGCAGGAACCTGCTGATGTTCACCTATGTTGTGAGTTATTTCTCCCTGAATAAACATCTGTTCGGCCTAATTGTTTATCCTGATCCTTATTAAATCGTGATATCTATATATCTATATATATATTTCTTATTTTACATATATCCCAGTTCCCCCTCCCTCCCTCCCTCCCATGCTCCCTGGCCCCCCTCCCATTCAGCCCCCCCCCACTCCACAGGGAGGGTGATGCCTTCCAGGAGGGATCATCAAAACCTGTCAAGTTATTTGGAGTAGGACCTAGGCCCTCCCTCCAACGTCTAGGCTAAGGGAGTATCCCTCTGTGGGGAATGTGCGCCCAAAGTCCTTTCGTGCACCAGAGATACATCATGGTTCCACTGTCAGAGGTCCCTTAGACTGCCCAGGCCTTCTAACTGAGACCCATGTTCAGGGAGTCTGAGTTGGTCCAATGCTGGTTTCCCAGCTATCAGTCTGGGGGCCCATTAGCTCCTCCTTGTTCAGGCCAGCTTTCTCTGTAGGTTTCTGTAGCCTTGTCTTGACCTCCCTCTCTGCATCTGGATTTCAGTTCAGCTCAGTGTTTAGCTGTGGGTGTCTGCTTCTGTTTCCATCAGCTACTAGATGAGGGCTATATGATGGTGGATAAGTTAATCAGTCTCATTATCAGGGAAGGGCATTTAAGGTAGCCTTTCCACGTTGCTCAGATTGTTAGTTGGGTTCATCCTTGTAGGTCTCTGGACATTTATCTATAGTCAGTTTTCCCTTCAAACCTATAATGGCTCCCTCTTTTATTCTCTCTCTCTCTCTCTCTCTGCTCTTGTCTATTCCTCCCCTGACTCAATCTCCTTAGTCCCACATGTTCTCCTCTCCTCCCCTTCTCTTTCTCCTAGCCCCCTCTCTACTCACTGCCCCTCCCCACTCCCAATATGCTCAGGAGATCTAGCTGCTTTTCCCTTCTGTGAGGGACCTTGTATGAATCTCTTAGGTTTCTCCTTGTATCCTAGTTTCTCTGGTGATGTGAATTATAGGCTGGTGATCCTTTGCTCTATGTCTAAAATTCATATACATACCATATTTGTCTTTTTGTGACTGGGTTACCTCACTCAGGATGGTTTCTTAGTTTGAGGAGGTCCCATTTATTAATTGTTGATCTCAATGTCTGTGCTACTGGTGTTATGTTCAGGAAACTATCTTGAATCAATTTCTTCAAGGGTACCTCCCACTTTCTCTTCTAAGAGGTTCAGTGTAACTTGATTTATGTGGAAGTCTTTGATCCATTTGGACTTAAGTTTTTGTGCATGGTGATAGATATGGATCAATCTGCAGTCTTCTACAAGTCAGCATTCAATTTTGCCAGCACCATTTTATGCCAGCACCATTTGTTGAAGATACTTTATTTTCCATTGTATAATTTTAGTTTCTTTGTCAAAAATCAGGTTTTCATAGATGTGTGAATTAATATCAGGGTTTCAAATTAAGTTCCATTGGTCTACTTGTCTGTTTTTGTCAATGCCAAACTTTTTTTTTGTTACTACAGCAATATGGTGGGGCTTGGAGTCAGGCATGGTGATGCCTCTAGAAGTTTCTTTATTGTGCAGCGTTGTTTTGGCTATCCTGGGTTTTTTGTTTTTCCATATAAACTTGAGTATTGTCCTTTCAAGGTCAGTGAGGAATTGTGCTGGGATTTGATGGGGACTGCATTGAATCTATAGATTGCTTTTTGGCAAGATTGCTATTTTTACTATGTTCATCCTACCTATCCAGGAGCATGGGAGATCTGTCCATTTTCTGGTATCTTTTTAATTTCTTCCTTTAAAGACTCAAAGTTCTTGTCATACAGGTATTTCACTTGTTTGGTTATTGTTGCTCATAGACATTTCGTGTTGTTTGTGGCTATTATTACAAACGGTGATGCTTCTCTGATTTCTTTCCCAGCCCATTTCCTCCTTTCTTAGAAAACTTCCACATGGGTTTGTTGTATTTGTAATTCATTCTTGCCACTCTTGCATAACAGCTACACTCATGACAGCCAGTGGCTGCACAGACCCTGAGCCTCAGCATGGTCTAAGGTGATGTCACCTGCCACTCACATCTACATGGCTGCCTGAGGCAGAAAACCCCAAAGACATTATCAAGGCATCAGGCAGTGGCACAGACGGCCAATGTTCACTTGGATTTCAGGCTTCACCATGGTTTGGGGCAGCACTGTGTACCACCAAGAACAACACGCCACCTTGAAGTTCCTCACACCATGGTGGGACCTCTAGGCGATCCAATCTGGAAAGTGAAACTTGCCTCATTTCAGGCCTCCATCATTGTCTAGAGCTAGGGTGATCCCATGGCCAGATGGCAGGTTCAGGGTCTGAGTCTGTGTCTGCATAAGCTCCAGAGTTTCTATGCCATCCTGCTGAGCCTACTGGTCAATGGAAGTATGTAGACGGTGGTCCTATCCCTTACCTGTCACCCCGCCACATCTCCAGTTTTGCCTCTCCCTCGCGCCTACTCTATCAGCATTTCACGGCAACTTTTATTTTCTTAATTAGTCGTTGTGACTAGAGTAAGATGCAATTTTGAATTAGTTTTAATGTGAATTTCTGTGATGGCTCACGGTGGGGAACACTTTCGAAAATATTTCTTAGCCATGTGTGCTTCTTGTTCTGCGTTTTCTGTGTTTAGTTCCACCATCTGCTTTTAGTTTTTTGTTTTAGTTCAGTCAGTTGGATGTAGGGACGTGACAATTTAGTTATTTGGTCAGGAGAGTTTACTGGGAACATCCACATACCACAGAAGCACTGGTACCCAGTATCTTTACTGGCCATCCCCCCTACCCAACATCCATGTTGTCAGAATTGGTGTCTGCCCGTTTCCAATCAAGAAGAGTCCAGCTGTTCCAGTAGATTATGAATTTGTGCTCTGTTTTCTGACTGCATCTCACTGTTTTCTCTGAAACATTGGCCACAAGTCTCCTATATCAGATATGGGCATATGCGGGATCAGCATCCCAGCTACTCCTTAAAACTGTATTGCTGAGAATTTAAAGCCAGAATAGTAAGGGCATAGAGGAATTCTTTCCCAATCTATTGTTGTGGGGTAGAATGACGTCAGAGACAGTGTTGTGTAAGAACATATCCTCTTCCTCTTTTCTGTCAGATATCACACTTCCGACCTTATTCTGTTCATTCTCATGGGCGTGTCCCTCTGTGTGGGCTGTGTCAACGGTTCTGTGTGCTGTTTATGTAGAGATCTGGCGTGAGGCTCTGCCATGGGCCTTGGAGCTGCTCTTCTTGGACTTGGTGAGACGAGACGGGGGTCGTTATTTTTTTAGCCAGAGTGGTAAGGAATGCAGAATTCCAAATTTATAACCTGGGCCTCTATGAAGACCTGTTCTGGTGGCTGCAGGGGAGTCTTCCCAGGCCTCAGCCTGTCCACCTGGCCATGGTCTTTTGATCTGAGCTCTGGGGTCGGGATCATTGTATAGCAATAACAGGACAGACTTCTCTTACCAGGCCTTTTTGCTCTATTTTCAGTGTTTTTAATGGAGCAGAAGATCTGGGCACTGCGTGGTGAGTCTTTTCTCTGTTTCATTCAAAGGAAACTGAATTTGGCTTGAAGGAACGTGGGAGGACCTTGAAGCATCTTGAGCAGACCCCTTTGGGATTTTATTTTTTTGAATATATATTTAATTAAAAGCAATATTATTTTTACCAATCCTACTCCCACTCCCTCCTTTTCTCCTTTGCTCTCCACCAACCCACCCACTCCCCATGGAGGCTGAGGCCTCCCATGGCAGATCACCAAAGTCTGTCACATCATTTGTGGTAGGGCCTAGGTTCACCCGATTTATCTAGGCTAAGAGAGTATTCTTCCATATGGAATGGGTTCCCAAAGTTCATTCCTGTACTGGGGATACTGCTGGTTCCACTGCCAGAGTCTGTCTTGGAAGCTTAAATGTGTTTCTTGTATGCATCAGAAGGATGGATTCTATCTTTGTATCCATTCTGTTAGCCCGTGTCTTTTTATAGGCACGTTAAGACAGACCATTGATGTTGAGGGAAGGTAAGGACCATTGATTGTTAATTCTTGTTTGTTTTAGATTTGTTTTTGGCAGTGGTTTTGTGAGTATATTTGCCCTGCTTTTTCTTTTGTGTTCTGGTGAAGTGGGATTATGTATTGCCTAAGTGTTTGTGAGTGTAGTTAACTTCCTTGGGTTAGAGTTTTCCTTCCAGAACTTTCTGTAGGGCTGGATTTGTGGATAGGTATTGTGAAAATCTGGCTTTGTCATTGAATATCTTGTTTTCTCTGTCTATAGTGATTGAGAGTTTTGCTGGGTACAGTAGCCTGGACTGGCATCTGTGGTCTCTTAGTATCTGTAGAACATCTATCCAGGATCTTCTTGCCTTGAGAGTTTCTATGGAGAAGTAAGGTGTAAGTTTGATAGGTCTGCCTTTATCTGTTTCATGGCCTTTTTCCTTTGCTGCTCTTAGTATTCTTTCTTTATTCAGTATGCTAGGTGTTTTGATTATTATGTGGCATGTGTACTTTTTTTCTTTTGGTCCAGTCTATCTGGTGTTCTGTATGCTTCTTGTACTCTCATAGGCATGTCCTTTCTTCAGATTGGGAAAGTTTTCTTCAATGATTTTGTTGAATATGTTTTCTGCCCTTATGAGCTGGGCTTCTTAGCTTTCTTCTATGCTTATTATTCTCAGGTTTTGTGTTTTCATGGTATCCCACATTTCCTGGATGTTTTGTGTTAGGATTTGTGGGATTTGAGATTTTCTTTGGTTGATGAATCTGTTTCCTCTAGTTTCTCTTTAGCACCTGAGATTCTGTCTTCTGTCTCTTGTATTCTGTTGGTTATGTTTGCATCTGTAGTTGCTTGTCTTTTACCCAGTTGTTCTATTTCCAGCATTCCCTCAGTTTGTGTTTTCTTTATTGTCTCTATTTCAGTTTTTCGGTCTTAAATTTATGAATTGTTCCCTTCATATGTTTGATTGTTTCTTTCTTTTTCTTTTTCTTTTTCATTTTTTGGCTTTCTTCATTTTCCTTAAGAGGTTTGTTCATTTCTTGCATTTTTGGCTTGGTCTTTTCCTCTATTTCTTCCATTTTTTGTTTGTTTTTTTTTCCTTTCATTTCTTTAAGGGATTTCTCATATCATCTTTGTGGCCCTCTATCATTTTTTTGTGGTTATTTTTTAAGTCGTTCTCTTGTGCTTCATCTGCTTTGGTGTGTTCAGGTCTCGTTGGTGTAGAGTCCCTAGATTCTGGTGGTGTCATAGTTTTCTTTCTATTGTTGGGTGTTGTCTTGAATTTCCTCTTTCCCATCACTTCTTCCAGTGGGTGTAGGTGGAGTCTCTCTCCCTCTCTACTGCTCTCCCGATGGGTGTAGTTGGGTCAGGAGTTAGATGTCTGTAACTCTGGATGATTGGAGCTCTCTTGGAGGTCTCTTTGGCAGAGGGTAGGTGATGGGGCCCAAAGACCTGGTGAGTGGGGCCTTAAGGAGGTCATTGGGAATAGGGCCATTGATGGGGCTGAAAGATCAGGTGAGTTGGGCCTCAATGTGGGCTGGTGTGGAAAGGTGTGTCCAGTGTGCTCAGAGCAGACCCAGGAAGTTTTACAGAGGTGGAGGGGATTTAGGACCCTCATTCCGGGCCAGTGTTCACCCTGAACAGTGGGCCCAGCAGGACCAAGAGTGAGGGGAAGGCAGGCTCTGGCTGGGGTATGGACCAGAGTACCAGGATTCTATCAGTCAGTGCAAGGTTATAGGGTAGAGGGAGATGTGCAGCTAACCCAGGGAATTCCCAGGGAAGGATGTGTGGGGGCAATTTGGCCTGGTTCCAGACTCATGTCAGGCAGAGGGTAGGAGATGGGGCCCAAAGATCAGGTGAGTGCAGGCTGTAGGTGGTCCGGTATGGATAGGCGGGTCCAGTGTGCTCAGAGCAGACCCAGGAAGTTCAATGGAGATGAAGGTAGTGTTGGGATCGCACTCTGGCCCATTGCTTCCCCAAGTAGCGGGCCCAGTAGGAGATGAGATTTTCATTGGCAGCCACTGGCACACTTATTCAATGATCAGTCACTTGTATTGCAGCCACCTTTGGGGCAGACATTCTCTCGAAAGTGCTGGTAATTCCCAGCCCATATGTGGCTCAGAAGGGAAATGAAATAACAGCCCCGACATATACTTGTTCCCTCCTGAAGACACAGTCGCTTGGTGTCAAATTAGTTTCCTTTTTTCCTCACCTTGGCTGTGTCTGGCACTCTTAATGAGATCTGTTCTTGAGAAGATGCAAACTCCATGAGATAGAGGTGAATAAAATCTGTCTAATGGGGTTTTGCACAGGTGGGATTCATTTTATTTTCAGAGGCTCTCAGGCTTTGTTTGACATTGGAGGTGGTTGTCATGGTTGGGTTTTACATGGAAACAAAAGACAAAGTCACGGGTAGGTTAGTGATTGAATGAGATTTCCTGTTTATTGGGCCAAGGCATTGGGAAGGTTTTGTGATAGAAAAGGAAACCCACAGGGTTCATTCCTGGGCTGTTTGATAGTACTACAGTATGAGAGTTACTCTTACATTGCTTGTTAATAGTAAAGATGATTAGATCTTTGGCAATATGCCAAAAACTTAATATTGTAAACGATGAGACTTCACTTTGGAGGTGAGCTGATTACTTTTCTTTCAATGTGGCACAAGGTAGAGTGATCTGGGAAGAAGGGATGTCAACTGAGGATTTGCCCCAACCGTATGGGCCTATGGTCATATCTGTGGTGCAATTTTTTTGATTAATAATTGTTGTGGGAACTTCTCTACAGCTACTTGGAAACCTGTCTCTCCTGACGTCAGTAGAGTAGTGCTTTTTTTCCTCTGTCCCTGCAGAGTCAGCACTTCAGCCTTCTATCTGGGCAGTTCCAGGACCTGTGATTTCCATAGACAGTGATGTGAGTATCTACTGCTGGACACCTCCAGGGATGGACACAGTGCGTGTATTCCATTCTGAGCCAGGTGGAAGATTTCTTGATAATACCCCAGAGGGCACCCAGGAAGTGTCTGAATTCCACCTGCAGAAGATGTCACACACTGATGCAGGGGTTTACACCTGCTTATACTCCCAGGGAGGTGTATGGTCACAGATTAAAGACAAGCTGGAGCTGGTGGTGACAGGTGAGTAGTGGCTATGAACTCTGATGCCTTCCTCACTGAACCCCTGATGCTCCATCATGAGCCCCGCCCTGTCACTCTGCTCCTGTATATTAATCTCTTCCCTGTGCCTTCCCTCCCTCTTTGCTCTGCTCGTCATCTCTGGTTTTTTCCTCTCCTCTCATTTCATCCTTTCCCTTTCTCCAGTCCTTAATTTCCATTGTCCATGACAGGTTTCTTTGAGACAGTTTATCACAGATCTCACCCTGGCCTTGAACTTGCCATGTAGCCAAACATAATCTTGAGTTTATGATCCTCCTCTTCTACTTTCCTGGGCAATGATACCATTCATATGGTGATGAACACAGAACACAGGGCACTTTGTATGTCAGGCAAGGACTCCACCAACTAACATTCAACCCCAGGCTGTCTGTTTGTTTTGTGACCCTCCCTCTTGTGCTAACCATGTTCTAGGCTCCCTTCAGAAATGTGTCTATATCCCCTAAGTAACTTGTGAAGTAACATTAGCCTTCTGTACATACATAGAACCTCTGTATGGTCCTGGTTCATGGAAAAATAACAGAAACAGCATATTTTGTGATCCCTATAGATTAGCAGTAGACGAGTTTCCTTTTGTCTGGATCTTTTCTTCTCTCTGGCCAGACGCTGTGAATTGTAGGCTTATTTTTAATCAGGCTAAATATAACAGGGCTGTAGTGTCCAATTTTTTGTCAACTTGACAGAAGGTAGAGTCATCAGAGAGGAAGACGTCTCAGTTGAGGAAATGTCTCTAGGAGAACCAGCTGCCAGGTGTTTTCCCAAGTAGTGATCAATGGTGCAGTGTCCAGACCATGGTGGGCAGTACAATCCCTGTGCTTGTGGTACTGGGTTCGATAAGAAGGAGGGCTGAGCAAACCAATGTAAGCTAGTCAGTTCACAGTACCCCTCCATGAGCTCTGCATCAGCTTATGCCTCCAGTATCCTTCTCCGTTTGTGTTCCTGTCCTGACTTCTTCAGTGATGAACAGCAATGTTGAAGTGTAAGCCAATGAACCCTTTATTCCTCAACTTGTTTTTTGGTCATGGTGTTTGACCACTGCAATAGAGTGCTTAACTAAGACAAGGGTCTTTTTGTAATCCTTTTGTGACAGGCTCTCCCCAAGTATCTCTCTTTGTCCTTGAAAACACAATTGTAGAGCAGGTTGCTTTTAAACTCTCGAAGATCCATGTGCCTCTGCCTCCTGAGTGCTAGAATTAAAGGAATGTGTCACCACAAACACCTAATACAGATTCTTTCAACTTCCAGGTGTTTACAAGGAGAAGCCATCCCTTACTGTTGATTCAGGCCCTAAGGGATTCTCAGAAAGAAACGTGACTCTCCTCTGTCACACAAATTCATACTTTGATACCTTCATTCTCTGCCGAGGCGGAAATGCTTCCTTTCCCCAGAACTGTTCAAGCCAGTCCCACCACACATTCCTCATCTTTCCTGTAAGCCCAGGGCACAGGAGGATCTACAGATGCTTTGGCTCTTCCAAACACAATCCATACATGTGGTCACTGCCAAGTGATCCCCTTGAGTTGTCAATCCCAGGTAAGTATGTCTGGTTCTTGTTCCTTATCTCTGTGCTTAGAGAGGCCTCAAGGGATGCTATGTGGCATCTATCAATTCCACTGCTGTGTCTTCTCTGTTCTACATGTTTCACACTCAGTGCTATTCTGACTAATTGCTCCATTTACATTACGGACTCTGAATGTTATGTGCCTCTACGTGTGCTGGTATGCGTGTGGATGCTGGAGATTTGAACTCAGACCCTCATGCTTACAAAGCAAGTAGCTTATCCACTGAGCCATCTCACCAGCCCTGTCTCAAAAAAAAAAAATAAACAAAAGAAAAATCATTTGGTTAAAAGCAAAGAAGGCAAAAGGCCTTACAGTTTCTCTGCCTCTCCAGTGCTGGGATTAAAGGCGTGTGCCACCCACTGACTGTCTCAATTAACTTTTAAATTAAAATTTCAGGTGTAGTGTGGTGGTGCACACACATAAATCTCTGTCCAAGGTCATGTGTGTGATGGTACACACACACAAATCTCTGTTCAAGGTCATATGTGTTATTATTGCTGCTACCTTTTCTCCCCCAAGAGTCTCTGCTGCTGCTTTCCTGTCACATAATTTCATTACACTTTTAATTTCCTTTCTATCTTGAGCTTTTTTCTCATGATCACCTTCTTAGTTCCAACACCACACACACACACACACACACACACACACACACACACACACACACACCATACACACCACACACACACATACGCCACACACATTTTAAATGGAACCTTCATATATGAGTGATATCATGAATTATTATTACTCCCAAGTTGGGCTTACTTGGTGTAATCTAACATGTCCCAGTTTCATCCATTTCTTATGCATGCCATGATTTCATTTCTTCTCTCCGGTTGCATAATGTTCCACTCTGTCTACGCGCTACGTTTCCTCTATCCACTCATCTGTGGGTGGACATCTAAGCTGGCCTGGTTCAATTTCCTGGCTGCGGTGACGCATGCGCTCAGATGTGTAAACATGCAGTACTGCACACACACAGATGTGTAGGTCTCTGCCATGTCCACTCAGGGTTTTCCAGCATTTGTTAAGAGGCTCTGTTCCTTTAAAACACAATAAGACACAATGCATTAGTCACTGTATGCCAGTCACTAAGTTGGCGTTATTTCATTTAGACTTGCCTTTGTAGCTTGCAATGTTTTTCGGTTTCTGATGGTTGCATGTCACTTTTGAGCTCTAGTTTTTATTAGAAAGCACCCTCCCCTGCTGTCTCCTGACTGTCCATTCTGTATGTGGTTCACTCAGGATCCTGGTCAAGATTAGTGTATGTTCTTCATAGACCATATGGGAAGAGCTCTCCTTGAGCCTCAGAGGGCTGGGTGTTTCTTATCTCTAAGACTATCTCCCCAAATGAATTTTCTTTGTTATTGTATTTAATCTGTCTCATCAGTTGGGTGGGCTGGTGCCTTTCCATGGTCAGGTCCTGGGAGCTGAAAGCAGGAAGGTCTCAAGTTTGAAGTCATCCTTAGCTACGTAGTAAGAATCTGTTTAAAAGACTCAAGATAGACACTGCCTTGTGCTCAACCATGTGTGAATTGGTTGCTTTAATTATTTTGTTGCAGATGTTTCCTAAATGCCTAGCTTTGTGTTTGGTGTGAGGTAGGAACTCAGTAAGTGTTTGATTGAATGAGTGACTTTATAGAATGGACATTTAATAACAGATCACTATTGTTTTCTTATTCCAGGTAAACCTGACCACACTGTGGTTTGGGTCTCAGTTGCTGCTGTCTGCTTTCTCCTCCTCTTCGTCCTCCTCATCTGCCTCTACTGCTATTGGGCCAAATGCCGTATGTCCCAAGAGTTGGCGCGGGGGGGGGCATTAATCTGGGAGGGGTGTGAGGGGCGTGGTAGGTTCTAACACTGACCTTTGTCTCTCTGTAGGGGCCACCAATGATGAGACCAGGAACCAATTGAAATATAAGAGGTAGGTACATTTGGGCTCTCCTCATAAACACACCCCTGCACCTCCATCTAAGAGTTTTGTGTGAGTATTAGGGATTGAAGCCAGGGACCCTACATGTTAGCCAAGCACTCTACCATTGGGCTGCACCCACAGCTCCTAACAATTTCGTCTGTGTATCATTTCTCAGGCATACTTTAGCATTTCTATTTCTTTTCACTCAGGTCCCGTCCAGCCGTGGAGATGGAGGAAAAGCTTAAATGTAAGGTGCAGTGAGTCTCGTTGAGGGAAGGGATGGTTGTAGGGCTTAGGAGGCCTTCCGGGGAGAGCAGAAGAGATGGGAGGTGCCACCTTGCTGTGTGATGTTGCTGTCTTTTTCTTGGGTTCTGTTGGTCATCTCTGAAACATAAAACACAAAAACGATACAGTGTAAAAACTCATGTGACACATGCCCACTTACTCATCTTTCCTTGCAGTTGGTGGCTTGGAGGGCAGTCAGCCTGAGGACTGTAAGAAGGAGGTGGACACACAGGTGAGCCCTCACCACTGCCCTACCCTCATTTTACAGAATCCCACCTGGGTATTCTCTTCATACTTTGCATCTCATGATGCTAGGTGTCTCCAGCAGAAGACTCACAGGGGGTGACTTATGCCCAACTACGCCAAGAGAACTTCACAGCGAGCATGGATCTGCTTCCCTCCAAAGCTCTTCTGGGCACATCTACACAGACTTGTGTCTATGCCAGCCTCACGCTATCCCAAGAGAAGAGTCAGAGCTAGGTGTGTAGGTGTTTCTTCAGCACAGGGTGTCTCCATGAACGATACTTCTCACATTTTCCAACTCGAGCCATCAGTACAGAGCTCCAATGGACTCAAGTGTAGAGAAGCTTGCTAAGTGTGAAGGAAGTCCGCAGATCGTAAACATTGCTCAGCAAACTTCTGACCCCTTGTGATTTGCTCACTGACCGGTGTGCCTGTCAGATGTGTGCTGTGGAATAATTCTTCTGCACACTGTGTGCATACACGTCTCTACGACTGGTTTAAGAAACAAGCAGGCTGTCTAATAACTGAACAGGATGAAGTTGGATGGGAATGCCAATCTAAGAATGATGGGATGAGGAAGGGCATAGTCAGAAGAGTTGCCAGCCAGATGGAGAATGAGTAGGATATACAAAATGGGGTAAAGGTAAACACCACGAGTCCTGGGGAAGTATATACATAAAAAGAAATGGATTAAGTTGTAAGAGCTAGTTAGTAACAAGCCTGAGCTATCAGCTGAGCGTTTATAAACTATATTAAATCTACAAGTTATTTATTTGGGAAGCGACTACTGGTTATTTTGGAGTAGGCAATCGGAACGGGGAAAACTCTGCCTACAGATGTGTGCTTTGCTTGGGTTCATGTTGACTTTAGTAAGATGCAGTTTCCATCATCTACTGGAAGAGGCAAGCTGAGCAATCTGGACCCCTGGTGATGAGTGACGCAGAACACCTCAACAGTGTGATCCTTAACCTTGGCTGTCAGGCTGATGTGTTGTCTTTCAGAGCTGCTCCAGAGATCTTTACTGGAAGCAGAAAGACATACCCTGAATATAGGTGATATTATTTTATGGGTTGGGAGTCTTATATTGAATAGAAAGGAGAAAGTAAATGCAGCATCGTTATCCACTGATTTCTCTCTGGTCCCCTGCTACGAATGCCAAGTTACCAGCTGTGTCATGGTCCTGTCTCTATAACTACAGGCACTTTGTCCCCTGCATCCCCACATCCATGATGGACCATACTTTCAAAACAAGTAAAAATAAACCTTTGGTAATGATGACTTTCAATTGTGAACTTGGTGAGATATAGTACCCTGGGAGACTGGCCTCTGTGCATGTGTATTTTAATTAGGTTAATTAATTGTGGTGGGATGACCTGCCCACTACATTTCCTGGGTTGAGATTCTGGACAATATAAAAAGGAGACAGTTAAATGAACAAAAGTACTCATCACTTTCTTCTTCTTAGTTGTGGGTGCAATATGTTAGGTACCTCAGGCACCTGCTGCCACAACTTCTTCACCTTGATGGACTTGTAACTTTGGATTTTCCCTCCAGTTGCATTTTGTCAGTGTGTTTTATCACCAAAAACAGAAAAACCACACTAATGAAACCCTCTCTTTTTCAACTTGATTTTTATCACAGCCACCAGAAAAGTAGCTAATAGAGAAGGTGAGGGGCCAGTCACCTGCTAGGGTGTTTTCAATGAAACGTTGGGTTTCCAGGTGGTTTGCTCACAGCTTTGCCTAAGGGAACCTACGGGCACCAGGGAGAAGTCATGAATAAAGAGAATTCTTGCCATCACTTGGTGCAGAGAATAATACTGAAACATGGAGTGACAGACTCTTTATGAGGTGGTGATGTCCACATCAACAATATACATTCATTCAGGACTCCATCTGATCCCACGGATACTTTCATATTTCATCATAGTCTTCTATGCATATTTGGGATTCTTAAAGAATAAAATCATAACAAAGTAATTTTTCAATAAATGTTGGCAAAAGAAGGTAGGAAGTAGGCATGGTGATGAAATGGCTAAGATGATGTCATCTTGCCTTTTCTATCTTGTGCTGCCTAGACATTCCTCAGCCTTCACACTCGCTCCCAGCATAGCCCCACACACCTTAGCAATGCTTTTGGAACTGTTCATGACTTTAACTATGGTCCAGATGTATTAGCTAGAATAATTCATGTTTGTGCAGGCTAAAACATAAAACTAAAATAACTAAAATAAAGTGTAAGTTAGAAATAATTGTCATGTTCTATCTGGAAAGTACCCCTGAGTTCTGCAAAGACATAGACCTTGCTCAGACTCTCCCCAAACACTGATGTGATTTTTGTCTTTAAAAAGTGCTGTATCTCTGAGACTCTGAGGCATGGGCCCTGATCTTGGCTGCTGACTAACAAAAGGAGTTATATACTTTGAATTGGTTTCATTAGTGTGGTTGTCAAGAACTCTCTCTCTCTCTCTCTCTCTCTCTCTCTCTCTCTCTCTCTCTCTCTCTCATGGGTCATTTCACATCTGCAGTCTCAGCTGCAACTTGAGGCAGGAGGATTGCTTCTAAGTCAAGACCAGCCTGTGCAACACAGTGAGTTTCAGGTCAGTATGGGGTAGAGAGTGAGCCCTCCGGGTCTGATCAGGTGGTTCCCTGGGTGTAGGTGCTCGCTTTTAAGTCTGAAGACCTGGGTTTGGTCCAAGGGATCTACGTGGTAGAAGGGGAGAACTGACTCTTAATTAAGACCTTGTCTTTAAAAATATGAAGACAGATGTTAAGGAAAAGTGGGGGAGATATTGTAAGGGAGGGGATGGGAGGTAGATTTGATCCAATCACATTATACACATATATGGGCAATAAATAAAACATTAAAGAGTTACCAAAGAGAAAAGGAATGAAAAGGAAGCTGAGAACAAAGCTGAATGCAGGAGGCAGCGAGCTGCTGTGAGGTGGCTTGGGGCGGGGAGTAGAAAAATGAGAAGAAACTGAGAATGTGGAGTGGACGTGAGCTGGGAATGGTGGCGAAACAGTGCAGCCATTTCCGGGGAGAGAGGGATGATTGGCACTTGGAGGTGTAGCTTAAACTTTGCTTCTGTGCCTGCAAGCCTCACAGTGTGCATGTGTCTGGTGAATTGTCCTTTAATAGGGGAGAACAATGTAAGCCCACATGACTATATTAGGGTGATGCTCAGCACCGTTAGGGATTGGAGAAGCGGAAATTGTGGAACTGGGTGGGTGAGCTGGCGTGTAGCTGTAACAGCAGCACTTGGGAGGTGGAGGCAGGAGAATCAAGAGCTTAAGGTCACTGTTGGCTACATAACATGTAGCTTTGGAGGTCAGCTTTGGAGGTCAGTATGATGGTTCCTCAGGAAGATGGGAATCAGTCTACGTCAAGATCTAGCAATTCCACTCTTTTTTTATTAATTTATTTTATTTTATATAACAAAGTCCAATTAAATGAAAACAAACATTTATATACAATATTTGGGAATTTGGGCATCGTTCTTTCCAAACTACTTCCTGCTGGTAAGGGGCGCTGTCATGGGGGATTCTAAGAAGATTCAGAAATCCTGGCTGTAGTCTGTCAGGCTACTTTGTCCAGCTGTTTTGAATGTAGGATCACCTCGTACTCTGTTTCAGGCGGTCTGGCTTGATCAAACCACATTAGTCTGGAAGGAATCCACATCTTTTCATTTTCTGTGGAAACAAAAATAGAAATCCTTTTCCCCAGTAACTTGTCCTTCAATGTGTTCCTCTTTTTGTGACTGGGTTACCTCATTCAGGATGGTTTCTTCAAGTGACATCCACTTGCCTGCGAATTTCAAGATACCATTATTTTTTTCTGCAGAGTAGTATTCCATTGTGTAGATGTGCCACATCTTCATTAACCATTCTTCAATTGAGGGGCATCTAGGCAGCAATTCCACTCTTAAGCATAAACCCAAAGTATGCACATTCATTCCACAAGGACATCTGTTTAACTATGTCTGTTCCAGAAGTATCTGTATAGTGGATGCCTAACTTGATGTATCTAGGGACCTCATGAAAAGAAGTTTAGATATAGAGCATACATATAGCACACACAGATAATACACAACCCCTAACGTACACAAGCAGGCGTGCGTGCACACATGTGCACGTGCGCACGCACGCACGCGCGCACACACACACACACACACACACACAATCACTTTACAATAAAGGCAAATACTGGGCTATTATATCCAAAAACAGAGAAGTGCCAAGAATTTCCAGTACCTGGGGGTAGTGGTGGGAGGAGTTAGAAAGGGGAAGTTAGACTCTCTTAGAAAAATACAGTCAGTCTTCTTTGAAGGAACTAACCCTCAATTTCCGACTTCCAGTAAAGTGATGTTTAGTTCATGCAGTTTGTAGCAAGCCCACAGGCTGATGTGCCATCAGATTGGCCGAACTTAGAAGGCTGGATGGCCTCAGGCTTGGAGTGTATGGGAGACGCTCATTCTTCTGGAAGAGAAGAAACTTTTTTTAAAAAATATTTTTAAATTTAAATTTGAAACAAGCTTGTTTTACATGCCAATCTTAGTTCCTGTACCCTCCCGTCCTCCTCGGTTCCCCCCACCAACCCCCATCCTATCCCCTTTATGCTCTCCAGGGAGGATGAGGCCTTCCATGGGGAGTGAGATGAAACTTGTGTGTCACTATTTATTGCAATAATAAAAGCAACAACAACAAATAATAATAGTAATAATAATAATATTAACAACAATGCATATGGACATATTTGTACCAAGGCTCACATGTGGAGGTCAAAAGGCAACTTGAGGTAGTTGGTTCTCTCTGTCAACCTTTAAATTGGTTCTATAGATCAAACCCAGGTCCTTGCGTTTGCATGATGAGTGTGTTTTCCCATTGAGCTAGGGATGGGATGCAGGTCCCCTGGCTGTGCATCAAGCACCTTTGATGGGGGAAGCCCTTCTGTATATAAGTTTCTCTTATTGGCTGATGAATAAAACACAGTTTGGCCAATAGAGGCAGGAAGATAGGCAGGACTACGAGATGAGGAGGATGCTTGGGAAAGTAGGCAGAAAGAGACCATGGGGGGGATACCTTATAGAGACTGGGAGGATAGGACATGTCAGGTATTCTCTGGTAAGATAAGGCCATGTAGAAATATATGGATTAATAGAAATAGGTTAATAATTGAGAGAGCTAGCCAGTAAGAAGCCCTAGTCACTGGCCAACAGTTTAATAATTAATATAGCATCTTTGTGTGTTCTTTGGGGGCTAAATGGCTATAGGACCAGTCTGGAAAGAAAAACTCTAGTTACACACTTTTATCTACCAAACCATCTGGTAAACCTCCAGTGTGTGCCAGTTCTTAAATGCAGTTTGACATCAAGTGAGGTATACTTAAAAGTTCAGATCTGGCCATTCCCTCCTGGGTACATAAGCTGTGTGTTGCATACTGGGGTGCAATTTCATTCAACCATGGGTCACACATGCTATGGGAACCCTATAAGATTATAATAGACCTGAGGCATTCCTACTGACTATTGACATCACAGTCATTTGGTGGTACAATGTATTATTCACGTTTTAACAGATCTGCTGCACTGGTGATCACATAAAAATATGACATGTACCCTTTGTATAGTCAGACAATCCTTTGTGGGAATCCACCACCTCTCTGGCTCTTACAATCTTTCTGCCTCCAGTTCTGTGATGGCTCCTGAGCCTTTGGAGGAGGAGATGTAATATAGCTAGTTTTTAAACTTTAAAACCTGCATTGCAACATTAGGATTTCACAGTGACATCTTCATACAAATGTATCGTGTACTTTGCTTATTTTTACCTTTGGCAGTTTCTCTAGTCACCTCTCACTGGTCCTCCTCTTCCTCTAGATGGTCTCCCTTCAACTTTCATATGATCATATGCTAAAGACAGTCTCCCATAAGTCCATTAAGGGTGCACATAGAGTGATGACCAATTGTTGCTTACAGTCTTACAGTAAAGGTGTTTGGATATAATTTGTCTGATTAGTTTTGGACACATGGTGGAGGATACTGTGGTAGAAGCAGATAAATGTTCTGTTTCTGATATACAGGGAGATGATAAACTCCAACTATCCATTGGACAGATGAATGACTTTTACAGCAGTGTGCAGTTTATATTACAATGTGTGGGGCTGGAGGTATGACTCAGTGGTAGAGCACCTGCCTAGAATCCTCAGCAAGGGTCTGGAAGCATGGCTCAGTGGTAGAGCCCCTGCCTAGACCCACTGAGGGGTGTAGATGTGGCTCAGAGGTAGTACACTGGTCTAGAATTCACCAGTGAGGGCTTGGGGATGTGGATTTGTTGTAGAGTGGAGTGCCTGTTTAGTATCTTCCACTTCAGATGCGGCTCAACATCAGCAAGCTTGCCTTGAACCTACCGGTAAGAGATGAGGCTGTGGCTCAATGATTAGAGCACTTGCCTAATACATGAAAAATCTTGGTTCAGTTTTTCACAATGCAAAAACAAAAACAAACAAACAAACAAAAAACAGAAATAGAATTTAGAAGGCTAATTTTTGATGTGTAAGTGGCAAAGTCACCTCCAAAAGTGTGCTGTGGTTAGTGTGTTATGGCTTTGAGTCCAGGACCTGCCTCGGGGTTGACAAGAGTGAAGACACATGACAAGGCAGACGGTCCCACACTCTGTCACATACTCTCCAGCAGCCACACAGGCTTCAATTTCTCCACAACCTTACCAGTATTTGTTATTTTTCATTTATTACATTTTCTGTAGTAATTTCATACATGAATGTAACATGTTCGGTCATATCTATCCCCATTCCTAGAATCCCTACCACATGATGGGGTTGTTCTTCTGTATGTGTTAATCTTATTGGTTGATGAATGAAACACTGTTGGCCAATAGGCCAGCTTAGGAGATGAGGAGAATTCTGGGAGATGTAGGCAGAGAAGGAGTCATCATGTGAGCCCGGGAAGAGAGGATGAGAGTCAGGCATTCTCCGGTAAGATAAGACCATGCAGAAATACATAGATTGGTAGTTATGGGTTATAATTAAGACAGAGCTAGCCAATAAGAAGCTCGATGATGGGAGATGTCATTCTGTAAATATGTTTCTCTTACTGGTTAATGAATAAAGCACTGTTGGCCAATAGGAAAGCAAGATAGGCGGGACTAGGAGAGATTTGAGGAAGTAGTAGGGAGGAGTCAGCATGTAGAGATTGGAGAGAGCAGACATTGGCCCCACTCTCCGGTAAGATGAGACCACGTGGAAATACTTAGATTAATAGAAATGGGTTAATACTTAAGACAGAGAAACAAATAACTGGCCAACAGCATTATATCTAATACAGAGTCTCTGTGTGATAATTGGGGCTGGTGCCTTGGTGGGTCCAGGCCGGCAGGAAAAACCTTACTCCTAACATATGGTGACACAACATGGCTGGTAAGAACTTCCACTTAAACTTTAACAAAAGCTTAAAAAAGAGTTTTAGAAACAAAAGAACAAAGACAAACAAGGCTTCTTGCTAACAGCATTTTTCTGGGTTGGACTCTGTTTTGTGAGAGACAAGCAAAGATTTGCAGGGCTCCTTTAAAGGAGATTTCCTGACTCAGCATAAGTGGCAAAAACCAACCAACCAACCAACCAACCAACCAACCAACCAACCAAACAAAAAAAACCACGTGGCTTTTAAGAAGTGCTGCTAACAATTTATTGGTGTGTACGAGAGCTGGCAATGGCAGTGACCACATCTCCAAGCCAGCAGCATGCTGCTGGATGGCAGCATAGACCAAGGCAGTGAGCACAGCTCTCAGTTCTGCGGTAAAATACCTGCCGCCATCTTGGATAGATCATGGCTAATACAACTATGACTTTCATTTTAGCAATGTTGTTATTTACCAGATAAAAGACTCATGGCCAGAAAAAAGATAAAGATTTACAGTAAAGACAGATTCACATTAAGAAAAACCTCTAAAGGTTTACAGTGTATTTTCAAATATATGTAGGCTTTGGAGAGAAAAAGAATAAAATAGTTTTAAAAAGACAGAGAGGAGCTAGGTGTGGTGGCACATGCCTTTAATTCCAGCACTTGGGAGACAGAGGCAAGCTCTCTGTGATTGCAAAGTAAACCTGGTATGCAGAGTGAATTCCAGGTTAGGTGAAAGTTACACAGAGAAACCCTGTCTCAAAAAATGAAAAAATAAAAGTAAAAGAAACAGAGTAGTAAAAAAGCCACATAAAGATGGAAAGCACAGAGAGAATCTGGATACTGTATGGTATTATATTGTCTTTGTATCATTTGACTGCAGGAGAAATAACAACTGTTAAATGCTGCTGGATCAATCCAGTTTATATATTTTAAAAATGCTTTGACTTCAAAATTTAAGTCTAAGGACAAGTTACTGGGGAAAAGGATTTCTATTTTTGTTTCCATAGAAAATGAAAAGCTGTGGATTCCTTCCAGACTAATGTGGTTTGATCAGGCCAGACCCCCCTGAAACAGAGTACCAGGTGATCCTACATTCAAGTTGGGGCATAGCAGCCTTGCAGACTACAGCCAGGATATCTGCCTCTTCTTAGGATCCCCATAACAGCGCCCCCTATCAGCAGGAAGCAGTTTGGAAAGAACGATGTCCAAATTCCCAAATATTATTTATAAATGTTTTCATTTAAATGGGGTTAGTTATAAATAGTTAATGACCACAACCAATCTTTTTAAAAGTAAAAAGGGGATTATGGTATAGATATGAATAATTTGTTTTGGAATGGATTTTCATTTATTGATACAAATCTAAGGTCAATTTTGTGATATGTGTATCTCTCCTCTTGTTTAGGTATTGTGTTTATATAGCTCATTTAAAAATAATATATAATGTAGTACAGTTTATAGATAATTACCTATAATAGTCAAAACTTAGGGTTAAGTTAGTTAGGTTTTCGAGTTGTATTTGAGATAAATAGACATTCTTCAAACCTTTCAAAGACCTACAGAATATGACATTTAAAATGGTTTAGGGTTTTTCTTGATAGTGAGACATAACTGCTCCCGGCAATACCATCTGCGTCAGAAAGGAAGATGGACATTAAAGAAACACGTTATGGAGTTTGCTTTCAATATGGCAAGACTAGTCATTTGGGCAAGATACTGCTCTTGTGTGGACTGTTTGACTTCATGATGTATAAACTGGACATGCAGGACCCACAGAAAAGTGACTGCTGATTCAAGATGGATATTGCTACAGGGGTTCCTGCTTCATGGAAGAGTCTGTCAGACATTCTGCAGGACACAGAGAAAAGTGGCTGACAAACTGCCAATAAAAGAAGACAGTTTAAACTTTCCTGCTTTGCTGAAGAGTCTGCTAGAGACACTATGGCCTATAGGCTAAAAATGGAACATTACAGAAGAACTTCAGGTTACTGACCAGGCTAGTAGTTGTTTCTGTCATTTTTAGAGTTTATATATTATCTTTCTGTGGTCTTTGAAGGAGCTGAAGACAGATAGTTATGGTTATAGTTTTCCTTAGTTAGGATTAAAGATAAGTTACATATAGGATGTTAGACTCACGAAGAAGAATAGATGATAGAATATTTTCTTTAAATCTTGCTAAATGTTAATGGACTAAATATTGCTAACACTGATTCTTATTTGATAACTGTTGTGTGATATATTTTGCTATGCTAAGGTTAAAACCCTTCCTTTTATTTAGACAGAAAAGAGGAGATTATGGGAGATGTCATTCTGTTAATATGTTTCTCTTACTGGTTAATGAATAAAGCACTGTTGACCAATAGGAAAGCAAGATAGGCGGGACTAGGAGACAAGGAGGATTCGAGGAAGGAGTAGGGGGGAGTCAGCATGGAGAGTCTGGAGAGAACAGAGGTCCGGGCCCACTCTCCAGTAAGATGAGACCACGTGGAAATACTTAGATTAATAGAAACGGGTTAATCATTAAGACAGAGCTAGCCGATGAGAAACAAGTAACTGGCCAACAGCGTTGTATCAAATACAGCATCTCTGTGCATTATTTTGGGCTGGCACGGCAGTGGGACCAGACCGGCAGGGAAAAACCTTACTCCTAGCCAATAAGAAGCTCTAGTCATCGGACAACAGTTTTATAACTAATATAGCATCTGTGTGTTCATTTGGGGCTGATGCAGAAGTGGGACCAGGCTGGCAGGAAGAACCATTAACAACCACATGTCCTTCCAGCTTCATGCCTCTACTTTTCTCCTCCTCCTTTTCTCAAGATTTAATTTTATTTTTGTGTGTTTATGTAGGCGTGTGCAGGTACCTGCAGAGGGCAGCAGAGGGCGTCAGATTTCATGAAACTGCAGTTATAGGTGGTTGTTAGCTACCAAATGTTGATGTCTGGATGTGACTCGGGTCCCCTAGAAGAACAACAAGTACCCTTTGCCACTGTCATCCACTGAAACATAGGCAATGTACCATGGGCCAAATCACAGAAGAAAGATGGCTTTCCTCATCAACAGCCATTGCCTGCCCAAAGCTCATCAATTATGGCTTGGAAAATTGAAAAAAATAATTATATGTGTATGTGAGTTTGTACACATTAGTGTAGGTGAGAGCAGACTACAGAAGAGGGCATCACATTCCCTGGAGCTGGAGTTACAGGCAGTTATTGAGAGCAGTCCAATGTGGATGTTGGGAACTGAACTGACATCTTTTGGAAGAGCAGCAAGTGCTTTTAACTGCTGAGCAATCGCTCCCCCTTCCCCCCCAACGGAAAGAGGTATTTTCCATGTTTTGGAGGTATAAAGACCCAGTAGGTACATGTGTCTGGGGGAGGACACAATAAAGATGCCACCTAAATGGTCACTCTAATAGGAGGGAAGGATTTTATTGCAAGCATTATGGAGAGAACACCCAGAGGTATCTGAAGAGCCCAGGGTAGGGAGAAAAAGAAACAGACTGGACATGGCCAGGGCTAGGGAGGTGGGAATAGCAGAGGGTAGTGGAGAAAGCAATAGATAGAGGGGACAGACCTTGGTGTTATATAGAGAATAATTGACTATATAGAAGAAGGGAAGCCTGTGAAGATGAAAAGGGCCAGGGTGCTAGTATGGGGGATTTGAGATGTGTAATAGGTATTTGTGAATAGGGGCTGTAGGAGCCTGGAGGACAGCATGGGCTTTGATGCGCAAGCACAGGTATATGTCAATGGAGAGCCATCTCTCCCGTCTGCCAGGTAAGGGCGACGACTCCTTTTGGAAGACTGGAACTGTCTCAGGAGTTCCTGAGGAATGCTGGCTTCTATCTAGCCACCAGAATCCTTGGCCCAGCTTGAGTTGGGTCAAGGGAGTAATTTCTGGACATATCCCCAGTCCTTTGGAGTTTGGGGAATTGGATTGTCATTTGAACCTGACAGTATGAAGTCAGACGTATGAAGTCTGAACCAACATTTCCCCTGTGACTGCAAAGAATTTTGTGGGAGTCTAGGACATAGGTCGTGTTCCTGCGCTCGGACAGATGGCCGACCTACAGCTGGTGAGAGGAGATAAGTGATGAGTTCAGGAGCTTGTGTGCAAGTCATCCCACTGGGGAGATGTCCCTGTCTTGATGACTCCCATTTAGGAAAGCTGGGGCTTGTAGAGTCATGGAGGAGGGAATTCTTCACCCTCATCACATCCTGTGCCTTTGTTCCAGGCATCTACAACTTCCCTGCTTGGCCACACAACTCAGGACCGGGCTGTGGAACCATGTCTCCAGCCCTACATGCTTTCTTTTGTCTTGGTGAGTCCTAAGGGTTGACCTGGGAAGTACTTTGAAACAGTCTCTGCGTACAAAGGATCGAAAAATGTCTTGTCAGTGGAACAAGAATGGGAGTCTGTGAGGTTCCATTTGTTGGAAGGAGAAACAGAGAAGAGATGATACAATTGGTTTCATTGTTTTGGTTTGCTTTGCTTGGCCAGGACGCTTGAACAGGTGTTCTGGGGTTGGCCACACTTCCGCCCTCTATACCAGGAACACCAGGGGCGGCTTTCTTTCCTCTCCTTCTCTCTCTCCACTTAAAACATTAATCATTTACTTATGTTTGTTCAGTGTGTGTGTGTGTGTGTGTGTGTACATAGACACACGTGACTCTACACCATGGAGATCAGAGGGCATCTTATTTCTTGCACATGTTGAGTCTTGGGGAACCAAACCAAGGTCGTCAATTTTTGTGGCAAGCATTCTGACTTATGGAATCACTCACTGGCCCTCCTTTCCTCCCTCCTCTACATATCTTTCTTCATCTTGCCTTTTAAACATTTGCAACACCTTGTCTTCTTTCTTCCTTTGCGTCTCCCTCCTTCTCTCCCTTCTTTCTTGCTTTCCCCTTTCCCTCTTCATCTCGCCCTTGTTCCCAGGTGGGTTTGATAGCGTTTGGATGAGTTCTCAAACCTAGTCTGCCTGTATGTGCTTTGATGGCAGAGCACATGAGAATCTTTGCCAAATGATACTCGGCGGAGCAGGTGTTCCTCTTGTCCCCTCTTCACTAGGCTGGTACTCTCGCCGTTGTTTCCTTATTTTATCAGAAGAATTCCATGGCCTAAAGAGGAAGAGCAGGCAGGGGACTGTTGCACTACTGGGGATAAGAGGCATCCTCTGAATACAAGCAACCTGCCACTCACTCTTTAGCACACGCATGTAACACTTATTATAGGTTAGACATTAATTAGTCTGTGGCTCCTCCCCTCTTTGTTTTAAAACATTTATAACTCATTTACTGCCCCATAGCTGAATGAGGCAGGGACCGTAATTGGCTTCGCTTTATAGGTAAATTAATGAAAACCTGGAGAGGTTAAGTACCTTAACGCGTAGCAGGGATTCAAATAGAAACCAAGGAGTTTTGCCGCTATCTCTACAGCTATTTTTCCAGCATGGAAGAGTAATTGGATTGTTTGTTCTGTTTGTAAAAATAATTTTTATGTGTTACAAAAATTTAAATATCATTCACGCGGCTCTGTTTCTGGGCTGTTCTCTACCCCACGGTGGGTCCTTTTTTCTTCCCACTCATGCCACAATCTTACTCACGATTTAGTTTATCTAGAATCTCCACACTTTAAAAATGCTTATCTTCTTCCTTTTTGTAGGTGGGAGGAGGGACATGTATGGGTTTTCTCACTGTCATAAAAAGGTAAATATACTTATAGTGGAAGAAGACGATGCTTTGATAAGTGTCTGCGCATGGAACAGCTAGCTCAAGCTAATTAACATGCATTTCATTTTTTTGTTTATTTTTTGTTTTTGCACCCAACCACAGTTTCCCTCCCCTCTTCCTCCCCCAGTTTCCCCCCCCCCCACTCCTCCTCCCTGTTCCTCTTCAGATGTGGGTGGATGGCCATGGATATCAGCCAGCCATGGTATATCAAGTTACAGTGAGAGTGGGCACCTCCTCTCCTATTAAGGCTGGATAAGGCAATCTGGTAGGAGAAAAAGGTCCCCAAAACAGGCTACAGAGTCAGAGAGAGAGAGAGAGAGCACCCCTGATCTCACTGTTAGGATTCTCACAAGAGGACCGCATATATTCTAATTTTTAAAATGACGAGAACATTAAAAAGTTTCCAGAATAAAATATTATGTGTAGTCATCTCTCAGCACTAAAATACCTGTTACAGAGTTCATACAAGGCCTCTTGGCTCTTCTCACCCTGCCATCTACCCTAACCATCTTCAGCTTATTTAACTCCCCCTCTGCAGCTTCGCATCCCTCTATAATCCTCTGTTTCATCCCCGCATCTCTTGGTGTTCTCTTGACTCCCCCTCTTCCATGCCCTCTCTCTTGGTCCACCTCTTTTACCCCCCACTTTGCCCATGGCCCAGTTCATTTAGTCTACTACTTACCCTCCCTGCTCCGGATGCTTCCATATGGCTTGGGCTTCACATCTACAATAAAAGCCTTCCTCTCAACCATAAGATATGTTGTTATTAACAACGAACAAGCCACACACAGAGGGAATGTGGCAGACAAACAAGACTTGACAGATTTAAGCCGGACAGAGTCCCACCCCTAGCCAAAAGGCTATTTACAATTGAAACACACCGGCAAAGGGAAATCCAGTTTTCTCCAGTGGAGTGTTACTGGGTTTATCACACTCCATACACACTCCATACTCCAGGGCAGGTCAATGCTCTTGAGTGGTTGGCCAACACCAAATAAACTTTTTTTTTATTTTTGTTTTGGCATTATTTTTGTCTAATTGCTTTTTGTTTGTTTGTTTGACTTTTTTTTGGAAGAAAAGAAAGAACATGAAGTTGAGTAGATAGGGAGGTGAGGAGTATTTTGGAGGAGCTGGGGGAGGGCAAACATGATAAAAATATCCTGTATGAAAAATTATTCTAATAAAAAACAAACCATTTAAAATTTTTTTATAAAAAGTTACACCCCCCACTGAAATACTTAAAGACCCAAAGACTATTCAACTAAATGGTTAATTTCTCTCTCTCTCTCTCTCTCTCTCTCTCTCTCTCTCTCTCTCTCTGTGTGTTTGGGGGTTGCAGCTTTTTATAAGTAGACATTCAGAGCAGAAGCTGTGGAACTTCACAGTATATTTTATACTTTCACTATCAAATCTATTTTTATGCTCTTGTCTTAGGTTAGGGTTTCATTGTTGTGAAGCGACACCATAACCATGGAAAGCCCTATAAATGAAAACATTTAATTGGGGCAGCCCACACTTCAGAGGTTTAACCCATTATCGTCATGGCTGGAAGCATAGTGGTGTGCAGGCAGACATGGTGCTGGAGAAGGAGCTACGAGTTCTACATCTGGATCCTCAGGCAGTGGAGAGAGAATACCAAATTGGTTGTGGTTTGAGCATCTGAGATCCCACAGCCCACTACAGCGACGCACTTCCTCCAACAAGGCCACACCTACTCCAACAAGGCCACACATATGTTTATATATATATGTATATGTATGTTTACACATCAACATATATTACTGACTTAAGGTCACATATGAGGGAAGAGATGCAATTTTTTTTCTTGCTAAGATTGTATATGCCTTGCATTCTAAGTCATCCATTAAAAATCATTAGCGACGTTTAGTTCCTTGACGATATGGTACAGGCAGAATTTCTTTCGTCTTCCATGACATTCTTTCCACCCCCAAAGAAATTAGACACGTATTAAGTGTAGGCGGAAATTTCTGTCCTGCCCCATCCTGCAGTTGTTTAGTCCCAAGGAAACTCGAAGAGACTTACATTAATTATAAACTGTTTGGTCGATGGCTCAGGCTTCTTACTGGCTAGCTCTCTTTGGATTATTAACCCATTTCTATTAATCTATGCGTCTCCACTTGGTCTTGACTTATTGGTGATGTCTGGCTCTCCCTGACTCACCTACTACTACCTTTCTATGTCCCTGTTTGGATTTGCTGCCTGGCTAAATCCTGCCTGTCTATTGGCCTACACAACTTTGCTCATCAACCAATAAGAGAAACGTATATTCATAGCACACAGAAGGACATCCCCCATCAATTAAGCAGGCCCACCTCCCCATGGTCGTATTCCTATCATCCCGCATGAGCACTGGCCTGTTTTCTGCATCCTGAAACTATGGCTTTGCCTTTTTTTGGACATTTCACATGACACCATGCAGTATTTCCTCAGCTTTCAAAAAAAAAAAAAAAATGAGTTATTTGAGAATTTTGTGTGATATATTTAGGTCACATCCAGTTCCCCCATAATCCACTACTTTTCACTTTTTTCACAACTTTGTGTGTGTGTGTGTGTGTGTGTGTGTTTAAATTTTAAACCTGTCAAGTAATTTGCGCTGCCCCTATATTCTTGGGTATGTGATCTTCCACTGGATGATGGCCAAGTCACAGCAGGGGGAACACCCTTAAAGAAAATGAACTCTCTCCTCTAGTAGCTATCACAAGCTAGTAGCTCCCTGTTGGGACTTCACACTCACCATCCCTCTCCGGGCTTGGATTTATTTGGTTTTGAGAGTTGGCCTTTTCCATTTGAATGATGTGCAGCAGTGTCTCCTGAAATAAGTAAAACAATTATGGTCTGGGTATGTAGGTCAGTTGAGTGACTTGCCTAGCATCGGTGAAGCCCTGGGTTCTGTCCCCAGTATCACATAAAACCAGGTGTGGTGATGTGTGTATGCGTGCAATCCCAACACTCACCAGGTGGAGGCGGTGGAATTGTAAATTCCAGGTCAACTTCTGTTCCGGAGCAACTCTGAGGTCGGCCTGGGTTGCATAAATCAATGCAAATGAAGATAATTAAAACCAACACAAATGTAATATAATTGTTACGCAAACTAATGTGTGTGTGTAGGTGGTCGCTCAAGGGAGTCTCTAGCCTCTGGTTCTTTCCCTCAGGGCTGTGTGTACTGCAAGTGATCCTAGCTCGGAGTGGTGAGTACATCTCTCTAGTATCCCCAAGCCTCCTGAGGGTTCAGCTAGGGAGAAATCGGAGGGCGTGCCAGGACTCCAAAGGGACCGGTTTTCATTGGAGCTAACCTAGAGGCTGTGATTCCCTCCCAAGGCCCATTCCCTAAGCCTTCACTCAGGGCTCAGCCCAGTTCCCTGGTGCCCTTGGAGCAGCCAGTCACTCTTCGGTGCCAGGGGCCTCCGGCCGTGGATCTATATCGCCTGGAGAAACTGAAATCCGAGGAGTATGAAGATCAAGATTTCCTCTTCATCCCGACCATGAAAACAAGTAATGCTGGACGCTACCGCTGTTCCTATCAGATGGGGAGCCACTGGTCTCCTGCAAGCGACCAGCTGGAGTTAATCGCCACAGGTAACAGAGCGGGGGGGGGGGGGGGGGATAGAGTGTTGTTGGTCTTTTGGCTTCGGGCTGCCTGGATTCCCTGGTGCTAGAGTTGGAATGGGACAAGTGGTCTTGCTTACTAAATATAGGGTGATGTCTCCAGGGCAGTCACTAATCGAAAGGCAAATAACATTTTCATGCGATTCCCAAAATTTTTTTCTTGGAGAATTTCATGCCTGCAAACAACGAAATATAATCCTATCCACTGCCTGTCTCCAACCTCCAACTCCGTGCCATTTCTCCTAACGCATCCCTTCCCAACTTCATATTTTCCTCTTACAATAAAACTAAGTCTGCTCAGAGCTGCCCGTCTGTGCACGGGTATGGGACTATCTCTGGAAAAGATTTTCCTTCCTTAAGCAGCTGTCAACTGCTGGCAACTCTCCTCTCCAATATTAAACTGGCTTGATCTTGTATAGGTAAACCTATCTGCTGTGAGATCATGTTTGCAGAGCAGTGTCATGCTCTGAAGACGGCATTTTGTAAACCTTCTCCATGCTTTTATTATTATTTTTTTCTGCTCCCTTTTCCTCTATGTTTCTTGAGCCTTGGTGAGTGCATAAGAGGCTTGTAGGCCTGAGTTAGATGGTTGTGTATTCTAAGAGTCTTAAGTAAGCCCAGGAGATGACCTATGGATCCATCTCCCCAGTGTGGTTCCTGTCTTTAACACGGTTTTCTTTCTTTCCAGGTGTTTACGATAAGCCCTCCCTCTCAGCTCATCCAAGTTCAGTGGTTCCTCCCGGTGGGGACGTGACCCTGCAGTGCCGGACCCGAAATGGTTTTGATCAATTTGTTCTATACAAAGAAGGGGATACCGAGTCTCATAAGAAACCTGAGAGGTGGTACCGGGCTGATACTGAGCCTTATAAGAATCCTGAGAGATGGTACCGGGCTGATTTCCCCATCACCACAGTGGCTGCCACTCACAGTGGGATCTACAGGTGTTACAGTTTTTCCAGCTCATCTCCGTACCTATGGTCAGCTCCAAGTGACTCCCTGGTGCTTGTGGTTACAGGTAAGTGGGTCCCATCAGCTTTGGAGGGGTATGAGTGTCCTACAGCTGCTGTAACAAATCACCGCAGACTCTTGCTGCCTCACTGTAACACAAACCTATTACCTATTACATTGTGAAGGTCTCAAGTCTGTAAAAGTCTCACCTTTATAAGACAAAGCTGTCAATTATTGCTATTCCACATCGCTGGCGCCAGAGAAGCGCAGATTAAAAAAAAAAATATTCGAGATTCCAACTCACTCCAGTCAGAAGGGTGGTCATGAATAAAAACAAGCAAACAAAATAACAAATACTGATGATAATGTGAACAAAAGTGGACCATTATCAATGGCCACTGGGAATGTAAAACGGTCCAACCACTATGGAAATCAATATAGGCCTTTAGCAAACTAAAAATATATAACTCAGCTCTGTGTATCATAGAGACACTTGCTTTACCATCACTTAATTGCAACAGTGTTTTCAACAGTGAAGTTATATAATCAACCTACATGTCCATCAACAGAGGGATCGATAAAGAAACTCAGAGTTCTTAAAAAGGGAACGTTTTTTTAAAGCCATAAAGTCAAATATTGCATCTCCTCTCATTTGTGGGTCATAGATTTTATACAGATACATAAACTCTCATATGGACACATAACAGCAAAGCTGAAGCAAAACTATCTAGGGCAGCAGTTCTCAACCATTGGGTCATGATCCCTTTGGCGCCTGAATGACCCTTTCACAAGGGTCACCTGAAACCATCATAAAACACAGACACTTGCACTGCAATTCATGGCAGTAGTGAAATTACAGTCATGAGGTAGCAGTGAAAATAACTTTATGGTTGGGGGTCGCCACAAAAAGAGCCACAGCATCAGGAGCCACTAGTCTAGGGGAAGCAAGGGGACGAGTAGAAGGGATGAGACATTGGAGGGAAGAAGGGCATGGAGAAGCTGTTCAAATATACATATTATCTGTACATTATATATATAAACACACATGTATACAGATATATACGTTTTCATATATATACACACACATACACACACAAAAGGTCTTACATAATTTAGCATGATAAAATAAAAAAAACCAATAAGACAACAACAAAAAGTTACAAAGGCCCGTGGTATTTAAAAAAATCAAATGAAATAAAACAAAATGCATGTTGACGACATTTTAGCAACAAAATATCTTTTGTTTGTATATATATATATATATATATATATATATATATATATATATATATTGGGAACGTTCTGGGTCTATCAGCTTTAAGTTGATTTGGACCAGCAGGCCATTCTTCAGTGGCAAAGTCCTGAGAGAGAGGACCAGATGATAGAGAGGATTGAAGATAGAGAAGATAAGAAAGTCTGGGATTGGGAAGTCTTGCACATGCTATGGCCTATGTTAAGCAAAGTCACTAAGAAGTACATCTTACATACTGTTTTCAGTTGAGAAATAGTACAAAGTCAGCAGAGATTTTTTTCATGCAATGGGGGGAAGTCAGCAAGTGGCTAATCAAGTGATGCTGCACAAAGGGAGCATGCTATCTCAGCAGTATTACAGAGTGACCACACAGTCCCCTGATACTGAAACCTTGACCCTTATGAGGCCCTGTCCCACTAGTTCTGAGCAAGGTCACAGGACTCGGTTCCCTTTGTCCTTTCATCAGGGCCTCCGAGAAAGCCTCAGACCCATACTCATTGTTGCCAGGCAACTAAGGTTGCCTGGGAAAAAAACCTCAAGGAGGAAGGATTTGTTTTTGTTTACAGTTTCACAGGCTTGGATTCATGGTGGTCTGCTTCTGTGTTCCTGGGATCACAGTAAGGCAGAAGAACTTCAAGGAAGAAAGACATAGTAGATAGAGCAAGGTCATTGAACATATGGCAGCCACGGAGGTGAATGATCAAAGGAAGGGACTCTCCAAAGGCAGACCCTCAGTGATGCACTTCCTACAATCATGCTGCACCCTCCATGCTCCTCCCACCACCCAATAGAATGTTCAGAATTTTAATCCACCAGTGGGTTAATCCACCGATCCGGTCGGATGCTTTTTTGGTGTAATAGTTTCTGGAAGTGTTCTCATAGACACACCTAGAGGTATGTTTCTAGTTTCTTAGGCATCTCTTAATCCAGATAAGTTGACTGTCAAGAGGTATCACACACTTATTGTAAAAATAGAATAGTATAGGTACCTCGACAGTAAAAGGCTTTTCCTCTTTGATTTTCCAAGCCACAACTAATTATTAGATTTTATTCTTTAGCAGTCATTGTCTATGACTCTATGGAAACAACACAGCCTGAATGAAAATGATTAGTTCACAAAGAAAACGAGATATAAACACATCAAAGACTATGAGACAGATGCTATGTTTTCTAGACATGACACGGAAGATGGACCCATGAAATCTCAATAATATGGTTGCCTAAACAAGACATGCATAATGACAGCCCTGATTGACAATGACAACTGTGTCAAATCTCACGAGGCCCCACCTCTTGATGAAGAGCTATAGGTGAATTTATGGCTGCTCAGAGAGGGAGAATTTGTCTTCCCTGGAGACGAAGCCACCTGAGATGCTATTCAGTACAAGGACAGCCTGAAATACATGTGCATATGAGTAACACTAAATGCATTCAGTAGGTTATGTGTTACACACACACACACACACATACACACACATACACACAAATAATGAAAAAGTGGTCATGAATTTGACGTGGAGTAGGGGTGAGTTGGAGAAGGAAAAGTGTGGGGTGGTAGAAATGGTGTAAACAGAGAACTTATATATGAAATTTTCAAAAAATTATTTTGTGTTCATGAATTATTGGGTTGTTTACATTTGCTTTGGTTTTACAGTACCTTATTTTTTTCTCCTTATTTTAAAATTTTATTTTTTTCAATTCATGGTCTTATGTATCCCAGGCTGGTTTGAACTTCTTACATAGTGGAGGATAACCTTGAACTTCTGAGTTCTCGGACTACAGGCTTGAGCCACCACGCCTGGTTTGTGTGGTGCTAGGGATGCGGCATGGGGCTTTGTGCACACTAAGCAAGCTACCCCAACTGGGTTGCATCATCAGTCTATTTTTCAACTGTCAGTTTTGATATTTCCATAGAATAGAATATATTATTAAAGAATTGGTATAGATTATAAGTATGATTTAAAATAATGAACTGAACGTATCTCTGGTAGGGCACATACTCAGCATGCACAAGGTGCTCAGGTTCACTCCCAAGTACCAAAAACAATGAATGAGTGGACGAATGCATGAATAAATGAATTAAAGGAGAAAGGACTATCATATTCTGTTCTATTCTAACACTCAGAATACTGCATACTGTTTTCAATATTTACCTCCCCTCCCATTGCTCACTGCCCCTCACCCGTGATTCCTGGTGCATTTCCAACACTTGTCTCCACATATAATTCCTGGGGACAAGTGCCAGTCAAGTGACAAATGACAAGTGAGGGTGTAGTCCATGCAAGACAAAGGTAAGGAAGCAGCTGTAGAATGTACCAGGAAACTTGCCAAACATGCTTTCCAACCTGTCAGAAATGGAAGCTTCTTCATACTCAGAATTCCCAGTTAACAGACTCACAGGGTACCGACTTCCCTTCTTTCCTGATTTCTCAGGACCCACTGCCACTCCCAGTCAGAGTTGCCAGCTCCCATAATAGGTGAGTTCAGTAGTTCCTGGTGACTGGGGAATGAAGCTCTACCATGAAGGTGCCCTCAAATGTAGTCCCCATCCTCAAGAGGTATATACGCACAGGCTTTTAACAATATTTGACTTTATTTAATTAACACTTTTCATTTATTTTATATATCGACCACATTTTCCCTCCCTCCTCTTCCTCTTTCTCCTCCTCTACTCCCTCCATGCCCCTCTTCCTCTATCTTCATTCAGAGAGGGCCAGGCCTCCCATTGGCTTGAACAAAGCATGGCACATCAAGTTAAAATAGGACTCCCCCTGAATAAAGGTTGGGCAAGATAATTCAGCCTGGGGAACAGGTTCCCAAAACTGGCTAATCGACAGAGACGGGCTGTGATCCTACTTCTAGGAGCCTTACAAACAGACCAAACTACACAACTGTTATAGTCCCCCTTAAGAAAGGGAGGAGGGATTGTACAAGCCAGGGGGTCAAGGTCATGATGGAGGAACCTACAGAGACAGCTGACCTGAGCTCATGGGCTCTGGACCATCAGGGAGCCTGCATGGGGCCAACCTAGGCCTTCTGCATACTCACAGGCTTGATGGATTCAGGAAACATTTTGGTAAAAATAATAGGCAGTCTTAGGCAAAGACAATGGACTTAGAACAGAAGAAACCTCCTGAAGAAGAGGCTAATAGCTGGTTCTCTTATGATACCAATTTAAAACTGACATACAATTCACATACCATGTGTCCACTAAGATGGTTATAACTTATACAAACACCAACCAACCAACCAACCCAACCCAACCAACCAACCAACCAACCAACCAACCAACCAACCAACCAGTCAAGTGTTGGAAAGATTACTGGGGAGGGGGTTGTCAAATAAAGCATATGACTTTAAAACTAGACTTGTAGTCTTTCAGAAGTTGAACAGAATTATCCCGTGACTTACTAATTCTGAAATTCTTGGGCTGGTACTAATAAAAATTGAAGGCTTAAAAAGAAAATTGAAAACTTACTGTCTTAATTACTTTTTTTCGTTGCCATGATAAGACACTATGACCAAGGTAACCTATAGAAGAAAGAGTTTACTCAGCCTTAAAGTTCCAGAGGGTGAGTCTGAGGCCATCATGGTAGGGAAGTATGGCACCAGAAGGCAGGCATGGCTCTGTAGCTGTAACCGAGCGTTTGCATTTTGATCTACAAGCATGTGGCGGAGAGAGAGAGAGAGAGAGAGAGAGAGAGAGAGAGAGAGAGAGAGAGAGAGAGAGAGAGAGGTGACTGGTGTGGGCTTTTGAAACCTCAAAGCCTACCCCCCCAGTTGATAAACCTCCTCTAATGAGGCCACACCTGCTAAACTTTCCCCAAAGTTTCATCAGCTGGGCAACAGACATTCAGATCGATGAGCCCATGGAAGGGGCGTTCTCATTCAAGCCGCCACACTTAAGTTCACACAAGCTCTTACACTTGGATGCTTGTGACAGCATTATTCACACCAGCCCCAAAGAGGAAACGACTTACCAGTTGAGAAATGGTTCAATTCTTTGAAGCCACTGGGCACTAAGTTTGGGGCTGTTTGAATTTAGTAATCTCAGCAGTTGGGCAATGTGTGACCGATGAAGGAACTTTAGAGAACTCAGAAGGGTTCAGGAGGGTGAGGCCATTTGGGATGAACTGTTTTTATTCTGTGTCCTTATAATATTTCTGCTTGTAACCCTTAGAACCCTCCAGGGGACCTTCCAACTTACTTTCAACCAAGATACCTACAACTGGTAAGTAGGCATTTAAGCTCAATAGAAAAGAGGCATGAGGGGTGACATCCCCAGCCCTATACCGTTCTTGCTTCTCCCCCTGCCCAGTACCCTCCCTCACTCCTTGCCCCCGCCTCCTCCTGTGGGACCTCTTCCTTTCACAACTAGCCTTCGCTCTGCTTTCAGTCAGGTGGAGTGTGTTGGCGTAAACATACCCTCCCGCCTGTCCACACCTTTATCCTCCCTCCTTCCCAACTTTCCCTTTTTGTATTTTTCTAGACAGGTTCTTGCTTCGAAGCCCAGATTGGCCTTCAGCTCCTGATCCCCCAGCCTCATCTTCTTCACAGGCATGTGCCATCAAACTCAGATCCAGTCACTTTCTTGATGTATTTCATATTAAGTTGTAGGATCAAAAAAAAAAAAAAAAAAAAAAAAAGTGATGAGGATGGGTTTCTGTTTCCTATCAGCAGAGTCTATAGACACTTTTCTCCGAGTCAGAATTTCATGTAGACTCGGCTAGCCCCAGTCCTACTATACGGGAGCTGATGACCTTGGACTTCTGTTCTTGCTTCTTACTGGGATTAAGGCATGTGCCATCATACTCTGTTTATGTAGTGCTGGGCATCAAACTCAACACTGATACATGCGAGGCAAAGTGCTTAACTAGCCAAGCTATCTTTCTGACCCCATTTATGTTTTTATTTATTTTTTTTTGTGGCAGGGTCCCACTATGTAATCCTAGCTGGATTCAAAGTTGCTATGTGGACCAGGGTGGCCCCAGATTCACAAACGTCCATTGGCCTCTGCTTCTCAAGTGCTGGGATTAAAGATGGATACTACCACACCATACTCACATTTATAGTTCATATATACATTAGATATATGTACACACACACACACACAAGATGATTTTATACAATATTTCATTTTTATTTAAAATCTGTATATACAGTAGGTTTTATAAAATTAATTTTTATTTAAATTAAACACAATCTTATTTTACATATCAATCACACTGCTTTCTCCCTCCGGTTCTCCCATTCCCCCCACATCCCACCACCCAGTCGTTCCTCAGGGAGGGTGAGACTTCCCATGGGGAATTATTAAAGTCTCACTCGGTAGGTGTTGTTCATACTATTTCCCCTCCCTAGTTACTCCCAAATCACCAGTTTTGTCCTATAGGGATCAGGCGTGGATTTTTTTTTTTTCATTGTGACATTGTGTCAGTGCTTATAAATATCAAATGTTGTGTTTCACATTTTGCATTTCCAGATTATCAAGGCTTAATCTGTACTATTGCATTATAATATCAATTCCAGATGATAGATGATAAAATCAACTCACAGCTGTTGAGAGACTTCCCAGAGGTCCTTTGTATAACAAGTGACGTACAGGAAAGTCAGATCTGGGCAGCCTGTCTCTGTGGTTTGTGTCCTTGTTAAATGTCATGCGCTTCTGCCCCACAAGCAGATGAGAATGCATGCTTGTCTCCATTTGTTGACACTTGGCCCTTGTTTCATTCTTAGAGAAGGCTATGAACACCACTGCCTCTCTAGAGGGGTCAAGTCCTCCAATTGGTAAGTGGTCCTATTCATTCCTTTATACCCCATCTCTTCATTCAGAGCAGACTCTTTTCCCTGTACATGGAAGATATAGTTCTGTTATCTTGGGACCTGGTGCATAAAACATCAAGAGGACTAGAATGTTAGCATACAGAATTAAGAAGTGTTCAAGAAGATTAAATGGGAAGGTTGAAAATTTCCCAATAGTCAAATAAGGACATTTCCTCTCTCCACCACTCTCTTACAGTTATGTTCTCTCATAACCCAGCAATATAATAGGAATTGCTTGTATCCGAGGAGGGATTGTACTGGGATTCTAGGAAAGGATCTATGAGAGCATTGCTGGATAGAGAGTTGGGTTTACTCAGTTCTGACCCTTGGTGAGGATGGAAGGACCCTTTGGGAAGATGATGAACATCTTATCTGATAATAAAATATCAACCAGGGCCTAGAAATGAGCCTTTTTAGCATTTGTTTTCAACTTTCTTCCTTTGTTTAGGTTTTTCCCACCAGCACTATGCCAGAGGGAATCTGGTTCGAATATGTCTTGGTGCCATGATTATAATATTCCTGGTGGGGCTTCTGGCAGAGGATTGGCATAGTCGGAAGAAACACCTGCCACAAAGGATCAGAGCTGTGCAAAGACCACTTCCACCCCTCCCACGGGCCTAGAAATAACATGGCTTGTAGGATAATGGTTGACCAGATGTCCATCACAATTAGAGCCCCAGACATGGATATACTCAAGAATGGGGATTTTTTTTTTTATAAAGAATGTGTTAGAGACTAATATGAGGGCTGAGCCAACAAGGTAGGATGGAGATCCGTATGCCTTCTTGATGTTCGATCAAGCAGTTGAGTCAGTGTCTACTTTGCTGAAAAAACTCCACATGAGATGGAAAAATCTTGGGGAAATCTATCTCTTTTTTTTTTACTTTGCATGTTGTAGATACCATACTACACCTGTGTAATGGCATTTCTTCAATCTTATCTAACATGGGTTCTAGATTGATTTAACACAGCTGACCTGTTCTATCCTTTACATATCCAGTGTTCTCTGGTAGTCTGTGTTCCTCATAGTAGCAGTAGTCAATAGTCAATAGATTTAGCCTTTATCCTAACCCCATCTTGAGTCACAGTTGGATAAATATTTTACTTTTTAGACTGGAAACCGGTTCTCTAGAAAGTAGGTTAGGGAGTTACTTTTCATGAATATATAATAATCTATATGATCAATACAGTCCTTTTCTTTTATTTACAGCAGATATATTTCAAGAATCCAAATGGATGCTGAGAAGTATCATAGTATTTTTCCTACATATATTATTACATTTTGAGGCCATTAAAATAAGAGGCATCCAACCAGAATCTCTGTGAAAGTTGGTCTGCTAAACAAGGTGGCTGTTATATCCTTGTGAGCATTCAGGCAGTGTATACACATCCAAAAAGGTTGATTCACGTCCTGGAATGTGATAGTGTAGGATGGCATGAGAGTTTATACTGCTACATATAACTTACATGCTATACTTTGTTCATTTCTGGAATTTTACAATTTAATATTTTCAACCTAAGATTGATCACATGTGATAGAAACCATATGAAGCAAAACCACACATAGCATATATATATACACTTGTACTTGAAAAATTATATTCCACTCACTGCCAATCCCTCCCAATATGCTCAGGAGATCTTGTTCCTTTCTCCTTCTGTGAGGGACCTTGTATGAATCTCTTAGGTTCTTCCTTGTATCCTAGTTTCTCTGGTGGTGTGAACTATAGGCTGGTGACACTTTGCTCTGTGTCTAAAATCCATATATGAGTGAGTACATACCATGTTCTTCTTTTTGTGACTGTGTTATCTCATTCAGGATGGTTTCTTCAAGTTACATCCATTTGCCTGTGAATTTCAAGATTCCATTGTTTTTTTTCCTACTGAGTAGTATTCCATTGTGTAGATGTGCCACATCTTCTTTATCCATTCTTCAGTTGAGGGGCATCTAGGTTACTTCCAGGTTCTTGCTATTACAAATAATGCTGCTATGAACATAGTTGAACAGATGTCTTTGTTGCATGGATGTGGGTCATTTGGGTATTTGCCTGAGAGTGGAATTGCGGGGTCCTGTGGTAAACTGATTCCCATTTTCCTGAGGAACTGCCACACTGATTTCCAAAATGGAGTGGAGAGGGAGTTAGGTCAAAGGGAAGGGGAGGAGAGGAGAACATGTGGGACCAGGAAGATTGAGTCGGGGGACAAATAGAGGAGAGAAAAAAAAAAAAAAGAGAGAGATACCATAATAGAGGGAGCCATTATAAGTTTGAAGAGAAAACTGACTCTAGAGAAATGTCCAGAGACCTACAAGGATGACCCAAACTAACAATCTAAGCAACAGTGGAGAGGCTACCTTAAATGCCCTTCCCTGATAATGAGATTGATAACTAACTTATATGCCATCATAAAGCCCTCATCTAGTAGCTGATGGAAACAGAAGCAGACACCCACAGCTAAACACTGAGCCAAACTCCTGGAATTCAGTTTCGGAGAGGGAGGAGTGATAAGAAAAAGGTGACAAGACCAGGCTACAGAAACCCACAGAGACAGCTGACCTGAACAAGGGGGAGTTAATGGACCCCCCCCAGACTGATAGCTGGGAAACCAGCATTGTACTGACTCAGACTCCCTGAACATGGGTCTCAGCTAGAAGGCCTGTGTAGTCTAAGGGACCTCTGACAGTGGAACCAAGATGTTTCCTTGGTGCATGAAAGGACTCTGGGAGCACATTCCCCATGGAGGGACACTCTCTTAGCCTAGAGGCAGGAGGGAGGGCCTAGACCCTACTCTAAATGACTTGACTTGACAGACTTTGATGATCCCTCCTGGAAGGCACCACCTTCCCCGTGGAGTGGGTGGGGAATGAGATGGGAGGGGGGTTGGGGGTCATGGGAGGGAGGGAAGGAGAGGGAACTGGGATCAATATGTAAAATAAGAAAAAATAATACTTATATAGAGAAAAAATTATATTCCAACTTCACAAAATCCAAATAACTGTTTATGATAACAAGTTACTACAGATGTTATAATACAATAAAACTCTGAGTAATCTTGAAGGAAACCACCAGTGATATAGGCATTTCGAGATTAACAGTCAAGATGCCAACCCACAACACTAATTCAGCCACTCAGCCTGTGGGCCCCGTCTCCAAAAATAAAAGAATCAGCAAAGAAAGTGGGGAGGAGTTGAGAGAGATTGTTATCAGCTCAGGACACCCCAAACCCAAGTTCTCAGCACAGAAAGTTTTATTTGCTCCTCAGGGACAGAGGGCAGGGAATAAGAGACCAAGACGGAGACAAGGGGGAGGGGGAAGGGAGCAAGGGAGCGGGGGGGGGGGGAGGCATATTTACCCTAGAGGAATAAAGACTGCCTCTGGACAGACAGGACACAGACATGGCTCATACACCAAGGGTGGTTTATAGACCCCACATTAGGACAAAGTGTTTAATTTTAAAAATTAATTAGTTTTTTACATTCCAATCCCAGTTTCCCCTCTCCCCTCTCCTCCTGCTCCCTCCATTCCTCTTTTCTTCTATCTGCTCCTTAGAGAGGGTGTGGCCTCCCCTAGGAAGTCTACTAAGTCTGTCCCATCATCTCTTTGAGGCAGGACCAAGGCACCCATCGACCCCCACACCCCTGTGTCTAGGTTGGGCAAGGTATCTCTCCATATAGGATGGGCTCCAATAAGTCAGTTTGTGCAATTAGTGTTAGATCTTGGACCCACCTCCAGTGGCCTCATACACTGTCCCAGTCACACCATTGTCACCTATATTAAGGGGATCTAGTTCAGTCTTTTGCAGGTTCCCCATTTGTCAGACCCGAGTCATTGATCTCTCATTGGCTTGAGCCAGCTGATTCTGTGTGCTTCACCATCATGGTCTTGACTCCTTTGTGAATATTATCGCTCCTCCCTCACTTTGATTGTACGCCAGGAGCTTGGCCCAATTGTTAGTTGTGGATTTCTCCATCTGTTTCTGTTTCAAGCTTCTCTAGGGTTGTGGACTGTAGGCTGGGTATCTTTGCTTTATGTCTGATATTCATTTATGAGTGAGTACATATTATATTTGTCTTTCTGGTTTTGGGTTACCTCAATCAGAATGTTTTTTTCTCTAGTTCTGTTCACTTCCTGAGAATTTTAGGATATCATTATTTCTTACCACTGTGTAGTACTTCATTGTGTAAATATACCACCTTTTCTTTATCCATTCTAGGTGAGGGGCATCTAGGTTGTTTTCAATATTTGGCTATTGTGAATAATGTTGACATGAATATAGTTGAACAAATGTCCTTGTGGTGTGAGTGTGCCTCGTTCAGGTATATGCCCAACAGTGCTATTACAGGGTCTTGAGGTAGGTTGATTCCCATTTTTCTGAGAAATTGTCATACTTATTTCCACTACAGCTGTACAAGTCTGCACTCCCACATGCCTTAAATGTCTTATGGGTCACTTTTATACTATGGTACAAGATAGAATTGCATATTGACATTATACATTTTATTTTAATATATGGTACATGCATGCATACATGCCCATTCGTGTGTTGGTGGACTACACTCTTGTGTCTGCATACAGAGGTCAGAGGTTGCCATAGGGATGTCTTTCTCAATCAATTGTTTACTATTCTGCCCCCACCCTAGTTTATTTTATTGTTTTGTGTACATGTATGCATGTGAACCACATCTGTGAGTGGTGCCTGTGGGAGCTCAGAATTGGGCATTAGATTCCTGGAACTGAAGTTACAGATGATTGTGAGTACCATGTGGGTGCTGAAAACAAAAACCTGAGTTCCGTGCAAGAGCATCAAGTGCCTTTAGCTGTCCGTCCATCCCCCCACTATCTTGCTCTTTGAGTCAGGATTCTCTCACTGATGCCCTGGAGATCAACATTTTGGTTTAAGTGGAAAGTGGCTGGCCAGCAATCTTCCTGGATCTTCCTGACTCCATCCCCAAGTACTAGCGCTATAAACCTGTATGCCATAGGGCTTTTATGTGTGTATTGGAGATTCAAACATTAGGACTAAAGTCCTAATGTTGGCATAGCAAGGGTTTTACACACTACGTTAAATCCCCTACCCCAGCATACTGGGTCTTGTTAGCCTATGCTAGCCTCAAACTTGCTATGTATCTAGGGATGGCTTTGAATTTCTGATCTTCCTACCTCCGTCTTCTACATTTGCTACCATACCCAGGCAGAGCTCCTGGAGGCCATATACTTAAGAGTATGTGGGCAGCACAAACTGTAGTTGATTGTTTAAAAGAAGGGCATAATTTGAGTGTGTAAGGAAGGGCAGATGGACCTGGGAGAAGTTTGGGTGAGAGGGTAGGATGCAACCAAAATATAAGAAATTCTCTAGAAGTAAAGAAAATGAGAACAGTAAGTAAAAACAAAGGAATAAGGTTGAGAGCAACTGAAGACAATAGGCACTGACCTATGGCTTCTGCAACCACACCTCTGTACACATGGACATGTGGGTTTACTTATGCCAGAGCACACCCCTTTCTAGGTAGAAGGCATATACTTCAGGGATAAAACGAATCGCATGATAAATTCATGACCAAGTGACATGGCACTGTGCATTCTATACTTTAATTCTACTAGCAGCATGATGGATTTACTTGTAGCAGAACCGCCTCTAGCACGTGGGGTACTCTTCACACTGCTATGTTAAGATGCCTCTGGTGTCATCTGAGAGGGACTTTCCTTATGTGATCACCATCCTATGTGTCCCACCACTGACCAAAGTGTTACACAGCATGTGATGTTCCATGGTATGAGCGACAGAGGCACACAAGGTCATCCCTAAAGGCATTTAACAAGCCTTGTGGAGGAACTTCCTGGAATCTGGAGTGAGTAACCACAGAACAGGATGGTTTGAGGGTGCATATACTTACCTCCAAGTCCATTGACTTGTTCACATTAAATATGCACCTTTCATTATTTTATTCATTTCCCCTCAGCTCTGCTGAGAAGCAATTATCAAAAAGGTAATATTCATGTTGGATAATGGGGTTGAATATACATATAAACTGAAATGTTACAACCAAATTGCTGAACACACCCATGACCTCGAAGTAGTTTTGTGGTAAGAATATTCCAGGTATATTTTAAGTATCTTTTGAAAATGGAAATTTGATTTCCCATGAAATATATTCTTATCATGGTTTCTCCTCTCCCAACTCCTCCCGGATTCTTCCTACCTCCCAACCTACCCAAATCCATACCCTTCCTTTCTCTCTCTCATTAGAAAAGAAGCCAGCACTTTCAAAATGAAATAAAAAGATGAAGATTAATGTAAAATAAAACTGAAACCAGAATAGGAAGAAACAAACAAAGCCAAATAAAATGTATAAGAGACACATAGATGCAGAGACAGGCACATTAGGAACACAGAAATCTCATTAAAAAAACACAAACCAGAAACCATAGTCTATAAGCAAAAGACCTGCAAGTAAAAACAAAACAAACTAAAAGCAAACTAAAACCTACCAAAGTATCTGGAGTTTACTTTGTGTTGACCGTCTACTACTAGACATGGGGCCTGACCTTAAGTGAGGTTTTTATACCCAGCGAGACTCTTTTGGCGACAACTAATTTTTTCCATTGTGAGCAGTTAAAATTTTGTGATAAGAACCTTTAAAATACATTTTAACGATCACATTGAAAGAGAAGTTCCATATAGTAATTGTAATTACTACACAATACAATGGGCCCCAGGACGTTCTCACCCTAAATAACTGGAATTTTGTACCCCATAGACCATCAACTTAATGATCTTCTCTACGGCGTACGGGAGGAGGTCCTTCTTTGCCTTTTGACTAGGTTCCTAACTTTGTTCTCTGTCCCTGTCCCTTGTCCTGGAATGCCAAATGCCTTTGCTGCCAAAATACTACAGAAAAACAAAGGTGGCTATGCAAGGGTGTGTGAGTGTGTACTGGGTACAGCAAAGGGTATCTGTGTGCGCCATGCAGAGGTTCCTGGTTCAGACTTGAGTTGGTGTGAAAATTCACTGAGACTTCCAGGCTGTAAGGACACCCCCATTTCTCCTCTCCTGTGTTAATTGGCGGTTGAAAGGCTGTGGGGAAGAAGGTCAGCTCCCGGTGTTGGCCTCCTGAGGAATCCTTCTGGGGTGGTTGGGTAAATTACACCTGTTACCTAGGCCATGCTTAGTGCTGGCTGCTGTGCCCAGGTGAGTCAAATGCATGCAAGTTAAGTGGAAAGTTACCCTTGCTTAAATGAGTCTCAGTGTTTAAGGAGGCCTGATTTGGAAATGCATTGAATGACAGAGAGGATAACACATGCATCCAGGACACAAACGTAAATCTTATGCAACAGTGACTGGCACATATCATCACAGATTTAATCCTGAGGCTGAACTATAATACCTTAAGATATTACATCACCTCTATAAACAAAGTGTGATTGATGCCATTTGTTAAAGGGGGATGCTTAGCCAGGCATGGTGGATCTTGTCTGTAAGCCCAGTACTCAAGAGGCTGAGTCAGGAGGATTGCGTTGAGGATTCGACTACAGCAAGACCCAAAAATAGGGGGTGAGGAAGGAAACAGGAGAGGTGTCTCTCAGGACAAAACCACGGTGTTTCCAAACTCAACCCACTGCTTGGCCTGACAGCTGGTAGGCTCAGGTATTGCAGTTTTGTTATCTGTGTGCTCCAAATGCCCCAGAGAACAGAAAGATCCCCTGGCACCACACTCTTGCTATGCTCAACACCACACCTGTTTCTGAGTCTCTGAAACACAGAATATTCTGGACCTGGGTTCCAGTGAAGGAAAAGCTGTTGCAAGTCACGGAAGGAGTTGTTGGGGATGTCTTCTCCAAGTCCACTACAACGTTTGCACAGAGAAGTTCTGAGCACTGGGGGATGAGATTTAGGTGGCTGAAGCGCCTGCCCAGCCAGAGTACTGAGCTTGGCGGAGGGTGTCAGGATTGAAACACTTAATAGACCACCACGAAGAGTGAAGAAGTTGCTGCCATTTATTACAGAGTAATGGGCTTATATACTCAAGCCAGGGAATGGGCTAAGCATAGGAGGAAATCATGCACCACCCACACCTTGGGTCAAGGCATGGACACTGCACACCTGAAAGTTAGGAGAACAACTTTGTTTGATCAACCTTGAGAGCATGGGAGTTCTACAGCTGGGTAGGGAGGAAGAGAGCTGTAAGGGACAAGTACTTACATTTCCCAATAGTCGGCCAAGTGCTTGCCTAGCATGCACAAAATGCTTGAGTACAGGAACAAGCTTGTAATGTCAGCATGCTAGAGCTAGAGGCAGGGGGGTCAGTTCAAAGACATCCTTAGCTATAGAGCAAGTTGAAGGCCAGGCTTGGCTACATGAGAACCTGCTTCAAAGAATCAAAATTGAGTTCAAACCCCATGTCTAATAAGTTTTTCCTGGAAAGGCATCCAAATAGTCATGTAAGGGGAGGAGGAAGCCACAGAGACACTCCCCAGAAGAGTAAATAGTCAATGGACTGTGGCTCATCTCTCCAAAGCCAGCGTCTACGCAGGCTCCCTGCATAGGTGTGGGGAAACACTCTTATAAGGTTGCCTTCCCAACGGAGCTCCGTGATTGGCCCCTGGGAATCAGTTCTGTCCCTGAGGAATTTCTATCTAGGAAAGGATAGGCAGAGACTGACCTCTACTCCAGCTGTATGCGGTTCCTAGCCACACCAGTTGTTTGCAATTTTGATTGCAGTTAGACTTGTCCATGCCAGGGTGGGTGTCATTTCACAGTGCTAATGTCCCAAGAGTCTGTTTTATGTGGCTGTCAAACATTAAAGAGTCATGAAAGCCAAAGGGGACTTGAGAGGGGGAAAGACAAGAGATAGTAATGGGAGAAACAAATTACAAGTAATTGTGTTTGCTCTCATAGGAATCTAGATTTATTTGTTTTAACATATGCATCTACAATCTTAGCATGTATGACTCTGTTTTGGTTTTAGCTTGGCTTGTTGGAATCCATGATGAGTTTTAGGATTTTTTTTTAGCTATAAAGCTGTTGGTCAGTTACTTATCAGCTATCTCTGTTTTAAATATTAACCCATTTCTATTAATCTAAGTATTTCCACGTGGTCTTATCTTACAGGAGAGAGGCCCCAGGTTCTTCTCTCTCCATCCTCCATCTTGAATCTCCTCCCTACTCCTTCTGGAATCCTTATTTGCTACAGGGTTCCTGCTTCATGGAAGAGTCTGCCAGACAGTCTACAGGACACAGAGAAAAATGACTAACAAACTTCCAGGGCAGGTGGACAGTTTAAACTTTCCTGCTTTGCTGAGGAGTCTGCCAGACACACTATGGCCTATAGGCTGAAGATGGAACATTACAGAAGAACTTCAGGTGACTGACCAGGCGAGTTGTCTCTGTCATTTCTAGAGTTTATATATTATCCTTCTGTGGTCTTTGAAGGAGCTGAAGACAGAAAGTTATGGTTATAGTTTTCCTTAGTTAGGATTAAAGATAAGTTACATATAGGGCGTTAGACTCACAAAGAAGAATAGATGATAGAATATTTTCTTTAAATCTTGCTAAATGTTAATGGAAAGACAAGAGTGGTTAAAAGTATAGCTTGGGGTAAATAAGCATTAAAGTACTTAAAGCTTAACAGAGACATCAAGAATCTGTCTACAGTAGAAACTGTAGGCTTCATCTCACCATGCCCTTTAGAATGCTTTGCTAAACTTGGTGACACTACCCCTTTATTCCTGCAATGACCACTTCCTTCCTCCAGGGGGCAGAATAGAGCTCATATGGCCCCAGGTCCAGGAATTGCCTTCAGTCCCCCCATAGAAATCGCATCCTTTTGTTCCTCTTCAAGAGAGCATTGCAGACTCAGTCTTCTTCTGCATTCCCAACTTGCTGATCTGTTGTTCCCCTCTTTATCCCTCTTCCTACTGAGCCAGTCTTCAGCCAAAAGACATATTAGAGCCGTCAGGACTATGCATGCCAGACCAATCCGAATGAGATTTTGGGTTGTATGATCCCAGAGGGCAGAGCCTGGAGTCAGAAGACAGAGTGGCTGCTGACAGAGGCTACACCCACCCCTCTTTCTCTTTGACATTCCTGCTTTACCCATCACCTTTCCCCAGAGTCTGTGCTTCTCGATGTTCACTTACCCTTCTGTAATCCTGATTCTTTGGTAGGAAGGTTGTCCTCCCAGTAAACTGAGGATAAGGAAAAGACGAAGGGATGAATGAACAGGTGCTGGATTCTTCCTTTGAAACAGTTCTTTTTCCCTATATGCCCCATGGCATCCTATGGCTTTCCAACATTGGTTCCCACCCAGAATTCCAAGTCCTAGGGGCTTCATATTGGCAATAGAGCAGACTAGTAAAGAGATGGATGTACTCAAGTGTGGATTCACCCATTGTACTAATAGAGATGTCTTCATGGCAGACAGTAACTCTGGGGAAGCCTTATGCTCCTCACTCATCCAATATAATTTCCTTCTCACATGAAGACAAATCCACAAACAGCATTTCCTTCACTGTCTGGAGCAAGCTGCCCCCATCCCCATCATCACTTCTGTGATGCTCTGTTTTAAATGTCAATTTGCCATGATGTAGAATTCTCTGAAAAGGGAGTTCCAGTGGGAAATTATTTAGATCAGTTTGGCCTGTGGGCATGTCTGTGTGGGATTGCTTTAATTACTATTTGATGTATGAAGATCCAGTCTATTATGGATGTCGCTGATGGGGGATGCCCTTCTGTATGTATGGTTATCTTATTGGTTGAAGAATAAAACACTGTTTGGCTAATAAAGGCAGGAAGATAGGCGGGACTAGGAGACAAGGAGAATTCTGGGAAAGGTAGGCAGAGAGGTAACTCAAAGAGATGCCGTGTAGCAGAGGAAGGAGTAACAGGTATGGATCCTTCTCTGGTAAGATAAGGTCATGTGGAAATATCTAGATTAATAGAAGTGGGTTAATAGGAAGACCTAGCCATTGGCCAACAGTTTTATAACTAATATAGCATTTGTGTGCTTATTTGGGGCTCAAGGGAAGCCTGGTCTGGTGGGACAAAAATCTCCAGCAACATGTCACCATTCCCTGGGCAGGGGTGTATGAATGTAGAACAGGAGGACACTTGACAAGAGCAGAAATAAGTAGCATGGATGTATTTGTTTTTCTCTGTGCTTGGCTGTGGATGTAATGTAACTAGCTGCCTGAGTTCTTGCCATGACTTCCTCTAAGAGATGACCAAATCAACCTTTTCATTTTCCATTTGCTTTTTAGGCAGGGTGTCTTATCACAGCATCAGAAATTTAATTCTCACTGGAGAATTACTGTAATGGAGGCCTGTAGTTGCTCAAGGTGGAATGCTTTACCGTGAATGAGCTTTATCACACTCCTCTTCCCAAGGATTAGGGATTATTGTGGAAGGGGTGTGGTGGAAAGACTTCAAGAGCCAGAGGTGGGGGATGACTGCAGTGAACTAGCTTCTTCTGACCACAACAGGGGATGTGCACATACAAACTCATAAGTATGATGTTACCATTCGTAAGACCTGTACAAGCTCAAGCTAGATCAAATCCCAACCTGGAGAGAGGAGGTATGTGTGAAGCCCCATCCCTGGATGAGGAACCGTTGGCATTTGATGGCTGCTGGTGGAGGAAGAATAGATTCTTTTATGTTTTTGTTCCCTTGTAGATTGACCATACTCTTGTGGAAGGTTACACAACCAAGAGATATGGAGAGCACAAATTGTGTTTAATGAGTTTTTTTTTTTTTCTAAAGAAGCCACAAAAATTGTGTGATGGGGGATGTCATTCTGTAAATATGTTTCTCTTATTGGTTAATGAACAAAGCCTTGTTGGCCAATAGGAGAGCAAGATAGGCGGGACTAGGAGACAAGGAAGATTCGGGGATAGGTAGTAGTATTCAATATGTAGGACCAAGAGAACAGAACTCCAGATCCTCTCTCCAGTAAGCAAAGACCATGTAGAAATACTCAGATGGATAGAAATGGGTTAATATTTAAGACAGCACTAGCCAATAAGATGCTAGTAACAGGTCAACAGCTTTATATCTAATACATTGTCTCTGTGTGTTATTTGGGGCTGTCATGGCTCTGGGACCAGGTTGGTGGGAAGACAACCAGAAACAATTGTGTAGTGAGGGTTTGAATATGATCAAAACATTGTATGAAATTCTCAAAGAATTAATACAAATTTGAAAACTGAAGTTAAACTAGCCCACACAGCTGTTTTCACCCCAGTGGCCTCACTACAGTTCCATATCATTCAGTTCACCTTCCTTCCTGAAGCTGTGTTTACATGTCTATGGATCTCTTTCCATCTGTACCTCCAAGTATTTGCCCAGTTGTTGTTGTTGTTTTAATCTCAGATGCTTCCCACTCTGGGAAACCATCTTTCATATTTCTGCCTTCCCTCCTGACCAATTTAATGCATTATCTTTTCCTACATCAATGCTTCCCCTTTATGCTATAGATAAAACATTTATCCTTTTTGACTTGACTGTTGGTTTGTTTTTTATTGCTGGGATATAAGCTTCTCTCTAAAGGTAAGGGTGTTTGGCTGACCGACTCTGCAACAGCTGCTAGAAGGTACTGTGGATTAAAGGAATGTTATGAGTAAATAACACATTTTTAGTGTCATTTGATCTTTCCTATGGTGTGTGTGTGTGTGTGTGTGTGTGTGTGTGTGTGTGCACTCATGCATATAGGTTATATGCATATAGGTATGCATATAGGTCAGAGGTCAACATTGGATGCCTTTTGCAAATCCTCTCCATCTTAATTTTTGAGACAGAGTCTTTTACTAAACCTTGAAATCATTGATTCAACTGGACTGGCTTGCCATTGAGCACCAGGGTTTCCCTCTCCCTCTCTCTCCCTAGCACCAGGATTACAGGCATAGGTTACCATGCCTGGATTTTACATGGGTGCTGTGGTTCTGACTTGGGTCCTCAGTGTAAGTGCTTTACCAGTAGCTAATTGCCCAGCTCCCTTCTGGTGGGTTTGGAAGTGACTCACCAAGAGAAGAAGTAGGGTCTGTGGGTACAAGGCCGGTGTTCCCCTCATCTCCTAGAAATAGAAAACAATTTTAAAAAGGATTTTAGGTCTCCTCCTGTATCCTTTATTCCTTCACCTGTCTCTGCCCCTCTGGTATTCCTGAGTGGCTAGTTGGATCTCCAAGAAGCGGAGAACTCTTTGCTATCTTTTGAAAATCACTGTCAAGGGTATCCTCTGGAACTGTGCTTAAGATACAGGTGAGAATATCCTTACCTGGGATGAGTAGTGTCACAGGCTCACTGGGGAAAGACCATGCATGGTGGTTGTAAGAGCCAAAACATCTGTATGTCCCTCTGTGGGCTCTGGTCATAGGGCCCATGGGGAACTCTGCTTTCTTGTTCCCATGTCCTTGCTGGACATGGTTGGGTTCTCTCCTCCTTGAGAAGAAAGAACTTGCTTGTCCCACCTTCCAGAAGGCAGGAGAAGGTCACATTCTCCCCCAAGGTTACATCAGGCCCTGGATGAACGCTGAGGTTGGGCGTGTCATACATACCTGTGGGAGAAGCAGGGCTGATAAATACAGAACATTGTCACATCCCCAATTCCTCAGTCTTCTTCTCTTCCTCTGTGACCAGACATCACTCTTTGGAATCTGGGCTCCTTATGCGTGCTTGTCACAGATAGATCCATTTTCCTTCACGACTAAGGAATTTGGGCCTAGCTTCTGCATCTCTACCTATGGCTCCGAGCTTGGTCCTCAGGACCCAAACCACTACTGTCACTTAGAAGGCTGAATATGTTTTGTTCCTACCTGGAATATCAGAAACCCAGGGACAGGATAGACTTTTACATTTTAAAAATTAGTATTTATTCTTTCCAAACTACCAAATTCCCAAATATTGTGTATAAATGTTTGTTTTCATTTAATTGGACTTTGTTATATAAAATTAAATAAAAAATACTCTATATGCATAAAAAAATTAGTATTTATTTTTGAGATTATAATATGATCATACCATCTCCCTGTCCCTGCTCTCTCTCCAAAACATCCTTGCTCACTTTCAGATTTGTGGTATACTTTTTAAATTAATTGTTGTTACATATCTGTATATAAATACATATAAACACACACACACACACACACACATTCCTAAATACATGAGTACAACCTGTTCAGTCTGTATACTATTACTTGTTTGTATGTTTTCGGAGTGGACCATTGCACACGGGCTAACAGATTGGTGTGCTCTTTGCTGGCTAAGACTTTCTCCTGGTGTCGTCATTCCTTAGGTTGGCTTTAGTGTAGGGTAGAGGCCTCCTGGGCTTTCTCCTGCCCTAAAGATATCTCTTTTCCTTGGAGGAGGGAGCTGGGAAGGTGGCTCAGTTGGTAAAGCCCTGAGTTTGATCCTTGGGTCTGGGTTTGATCTGTAGTATACACACAGAAATCAGGCATGGTGGTGTATGACTGTGATGCCACTGCCAGACAGGCAGGGATAGGGAGATTTGTTGGTCACCCGACCTAGTGCATGTACGTGGTGAGTTCCAGATCCCAACAAGATAACTCAGGTGAACAGCTCCTGGAAAATGACACCTGAGATTGTCCTCTGGCTTTCACATGCACACACACGCATGCACTCACATGCACAGGCACACACACACACACACACACACACACATGTGCACACATGCACACAAGCACACATGTGCGTGCACACACACATGCACACACACACCCCTCTTCACACATGAACTTGCACATACTTGTTCAGAGTCATTAAACATATGACACTGCTACAAACCATTAGTAGCCTTCACTTCTAGAATGTTTTCTTCTCAAAACCAGAAACCTTTAAACTATTAAATAATGCCCTTTCTGCCTTCCCAAGATCTGGCAACTATCCTTCTACATTTTTTTTTTGTCTCTATGAATTGCACTATTCCAGGTAACTCAATTAAGTGCAATCAGACATTATTTGTCCTTCTGTGACCGGTTAGTCTCCATTTTCTTAACATCCTCAGGGTTACAGCTAAACACTAAGCTGAATTCCTGGAATCCAGTTGTAGAAGGAGGAGTGATAAGAAAAGGGGTCAAGACCAGGCTACAGAAACCTACAGAGACAGCTGACCTGAACAAGGAGGAGCTCATGAACCCCCAGACTGATAGCTGGGAAACCAGCATTGGATCAACTCAGACCCCCTGAACTTGGGTCTCAGTCAGAAGGCCTGGGCAGTCTAAGGGACCTGTGACAGTGGAGCCAGGATGTATCCCTGGTGCAGGAAAGGACTTTGGGAGCACATTCCCCATGGAGGGATACTCCCTTAGCCTAGAGACAGGAGGGAGGACCTAGTCCCTACTCCAAATGACTTGACAGATTTTGATGATCCCTCCTGGAAGGCATCACCCTACCTGTGGAGTGGGGGGGGGGAATGGGATATGAGGGTGGTGGTGGGAGGGAGGAAGGAAGAGGGAAATGGGATCGACATGTAAAATAAAAATAAATTAAAAAAATAAAAATAAAAAATGCCCTTCCGGGATAGTGAGATCAACAACTAACTTATCCACCATCATGGAGCTCTCATCTAGTACCTGTTGGAAACAGAAGCAAACACCCACAACTAAACACTGAGCTGAACTAGAATCCAGATGCAGAGAGGGAGGACAAGACCAGCCTGCAGAAACACACAGAGAGAGCTGACCTGAACAAGGAGGAGCTAACGGCCCCCAGACTGATAGCTAGGAATCCAGCATTGGACTGACTCAGGCACCCCTGAATATGGGTCTCAGCCAGAAGGACTGAGCAGTCTAAGGGACCTCAGACAGTGGAGCCAGGATGTATCCCTGGTGCACTAAAGGACCTTGTGAACATATCCCCCGTGGAGGGATAACTGCCTTAATCTAGAGACAGGAGAGAAGTCCTAGTCCCTACTTCAAATGACTTGACAGATCTACATGACCCCACCTGGATGGCATTGCACATGTGGAATTGGGGTGGGGGATGGGAGGGGAGGGTGGTCAGGGTGCATGTGAGGGGGCAGAAAGGGGGTAAAAGGGAGGGAGGGAATGAAGGAGGGAGGGAGAGGGAACTGGGGTTGATATGTAAAATAAAAAATAAATAAATAAAAAAAGAAAAAATATATAAAGAAAACCTTCACCAGTAAATAAAAAAAAAAAATCCTCAGGGTTCAGCTGCATCATAATGTGTGCCAGAAATTTCTTCCTTTGCAAGACAGAGTAATATCCCACTGTATGGATATACCACATTTTGTTCATCCAGTTATTCACTAAGAGACGCTATTGTTATTACTTCCTTTCAGCTACTGGTTTATTTATTTCGTTTCTCTATTTTTCCCTCGGTGTGATTGTGTGTGGTATGTGTTGTGTGTGTTCCTATGCGTATTTAAGTGTGTGTACCTGTAGCCCATGTGTGGAGGCTGGAGGTGGGTGCCCTGTTCTATCCCTCTTCATCTTATTCCCTTGAGACAGAGTCTCACCCAACCCACAGCGAGGCTGGTGTCTATGAAGCCCTGAAATCGGGTTGGCATTCCCTGCCCAGTTCTAGACTCACATGACTTTTTAATATGGTTTCTGGGGATTGAATTCAGGTTATCATGCTTGAGAACAGCAAGCTCTCTTATTCACGAGCCATCTAACCAGCCACCTTTTGACTATCATGACTAATGCCAGTGTGCGAGGGATCTGTGTTGTTACAAGGCCTCCAGGTGTTTTTCAAGCGTGATTACATTTGAGAACCATGCACGTGGCTATGTTTTCAGATGAAACTCCATCAGGGGCCAACCTCTTGCTACCCAGCTTAGATTCTCTTGCCCACCAGTCCTTAGTCATACCCCAGCACACAGTGACCCATTACAGAAACATCTTTCAGAGGTCTTGATCTAAGACACATTAATGTGCAGGGAGAGAGAGCTGATTCTGAAGTTTTACCCTTATAGGATGTGGCTATGATTGGACAACATCCCCTGATTTCCAGCCAAGATAAGCAGTGTGGTGCTTAAAGAGTTTTTTTTTTTTTTTTTTAATTTTGGTATTTGCAAACACTGGCACTCCCCTGATTCATACCAAGGCGACGCTACATCTAAAAACCAAGACACTCACCAGTAACTACCAGCACCAGGAGTTCGCTGTGTTCCGACAGAAGCTCCCCGCTCTGATAGAAGCAGTAGTATCTCCCTGCAGTGTTTGAGGTCATTTGTGGGATGAAGAACTTAGCTTTACTCACTGATGTACGTGGCTTTGGTTTCTCCAAGGCGAAAAAGCTTCCTTCAAAGTACAGTTGGTACGCTGAAGCACTCTGAGGCCCCTGGCACCAGATGTTCACGGGGGTTCCCTTTGTGACCCTGCTACTAGGTTTGGCCCAGATGATGGGTTTCGGGAGAGTCTCTGACAAACAAACCAGAAGCACAAGTCCCAGGTGAGCCATTACCTGACTCCACTGCCCGCCCGCAGTCACCAGCTCGAGGCCATCCCAGTGAAGCAGAATGCCTGCCGCTCGCTGGCTATCTCTGGGTGTTCTCAGATGGGCCTCTGAGATAAACCCCTAAGAATGACCCTGAGCCTCTCAAGGCAGGACTTACGTTTTCCTGTGTTGATCCTCTGGCTCAGACATAGCTCTGGGAAACAACAATAACACTATAAGGTCTCCCCGAATCCTGCTCTTGATGCCATCCCCCTTTTATGAAGGACTTACCCATGCAGAGTAGGGCAGCGAGGATTGACAGCATGCCACTGGCAAGGCCAAAGCTCTACCGCGTCTGTGGACTGAGTCCAGTGGGTGACTGCGATGCATAGGATGTGGTGGGCGAGCCCCGACACCAATCACTATGGGACTTTTGCACATTTCTTTTCTTTTAAACAGAAAGATTCACAGCTTTCCCCTCAACACTGACCTCGGGCTTCAGGGGAAGATGTGGTTCACACAACACGTTTAACCATTTTGAGTCTGAAATCCATTTCTGGGCCAACCTATAAATTCATTCAGAGATGGCATGGGGGAGATGTATACATTTTCATAAATATCCCCCAATGTTTGTTTCCTTTTTTTCTATACAGAAATATAATGCAAATGGTCTATTTGTAGTCTCAGTCCAATTAAAGATTAAAAGCTGGCTTTGGAGTTGGAGCATGGCTCTCTCCTTCTGTAAATCCAGGCATGCTTGTTAAAGTAAAATATAAAAATCTCTGGTGTCGGAACAGCCATCTTATGTAGAACAGAAGAAAAACAAATATTAGGACTGTGGTATCGCTACTAATCTCATAATTTTGTCATGATATTGATGGTCATATAGAGTACTAACTGATTCTAGAAGAAGGGTCTCATCTTCTTTCATGTACATGATTTCAGGTCTGAGACTTTCAGTGTTCTACAGTGAACCACAGCCATGCCTAACAACGCCTTTGGCAATTTCACCAGGACTATCACAACACCATTATGCTGAACAATGCTAACTAAAGATCAGCTTTGGAGTACAAACTGCTCATAACAATTTCGAGGTGACTTGCTGAGATGACCCAGCCTAACAGACACTGCTCAGAACAATTTCAAGGTGGCTAGTTATCCAGCCTCATAGACTACATTAGTCAGGATTTGAAACAAGTACTTGCTCATTATGCAGAGATGGAACAACAAATGCTCCCCTAAAAATGTCATCACCCCCAAACAGCAGGAAGTAACTCTAAGAACAGGATACCCTCATTTTTAAGAGGTGGGGTGGATGGTTTTTGGTCACTCATTGGTTATAGATATTTGTCATTGTTTAGGGGGATTGGTTACAAAATGTTGTTGCTTATGATCAGGAAGAAAATTGAGTAAAGGTGTTCCAGTTTTTGTTTAAAAAAAAAAAAAAGGAATCTAGATATGATAGTTTAGATAAAAAGGGTAGATTATTGAATCTACTCTGAAAAAGAATAAAGGGAGGCTATAGATATGATAAGATGAAAAGGTAGATTACTGAATCTACTCTTAAAAAGCAACTAATAGTTTTAAATATTTTACATAATCCTGGATTTTTACATATTGTATACAAATGTTGTATACCGATACGAATTTAAGATTGATTTTGCTAAAACATACTGTACATACATTTCCGTATTTTTCAAGGCATTGTATCTATACAGCTCATTTAACAATGCAATACAAACTTCTAGCCCTTGAAAAGTTATCATCAACTATATAGCACTATAAGGAAATGTAGTTTAGTAATTAGTCTACTATTACAATCAATTAGGTATGCTTACAGGGCCAAACAGATATCTTAGAAAGACAGGTCATCTTCAAACACTTCAGAGATCTACAGAATATGGCATTTAACATGTTTTAATGACTTAGGTTCTTTTTTGTGACAGTGAGACATGTCTGCTCCTGGCGGTACAGATATACGTTGGAGATGATGGGCATCAAAGGAACTCCACATGAAGTTTGCTTGTTTCCTTTCTTTGTGACTAAGGTAAGCCACTGGGCAAGAAAGTGCCCTTGACTCAACTGCTGACACTATGCTGTCCAAATTGGACAAACAGGACACCAAAAAGAGTGAATGCAAACCTTGCCGAGACAAGGCGGTCCAGTCCTTCAGATTACCATGGTTCACAGAAATGTCTGCAAGATATGCTAGGCCTATAGGCCAAAGATGCATACCCCAATGTTGTAGATCAATCTTGGCTGACCGTGTAGGCATCCAGCTGTCGCTTGTTCACACTTCCTGTTTACTCAGTTAATATTATTTCCTTCTTGGTTCTCTGAGGGAGTTGAAGGCTAAATAGTGTAGTTATAGTTTTCCCTGTTTATCAGAATCAGTAAAGAATCTCACTATAGATGTATTAAGTGTAATATGTGTAAAAGATATAAAAGACAATTTGATAATGCAAATTAGAATAGAAAGTAAATTAAATACAAGACTTTGGAGTCATCAAGAAAGAATAGATATGGAATATTTTCTCTGAATTTGTTTAATGCTAACGGACCAGACATTGTTGATGTACTTATTGCCTGCATATATTTTATGCATTATTGTACTTATTGTATATAACTTTCCTATATTAGTTATAACTTTAAAAATTTTAGACATAAAGGGGGATATGTGGTAAAATCTTGTTTGTACAAATAAAGTCTGTCTGGGGGGTCAGAGAATGGGGCTTGCCACTAGCTAACCATAGAGGTCTGGAGGTCTGTATAGATAGACAGGGAGTGAGGTAGCTGGGCAGAAACAGGATATAAGTAGGGAGAAACTGGAACTCACTCTCTTGTCTGCTGAGATGCTTATGAGGTAAGGTATGGCGGTGGTTTGCTCCTTCTCTCTGATTTTCAGCATTTTCTTCTATATCTGACTCTCACTTTTTATTACTTAGACCAATTAAGAAGGACTGGAGGTTTCCTAACATGTGGATTTTAACCTTTGTATTTCTGTGTGCAACATGCATGCGTTTGGATTTGATCATTGATTTAATAAGAAAGGAACACTAATTCAATATTAAAACATTGACTATCTTATTCCAGGAAAATACTATTATTGTATTTTTTTCATGTATGTGTGTGGTGTGCATATGCATGTTTATGTATGCCTGTATGTGTTGGACAAGTGTTCATGTGGGGTTCTGAAGTTGATGTCATGAATCATCTTTGATTGGTCACTCTTACACCTTACTCACAGAGAGGCAGGGTCTCTCAATAAAACTCAGAGCTCACCAATTTGTTGAATCTTTTCAGACAACTTGTTCTGGAGAATCCTTGTTTCTGCATTCCAAGGCTGGAATTACAAGTGGGCTTCCAAGCCCGTCTGACATTTAATATGGGTTTTAGGGAGCTGGGGTCAGGTCTTCACACTAACATTGCAGGCATTTTAATCATTGAGCTATATCTCCAACCCTTACTAGGTGTGTGTGTGTGTGTGTGTGTGTGTGTCTGTCTGTCTGTCTGTCTGTCTCTCTCTCTCTCTCTCTCTGTGCAAGCACATATCAACCTATTTTTGGATACAATGTCCCTCAAGAGCCAGGACCTTGCCAAGTTCAGGATCTTGCTAAGTAGGTTAGGTTGGCTGACCCCTAAATTCTAGGTATCCATGTCTTACCTCCTCATCACAGTCATTATAAGAGTGTGTTACCACACTTGGCTTTTATGTTTTTAAGATTTCAGTGTGTGGATGTGTGCACATGAGTTTAGTAAATTTAGCTGCCAGAAGAGGACATAAGAGTCCCTGGAGCTGGAATGGTAGGTGGTTGTGATCATTCTGACATGGGTGCTCTTAACTGCTGAGCCATCTATCTGCCCAGCTTTTGCCTGGCTTTAATTTCTATGTGGCTTTTGTGGATTTCACTGACATCCTCATACTTGTAAGGTAAGCATTTTACTGACTTATTGGTTAGATTGTTTGCTCTTTCTCCTCTGTTAATGTTGGGGTTTGCTGCTTTACTATATTGGATATCATGGATTTCTTCCCATCTTGTTTATCTCTTCCTCTCATGAACATTATTATTTTCTGTATCATTGCAACCAAGAGTATCATTCTTCCTCCTATGTGCATGATGCTAATGCCATCACCTTCTATGTGGCTCGCTTGTGGTCATGACCAGCCTTAGTTTGTGTTTATCTTGAAATGTCCTTACTTCCTTTTCAATTTTATGGCACAACTTTGCTGGGTGTAAGCATTAGCTTAGTGAATTGCTTTCATGTCTTGAAATACAACATCCCAATTTTGTTCTGCCTTTTAGGGTTTCTGAGGGAAATGGCGTTATTTTGATACATGTGCTTTTATAAGTGAGCTGGTGTCTTTCCTTTATTTTTTTTAAATATTCTTTCTTTATTTTGTATTTTTGATATCTTGACTGTATTATGTCATGCAACGTTCTACTCTGATCATGTCTATTTGGAGTTCAAGATAACTCTTGGATTTTGGATGTCTAGTCTAGGTCTTTCTCTAGACTTGGGAAAGTTTCTGCTATAATTTGATTGTATAGATTATCTAGACCTTTAATATTTTTGTCAACATCCTTGTCACCTGGTGGACTCTTGGGTTTTGTGTTATAATCACTGTCCCAGCTTCACTTTTGCTGCGGTGATAAGTTACCCTGGGGGGGGGGTTTGCCGTGATAAGTTACCCTGGGGAGGAGGGAACCACCTAGGGGAGAGATGGCTTATTTGGCTAACAGCTCCACATTAAATTCCATTACTGCTGGAGTATCAAGGCAGGAATTCACACCCTATTTTCTCAAACTTGTAATTTATTATATTTTTGGTTGTGGGCCTAACCTTGAATGGCTATTTCTCCAGTCCTCATAATTCCTGTAATGATATAAATGTTCGAATAATTTATTTTGGATTTTAGCCAGTTTTATTAGCATGTATTACTTGCATACATGAGGCTTTTGTGTGTCATTTCTACACACTGCTCTGTGGTCCTAAAGATATCCACCCTTTCCATTACTTTTTTATTACCCCTCCATTTTCCTTCCTCATCTGTAATAATCCCCATTTTACTTTTATGTACTCCCCCCCCCCAAAAAAAAAAAAAAAAAAAAAAAAGTTGGTGGGGGTGTTTCTGCAGTTGTTTTCCCCCTTTAACTCTTTGAAACATACAATTATTGGTTCAATAGTGTGAAATACATTGGTACCGTTACAAGACAGAACTCTAGCATCGTTTAAAGTTGTAAATGTAAACTTGGTGCCCCAGATGAAGTTGTCACTTAATAGCATCTCATATTTCCCAGATAGGATTGTGGTATTCATTTGCTTTTGTGTTTATGTATTTAATTTACATTTAGACAAAACCAATACCTCAAAGACAAAGGATGGGACCTACTATTGTAACAAGCTTAGTAGTTATCTATAATTGATGGGTATGCATTTTAAAAAAATCTAAACCCCAGTATAGATGGGGAATGGGAGGCACAAAGTCCTACCCCTCACTGAAGAACTATATATATATATTTTAATTGCTAGCTGCTGGGAAAGGGAGTTAGTTTCCCCCACTCTCAAGGGTGCAACCAGGCTCAGTGTGTTTTAAAACAGAGTGTGTGAGGTTAGGGTGCGGAGTGGTGATGTGGATAGGGAGAGAATTTAAGTGGGAGGAGGATGGGAGTGAATTTTTTCAGAATACAATCACACATGTATTGCGGTTTAATACGGATCAGGATAATCAAATAGGCCAAATAAATGTTTATTCAGGGAGGAATAACTAAAACCTAGACAGATGAACACCAGCAAGTTTCACCGGATGCTCTCCTCTCTGAGTCCTGCCAGCAAGAGAGCGTTCCCAGGCTCCTCCTCAGACCTCCTTCCACAGGTCACTTCCGCCCCTGGCTCCACCCCCAATGGGCGTGGTCAGTGCCACAGAAGGAGACAAAGTGAATATCCCACTACACACATGGAATTCTCAAACAGTAAAAACAAAAATATAAAAAAGAAGTATAAACATTCTCCATGGAGGGATACTCCCTTAACATAGAGCAAGAGGGAGGTCCTAGTCCCTACTTCAAATGACTTGACAGATTTTGTTGACCTCCTCCTGGAAGGCATCACCCTCCCTGTGGAGTGGGGGGGGGGAAGGGAGGGCAGGAGAGGGAACTTGGATCAATATGTAAAATAAGAAAAAAAATAAACATATATATCTGTGATTAAAAAAAAAAAAAGAATAAAGAAGAAATCTGAGAAAGAAAAGAGGTCCAAGCCTGCTGGAGCCTGAAGGGGCAGGAAGTTTGTGGCATTGGTGCCTAAAGAAAGAAAGACTCGTGGTTTCAGTTACTCAGGAGAGTGTTGGTCTTTCCTGTTCTAATCTAATATTTGTCTAACCCCAAAGAAGCCTAGTGTAAAAGAGAAAGATCTAATCTAAGAAGCATTGTAAATAAAGGCCAAACTATATTACCAAATGGGATAGCAAATACAATAACAAAGAGGAATAAGGAACTTTTGTCTTAATTTTCAGGATTCTCCTGACCCCACTTACTCAGAGCAGCATACAAAGCCATAATCACACATCATCAATCTATACTCACATGTTGCTTCCAACATAGAACCAAAGCAGGCCCCCTGAACACGTGTGTCAGCTATGAGGACTGGGCAGTCTATGGGGCCTCTGGCAGTGGAACCAGGATGTATCCCTGGTGCACGAATGAACTTTAGGAGCCCATTCCCCATGGAGGCATACTCCCTTAACCTAGAGTCATGGGGGAGGGCTTAGGCCCTACCACAAATGACTTAATAGATTTTGATAATCTCTCATGGAAGGCCTCACCCTCCCTGGGGAGTGGATGGGAGGATGGGATGTGGGGGATGGTGGGGGGTATGGGAGGGAGGGGAAACTGGAATTGATATGTAAAATAAGAAAAAATATTAAATAATAATAATAATGAAACATAATCTGAATACTAACCAATAGAGAAGAAATAGCTCAGTTCCACCTAGGGTCTGATAATTCCATATACTAGTTAATTTTATTTTTGTCTTGAAAGAAAGGAACGCAAGGCTAATTCTGATGTTTTCAGAGAGAGTAGTTTATTATGGCAGGAAAGTCTGTAATAGGAACAGCTCCACAGGAGTGCAGAGTGGCAGGGAGCTAGATGGGACCCTGAAGTGAGTATAACCTTCGAAGGGTAGCCTCCTGGGGACAATATATGTCACATCTCTCCAAACAGCACCGTCTTCTGGGGAGTGAATGCTCAAACACACAAGCCTGTGGCCGGCACTTTTCACTCACACCTTACATTCTGCAGGTGGACCCAAGCTTCTAACGGCTTTTCCTTTTTGTAAGATGCATCCCCACCTGTATCTTCCAGTGTTTATCCACTCCATCCCGGTGCAGCCAATTCCCAGCAGTCTTCCTTGTGTGGCACCCTGTGGCCATTCCAATATTCAGCTAGTATCACCAAGACGACCACAAGGATCAACCCTGCCATACCCATCCGGATAGAATTCTCCATCACATAGTCTTGCTTCTTGGAGTCTAGAGACGTAAGGGAAAGAAACAGGCAAGTGTTGGCCATGGTCCATTCAATACCAATCCTACATCCTTGATGTAGGAGGGACTCATGCTCCTGTCTCTGTGCCAAAATGTGATCCTAGCCCTTTTAAAATGAGCACATACATTTACAGGTGCCACGCTTTTAGGGTGTGTAAGATAGAGGGAGGCCAAAGGTGAGAAATTGTGTTTTTCAAGAAAGGAGTTGATTATGGGGAGTTTGTCCTCCTTTGTCTTTCTCACCTTTGACCACTCAACTTTATTTCTTCAACACCTCCCTATGTCGGAAGCTCTGAACTTTTCTCTTTGTGCTTTCCTCACTCTACATAACAACTATGTGGCAAAATAGACACACAGTCACCACTACCTGGGAGATTTAAGGTAAATTTAGCTAAATGTTATCTCAAAATGACCCTTGCGATGGAGCCAATTGCTTTATGCTCTGCCCCTCAACTTCCTTCCAACTTCTCATCTCCAATTATATAGGCAATGGTGATCAGTGAACTACTTATTTTTTTCATGTGTTAGACTGTCTTTATCTTTATAAACCTGTTCTCCCCATGATTGCAATGTAATATGAAAGTTTATAATGTTCAGAAAAATTAAATGCTTACTACTTCCCTGGAAAAAGAGGGGTTTATTTAGCATGCATGAGTTAGTGAGACTCTATCTCAGAAAAGCAAAAGGATTCTATTACCTAGATTTTTTTTTCCTTTTATCATTATCATGATGATTAGTTTGGTTGAGTTCGTTAGTCCTTTTACTTAGAGCAAGCAGATCCTGTATCTTGTTTTAGAAACCACCTCCCATGTCAGGGTCAAGATTACTCTCTTCTGTGGTCTCCAATAGAAGGATATCTTTTGCAGTTAGGCGTCCAGTCCATTGGGAGTGTGCTCTTGTTTAATTCTCCTGTACCGAGACCCAGTTGTCTCCATACTACTAATGGAAAAAAACCTATCTAGATTTACAACATCGAAATGCACAGCTATCACACTGCATAGCTGATAGCATGAGAGGGATAATGACGCTTTTTTTCAGAAGATGGGTATGAGATATGGAAAGAGGTCAACCCACTCAGGTGGCAGCAACTAATTTTCTCTGCCTGAATTCTCTCCTCCTTTCTTTTCCCTCCTTCAGGTATAGTGTCATATGTCAGCCACATGGTAAATGAGTCCTATGATTCAGTCTTTATAGCGAGTCACTCCCAGTGGATTCCGAAAGTGAGTTTAAGGACTGCTAGTCACTAAGACTACAAATAAAAAAAGATGCACTAGAGTAGACTGTGTTTGGATCTTCCATTTCAACATGGATCCCTCATAAGTGATTCTGAATGTTGGGCCTTTCCTTTATAAATAGATCAGGGAGCTGGAGAGGTGATCCAGTGGTTAACACCATTTGCTGCAAAGATACCCAGCCTACAATCCACAACCCCAAAGAAGCTAGAACCCTCTTCCAGAAACAGATGGAAGCAGATGCAGAAATCCACAACTAACCAATGGGCTGAGCTCCTGGAGTACAATCAAAGAGAGGGAGGAGAGATAATGTGAACAAAGGGGTCAAGACCATGATGGGGAAACCCACAGAATCAGCTGACCCAAGCTAGTGAGAGATCGCTGACTCAGACCTGACAAATGGGGAACCTTCATAAGACTGAACTAGATTCCCTTAATATATAGGCGACAGTAGTGTGGCTGGGACAATATATAAGGCCACTGGAAGTGGGTCCAAGACCTATCACTAATTGCAAAAACTGACTTATTGGAGCCCATCCTATATGGAGAGATACCTTGCCCAGCCTAGACACAGGGGGTGTGTGTGTGTGGGGGGGTGGGGAGGTGTCTTGGTTCTGCCTCAATGAGATGATGGGACAGACTTAGTAGACTTCCTAGGGGAGGCCTTACCCTCTCCAATGAGTAGATGGGAATTGGAGGGGAGTGGGAGGAGAGGAAGGAGGGGGAACTTGGATTGGAGTGTAAAAAATAAATTAATGAAAACTGCTGACTTGGAGAGGTCCCAAGTTCAGTTTCCTGCATTCACATTGGGTCATTCAGAATCATCTGTAAATTCAGTTCCAGGGAATCTGTCACCCTCCTCTGGCCCCTACCAGCACCATGCACGCACGCACGCACGCACGCACACACACACACACACACACACACACACACACACACAGAGAGAGAGAGAGAGAGAGAGAGAGAGAGAAAATAAATCTTTAAAAATAGATCACGGGTTTCTGAAGGGTGTTCTGGAAGACTTCAGAGAATAATGTGAAAGATTAGTGTGGAGTAAGCGAGAAACCCCTTTCTCTCCACGCTCCTCAGGACAGCGCGTTTCTATTGCCATACTCATCTTACATTTCCACCCAGAGGACAAAGAGCTGGGCTGTGACGCATCTACCTGTGACACTGAGCTCCAGGGCATCACTGGGGGCCGACCACACGTACGGGCTTCTGCTGTGCCATCCATAGCACCGGTAGCTACCGGCAAAGTCAGGGTGCACAGGCCCGAGGATGAAGTTGCCTTGATATCCTTCATGCTGCTGCTGTGGCCAGGACGTGTCTCCCTCCTTGGCCAGTGAAAATCTGTTGAACAGGTTGTGTGCTGACCTACACTGGAAGGAGATGTTTTCTCCTGGTTTCAGCACGTGGCTTTGATCTGCGGAGAGGATGGGTTTGTCGTACACGCCTGAAAGAGAAGACAGTGAGCTATTAACAAAGTTTTGTTCAAAATTATTATCAGGGTCTGGGTGTGGGGGCAATGAATGGGTCTGCTCTTCCAGAGTCACAACTGTTTTTAAATCCAGGATTTGATGCCCCCTTCTGGCTTCCAAGAGAACTACACCCACATGGTGCACAAGCAAAAATTCGTATGTGGAAAATAATAATGATTAAGAAAGATTCAGTTGATGTGTTGGTGAGATGGCTCAGCAGTTAAGAGCACTGGCTGCTCTTTCAGAGATCCTGAGTTTGATTTCCAGAACCCACATGGTGGCTCACAACCATCTGTAATTATGGTCTGAAGTCTGAGTTTCTATTCCGCAGGGTCTCACAGCTGATTAGCCCCATAAAGCATACAGAGGCATATTAATTATAAACTGTTTGGCCAATGGCTTAGGCTTCTTATTGGCTAGCTCTCTCTTAATTATTAAATTATGATGTGTATCTGTTAGACTATGTATTGCCACGAGGCTGTGGCTTACCCATAAGCTGGCATGTTACTCCTTCGGGCGGCTACATGGTGTCTCTCTGGCAGCTCCTCTCTGCCTCCCTCTCTCCTGAATGCTCCTCATCTGGTAGCCTCGCCTGCCTGGCTACTGGTCAATCAGTGTTTTATTCATCAACCAATAAGAGAAACATATATACAGAAGAACATCTCCCATCGGTCGTCCCATGGGATCTGATTCCCTCTTCTAACTTGCAGATATATGTTCAGATAAAACACTCATAGGCATAAATAAATAAATCTTTTAAGGAGAAAAAACATTCGGTTAGTAAATTGACTAAAAGGTGCTCTCTTTTACTTGCCCCCTGAACATGGGTATCAGTTAGAAGGCCTGGGCAATCTAAGGGACCTCTGACAGTGGAACCAGGATGTATCCCTGGTGCACAAAAGGACTTTGGGAGCACATTCCCCATGGAGGGATACTCCCTTAGCCTAGAGACAGGAGAGAAGGCCTAGGCCCTACTCCAAATGACTTGACAGATGTAGATGACCCCTCCTGGAAGGCCTCATCCTCCCTGTGGAGTGTGTGTGTGGGGAATGGGATGGGAGGGGGGCCAGGGGGCATGGGAGGGAGGGAGAGGGAACTGGGATCAATATGTATAATAATAATAATAATAAAAGAAAAGGAAAGAAACCACTTGCAGCCAGGCATTATGGTTTGCGAATGTAATCTCATCATTTGGTAGGTGAGGTAGGAAAGTTACAAGTGAAGGTACTGAGTGAGACTCTGTCTCAACAAGTAAAAAAGTTATGGAATCAACTCTATGTCTGTCTGGGGCATGTGGTGTACAATGGGGTTGTTTCCAACCACAAAGACAAAAGTATGTCATTGGTAGGAAAATGGGTACACCTCGGGATTATTGTATTAAGTATATTAAAACAGATTCAGGAAAAGAATCACATGTTTTCTCTCATTTGTGGGTCATAGACTTTTATATAGATACATAAATTAATGTATGACTATAATATATGATAAGAGAGGCAATGCTAACTACACCAGCCCCCCAAAAACCCAATAAGAATGAAAGCAAATTTATCATTTGTTATGGGGATTGAATCCAGTGCCTCATGTGTAAGAAGCAACACCATCCTACTTTTTATGTATTGACTTTTTAAAAAAAGTTTAAAGATTTAAAAAAAAATTTAAACATAATTTTTATTGATTCTTTGCGAAATTCCCATCATGCATTATAATCCCACTCATTTCCCAGGCTCCCCATATTTCTCTTCTCCCTTACAGCTTCCTCTAAAAGAAAATGAAAGTATTAGTTAACAAACAACCAAAAAAAGAACTCCAAAACACTCCATTCCTCTGTCTTCCATGCCTCTCCATCACCTCTTTATTCATGTTAGTTGCACTGGGAGCTGTGGTGTGTCAGGACCCCTTTGTCCAAAGAACTTTACTTGCAATTGTTCATTGTAATATGTTGTTGGTCTGGCTCAAGGCCTCTGGCTTCTGGTAGAGCACCAACACTGACCACTCACTGTAACTCCTCTTAGGTATTCTGTGGCTCCCTGGAGTGATGGAGATCCTGCAGCTCTTATTTCACAGGACCAGTCCCTTCATGTGCCCCAGTAGGTCATGGACAGGGTAGATGTTGGGGTGGGCCAACTCAAAGCCACAAGTGGTGGCTCAGACCCCTGGCATGTATATAGCCTTTAGGGTAATAGGAGCCACAGACATCAACACAGACCCTGGCTGAGGCAGACCATAGCCTCAGATATGGCTCTCTGCAGCAGCTCAGGCTTGAATGTGACCATGGCACAGGACACTGAGATTAGGATGGTCCCGGTCGCAGCATGGTTCTCAGACACCAACATGGTCTCAGGTGGTGACCCAGATGCTGGGGCATCTTCATGGTCTTCAGTGGTCACAGGAGCCATGCACATCCATTCCAGCTGCTGTAGGGCTGTAGACCCAGATGTGGCCCTTGGTAGAAGCCCGACCAGATATCACCATGGCTTTGGGTGGCAGTTTAGCGGCTTCCTTACCGCCTTTGCTCTTCCAGCTCTTCCTCTCTTACGGCACGTGAACTGCTCTGCGCCTCTTTCTCCCCCATAAAGTTGCCTTGAGCTACTGAGGGGGTGGCGAGCTATGGGTGTGTTCCACCTGCTCAGGTTGAGCAGGGCTGAGTGGGCTTGGGGGCCAATTTCTTTTTTATTTTAAATGTACTTAGGTTTTGAGATGGGGTCTTGAAATGTAACTCAGGTTGGCTTTGAACTCATGATCCTTCTGTCTCAGCTTCTTGAGTGCTGGGATCACTGGTGTATACCAACACACTCAGCTTTTCCTCCCCGCTCTACCCCTCTCCTCCTCTCCCTCTTCTTTACCCTCCCCTCCCATTTCCACTCCTCTCTTCTCTCCTGTGATCTTCTCCTCTATCCTTTCCTTCCTTTTCCTCTCTCTGTTTCTTTCAGCTCACTCTCATGTAGCCAGGGCCAATCCCAAATTATGTGTGAAGCAATGGATGGCCTACAACTTCTATTTCTCCTGCTTTCACATATGGGATTATTGGATTCCTAATGTGGCTTATTCACATGTGGCTCATTTTTAAAACTACAGAGGCTTTGTGTGCTTATCATCTATACCATGATGTGCATCTATCATGTACACCATGATGTTGGATACATGCACATATTGTATAATGACTAGTTGGAGTGTCACCTCACACAATTATTATTTTTTTATGTAGAAAGAACAGTTGAAATACAACATGCACTGATGGGAGGTGTCATTCTGTAAATATGTTTCTCTTGTTGGTTAATGAATAAAGCACTGTTGGCCAATAGGAAAGCAAGATAGGTGGGACTAAGAGACAAGGAGGATTCCGGAAGGAGTAGGGAGGAGCTTCAAGATGGAGGATGGAGAGAGAACACCAGCCCCTCTATCCAGTAAGATAAGACCATGTGGAAATAATTAGATTAATAGAAATGGGTTAATATTTAAGACAGATCTGGCCAATAAGGAATTAGTAACAGCCCAACAGCTTTATATCTAATACAGCATCTCTGTGCGTTATTTGGGACTGGTGGGACCAGACTGGCGGGGGAAAACAACTCATAACAATGCACCACCCCTGGTTTTCTTATAATGACCCTATGAGAACAGGGTCAGACAATTTCTAAGAATGGGAAGTCCCAGAAATTATTTGCCTGTACTTTTTCAAGACCACAAAGTCTATCAAAACCAAGAGAGAACTAAATGCAACATGAGATCTTAGAAGGGGTCCTAGAGTAGATAAAGGCCATTAGTTGGCAATGAAGGAACCCTGAATATGCTTTAGATATCAGCCAAGAGAATTCTTGGTCTTTTCAGTCTTCAACATCTCAGTTTTTTGTTTTTTTTGTGAACCTAAAGCTATCCTAACAATGTGGGAGGTGGTGAGGATCTGGGGAGAACTGAGAGAGGAAAAGGAATATGATAAGAAATGTTATGTGAAAACAATTAAAAAATATAAAAATATCAACACCATTGAATGCGGAGACTCACAGCTGCCCAAGACACAGAGATTAATTATAGTTGTTGACCCAGACATACCAAAGACATTTATATCATCCTTGTCTAAGACCTAGTCAACACTGCCCATAGGTGAACAGGAAGTATATAAAAGTCAGAAGACAGGGCGAGGACCAGTAAATGCCATTCTCTAGACTTGACAGAACCTCCACAATTATTAACATACGGCTGTAATTACCTGCATTGGGCCCACATGAGAGCAACCCTGTCAGTGATAAGTCAAGGAAGTAGGGGAGTTGGGCGACGAGGGAGTGATCAAGGGGTCCTATCCTTTGTGATGGAATTACTGGCTATTGATAGACTCTGGGAGAAGGGGGAATTGATCCCTTTAGTTGTGTACCTACTGCTGAGCCCACCAGGCTCCAGAGGACACATTTATACCCTTAGTAATAGGAATTACCCTTATAATCTCAGTGGGTCACGAAACAAAACAAATAGAAGTGGTCAGTATGCAGTTGTGTACATTGTATGAAATTATCTACTAATGAATGTAATTAACAAAAAAAAAAAAATGAAAACAACAACCCCCCACCCTCACAAAGTCTGCTAAAATGAAGACAAAATAAGTAGCGGAAGGCCAGGCTCCCAAGGCGTCTCCTTACCTGTCACCACCAGTTCCAGGGGTTTGCTCTTTTCTGACCAGTGGTACTTCTTCCTATACTGACACTGATAACATCCTGCCGTGGTTGTGTTCATGTGGTTGATGATGAATTCGGCTTCTCTCTGAAATCCCATTCTATACTCTATAACTATGGGTGTGGAGTTTTTCATCAAGGACAGCTGATACAGGAAGGCTTCGGGCGTTCCCTGGCAGATGATCCTCACAGACCCATTCCAGGGAACCACAGTACTTGTGGCAGCGGATATTATGGGAGTGGGAAATTCTGAAAGGAAGCAGAGCCCAAGCTCAGATGGCTTGAAGAAGCTGTTGTATTCCATCTGTGTTGGGGGGCATGAGTTAGACTGCAAAGGACCTGTAACCATTTCATTTAAAAACAGTATGGTGGGTGTCTGGAGATAAATCTCAGCTGATAAAGTGTTTGACTCGCAAGCTCTTTTTTTAAAATAAACAATTATTTAATTTTGTTTTATGTGCATTGGTGTTTTACCTGCATGCATGTCTGTGTGAGGGTGTCAGGTCTTGGAATTACAGACAGTTGTGAACTGCCATGTTGGTGCTTGGAATCGAACCTGGATCCTCTGGAAGAGTAGCCAGTGCTCTTACTGGGCTCTCCACTGGGCCTTCTGTCCAACCTCCTTGACTTGCAAGAATGAGAACCTAGCTTTGCCTCTCCAGAACTGCATAAATAACCAGGAGTGGTGGCGTGCACTTATAACTCCACTGTGGAGTCAGACACAAGCAGATTTTTGGGCTTCTGGGCCAGTCAACCTATACTAATCAGTGACCCCAGGCCAGTGAGAGACCCTGCTTCAAGGAACCACACTGAATGCAGAGAATCATGGTTGCCTGTAGTGCTGAGAATTTTTGAAGGCTGCATTGTACAGCCCTCAATGTGGGCACTGAAACCACCTCCTCTAAGGCTCAGGGAACAGAATTGGAAAGTAAGAGGTGGAAGTTAGGGAGAGGAGCTGTGAAATGTGATCCTGGGGGAATGACGTGGCCAGGGCAAACATATTTCACAGTAGCAGCAGCGTCTGTCAGTAATGAGCCTGCACAAGACTGGTGTTGTCAATAGCTAATGATAGATGTGAGAAGAACCCACATGGCCTCACCCATCCTTGCTGAATTATTGATTACTGATTGATTCTGAGGAAGGGGTGGGCATTATCTTCAGCTGTGTCCCATTAGTGGGCCCATCGGTCCCCAATGAATACCTCCAAACCCATGGTTGCACCGAAGGCCCAGATTAAATTCAGTGGGTCACAAAACAAAAGGAAAGGCATGACCATGTGAGAGAGACTTGTAGGAAATGAGTGGAGGGTAAGGGGGGGTGTCAACGATAAGAACTCACTACGTACATGAATGAATTTGCCAAAGAACAAATTTAAAGATTTAAAAAGATGAACAAGGTGAAGAAAAGTCAACAAGGAGTATGTCATCTGAAGGGGAAAAACAGTAATGTCCTGCTCCTGCTATATGTACATATATGTACATGCTTGTCTGAACATACATGAACACTCTTTCAAATATAATAGTTGTTGGCTGGGTGTTGGTGGTGCATGCCTTTAATCCCAGCATGCAGGAGGCAGAGGCAGGTGGATCTCTGTGAGTTTGAGGCCATCCTGGAAAGGCTCCAAATCAATACAGAGAAACCTTGTCTCAAAAAACCAAAGATAAAAAAAAGGAAGTAGTTGTTTTGGAGTATATTTCATACATTGAAAAATTTACCGTTGGAAACAGGGTTTTACTATGTACTTTCAAGCCCACAATCCTTCTGCCTCCCAAGAATTGGGGTTATGTATATGCACCATCATGCCAGTCTTGCTTTTTAATGACTGTCAGGGTTAATTTAGTTGTATTGATTACTTTCATCACGCTGTACAATCACCACATTTTACAGTGGTTTCACAACCTCAAATAGAATTCCTGTAACCGTGAAGCAGTAACTCTCCCTTTAGTCAGCATCTGGACCTCAAATCCATTTCCTGTCTCTAAGTACCCAAATAAACAGAATTGTAAAAGAGGTGTGTGTGTGTGTGTGTGTGTGTGTGTGTGTGTGTGTGTATTTTACACATGCGTGCATACCTACATATCTGATAGAGGGATGAAGAATACTGTAGAACAGAGTCAGGCAACGTGGAACTGGAGTGGGCAGATCCTGATGCTGTATCCAGGACCTCTCAGGGAGACAGAACATGCTAGCTGTCTTCCTGGCTTTCCTCATTAGTATTGACTTCTGCTCTTGAAGACTTCATTCTCAGATTTTAACTGTTACGTGGAATAGTCAACGGGCACTGAAAACCCTCAGGCGCCCTTTACCATGACAGTTTGTGGAACATTCCCTCTCACACAGGAAGTCCTGGGTTTGACTTTTGGTATCACAAAGCCAAACTGAAACAATACAAATACTGTATGCTCATCATTATATGTGGGTGTTTAGAAAGGTGATTTTTTTAAAATATTTATTTATTATGTATACAGTGTTCTGTCTACATGCTTTCCCTGCAGGCCAGAAGAGGGCACTATATCTCATTACAGATGGCTGTGAGCCACCATGTGGTTGCTGGGAATTGAACTCAGGACCTTTGGAAGAGAGCAGGCAGTGCTCTTAACCACTGAGCCATCTTTCCAGCCCCCTAGAAAGGTGATTTTTAAAATACCTTTTCATTTTTAAATATGTATATAATACATTTTGGTTATTTTCATCACCTCATCCCCCTCTATTCTTGCTCTGTGGCTGAATCCACTCTTGACAAGAAACCCCTTTGTACTTTGATGCCTTCTTTTGACCCACCAGTTTCAATCAGTGTTTTTTGGACATGTGTGAGAGGTTATTTAATGACATATGAGTAACTAGTGAAGAAAATGACACCTTTTTCCCAGAACCTATTAACTGCTATAGACCCACGATGAGGTTTATGACTGCATCCATGATTTCATATAGTTAAAACGGCTGAGTTATTTTATAGGTGGTCCTAACACTCAATCAGTCATTCATTTAGAAGACATTGATGGAGTACTTAACATATACCTAGCATCATAGTTTGCCCTGTAGGTAAATGGTTAAATAAACAATAGTTGTTGAAGTCAATAAATTTGACTTGAATGTTGAACGGTGGTCACTAGAGGCTCGGAAGTATAAGGGAATGAGAACAGGAAGAAGTTGAATTTGAATAATGGGCAGTTCAATAAATGAGATATTCTCTACAGAGCAGCTAGGTAATTACAGTTTTCAATAATTATTCATGTTGTGCATAAACAGGTGAGAAGAATTTATAAGTCTCCAAACACTATATAATACTAAGGTAAAAGGCAAGGACAGATATCTAATTTGTCCTGTGACTTCCACATGCATGCTGTGGTAGTTTTATATATGGACATGGAAATATTAATCTGTCTTGACCAGCACATGTGGTGTGAATGCATCTGTGTGCCACATCACATTGCACCCTACAGATGTATGCAGTTAAGATGCCAAGTACACCCATGTAGCTCTGTGATCGATCGGCAGTGTCAAGTTATAGAAAAGGAGATTGGGTGTGAGAATTCAGAAAGGGAAGTGGAGGAGGTGTGTGTAGGTAGGGTGGAGCACTGCAGAGAGAAGGAAGGGGGCATTACAGGAAAGGCTGAGAACTAGTGAGTGCAAAATGTGAAAGGTAAGCTCAGTGAAGCTGAGCATGAGTGAAGAGAAGAGACAGACTCTCTGGAGAAGTAGATATAAACCAGGAAAGAAGGTGGGAGGGAACTTAGAACATTGCACCTAAGACTGATCTGAGAAGGGAGATACCTAGAATTGTAACTTTTTTTTTTTTTTTTTTTGGTTTTCTGAGGAAGGATTTCTTTGTAGTTTTGGAGCCTGTCCTGGCACTTGCTCTGTAGACCAGGCTGGCCTTGAACTCGCAGAGATCCGCCTATCTCTGTCTCCCGAGTGCTGGGATTAAAGGCGTGCGCCAACAATGTAATTGTATTTTAAGCATACATAACTCAGTCTTTAGAAAGGTGCTGGAATTATTCATAATTGTCAGAACACAGAAACAACCTAGATGCCCCTCATCTGAAGAACGGATAAAGAAAATGTACATTTACACAATGGAGTATCACTCAGCAGTAAGAAAAACAACAAAAGTCATGAAATTTGTAGGCAAATGTATGGAACTAGAATAAATCATCCCGAGTGGGGTAACCCAGACTCAGAAAGACAAACAAGGTATGTGCTCACTCATAAATGGAGATTAGATGTAAAGCAAAGGATAACCAGGCTACAATTCACAACTCTAGAGAAGCTAGGTAAAGCAATGACCCTACACGGGACATACATGGAGGGCCCCAGGAAGGGGCAGTGATTAAGATCCCATGGGTAAACTGGGAGGGAAGTAGAGGGAAAGGGAAGGAAAGGGGATCATGAGGGGTTGAGATGGCCGAGTAGGGGGAGATAAGGAGAAGGAGAACAATGAAAGAGATATCTTGATGGAGGGAGCCATTATGGGGTTAGGGAGAAACCTGGTGCTAGGGAAATTCCCAGGAACCCTCAAGGATGACTCCAGGTAAGACTCCTAGCAAGAGTAGAGAGGATGCCTGAACTGGCCTTCCCCTGTAATCAGGTTGGTGACCACCCTGTCATCATAGAACCTGCATTCAGTAATGGATGCAGTGATCCACAGCCTAGCACTGGACCAAGCTCCTGGAGTTAAGTTGAAGAGAGGGATGAGGGATCAAATGAGCAAGAGGGGTCAAGATCACGATGGGGCAACGCACAGAGACAGCTGAACTGAACTAGTAGGAGCTCCCGGAGCCTAGACTGACAGCTGGGGAAACTTCATAGGGTCAAACTAAGCCCTCTGGATGTGGGTGCCAGATGTGTGGCTTGATCTATTTGTGGAACCCCTGGCAGTGGGAACAGGACTTACACCAGATGCATGAACTGGCTTTTTGGAGCCCATTTCCTTGCTCAGCCTTGATACAGGGGGAAGAAGCCTGGCCCTGCCTTAATTTGGTATGCCAGACTTGGTTGGTTCCCCAAGGGAGGCCTTTACCCCTTTCTAAGGATGGGATGGGGATGGGGTCAGGGGGAGATGGGAGGCATGGGTAGGGGAGGAAGGGGAAACTGGGGTTGGTATGTAAAATAAAAACTTAAAAAAGTATGCTGGAGAGAGAAGGCATGGTAGATGAGGGTTTCACAAGAACTAGGAGGCCAAATCAAGAGTTAGAGTTGCAGGACAAGCAGAATTTAGCACTATTAGCACTTGCTTTAGCTTAAGTAGATGCTTCTCTCAGTACTACTTAGGACCCAACACTGGTATAGTACATTAGTGTACAATACAGCAAGGATAGACTGACTTCCTCTAAATAACTGAAGTAAAAAAAAAAAAAAGACTTGATTTTGGAGCAAAAAGGGAACCAACATTCAGGAGGATGTTAAGCAAAGACAACTCATGACTTCCTCTTACGAATATTCGGTAAAACACAGGTCTTTGTTAGCACATGTAGCTAGCTAGCAGAGGCCAAGGCTGTAGCTCCAGGGTCTGGGGTCTCCTTAAAGAGATAACACAGTGATAAATAGCAGACAGTATAATGGGGCTAGAAGGGGAATTACCCTGGGCTTCAGAGTATCTTTCCATTATTCTACTCCATAGCTGCTGTGACTAGTGTCTAAGGTGTGGTGAAGGACACGACTTAGGGGACACTTACCTTCTTGTGCCCAAATGGACTGTCCCAGGAAGACTGTTGGAAGAGAACCATTGAGGAAATTTAACCTTCTAGTATCCAACCTCTGGTACAGGTCTCTCTGCATAATGAGTTATGGAGTAAATCTCTCTCTCTCTCTCTCTCTCTCTCTCTCTCTATCTCTATCTCTATCTCTTCTACTCTGTGTGTTTGTGTGCTCTCTGTGGGTGTATGTGTGCCTGTCTATCTATTTATCTACCTACCCCTATTATTATCTACATAACTGTTATCAATACTAATTTTTTAGTTATCTATCATCTATTACCTTTCTATTATATATGCATGCATGCATGTATGCATCTATGTGTTGATCATCTCTACCTACTCATATAGCTATCATCTATTAATTATCTTTTATCTATTATTTGCAATCTATCAATCAATCTTCCGGTTAGTTTCAGTCATTTACTTATCACCCTTTTTTCTATAGACCATCTAGTTTTGTCTGTGGTGTATCATTTCTTCGATCTAACTCTGGCTTTCACATGTATGTTTGCATATCTGTAAGACTATTTTTTCCCCCCAAAATAACCAGTCTTGAGGGTTGCCCTTACATTTTCAGTCCCCCCATCTCTCTCTCCTCTCATGATGCTCAGCAGTCATCATGAAACCCCTATCTATTGTCTATGGGCTGTGGGCAAGACCCAGAGACAGAATGCTAAGGAGATTAGTCTATCCTCGGCTGCCACTTAACACCACCTAGCCTTCATGCCAAGAGAGGGTCTAGCTTTTATGGGAGTCCTGTCTTTCTTGCTAACCCATTTTCATTTCAGGACTCACCGAAACACAGGAAGGTGAAGTCCTGTGGAGCCATGTTGCTGATATGACCTCAGTCCAGTTAGCTTCCTGTCTGTGCGCATTTGCAGACAACAGACATTTGTGAAACAGTAGGACCCACAGGATTTCTAAACCTTCCGCTCCATGGGCAAAACAGTTCCTTTTTGAAAAGTTCTCAGTTCATCATGGGTGGACTCTTAGAAGAGACCAAGAACCCTGCTGTCTAAATTTCACACACAACACAATGTCTAGTAATGCTCAAATTCCATACTTTTCACCTGATCGTTAATTTTAATTTTTTTTCCTGGCAGGGTTTATTACGCAATCTTGGCTTCTTTGTCAAAAATCAGGTATCCATAGGTGTATGGATTAATGTCAGGGTCTTCTACTCAGTTTCATTGATTATTGTGCCTGTTTTATGCCCAAAACAAGCTGTTTTTATTTCTATAGCTCTATAGTATAGCTTGATGGCAAGGGTGATGATGCCTCTGGAAGTTCCTTTACTATACAGGATTGTTTTGACTATCCTGGCTTTTTTGTTTATACATGTGAAATTGAGCATTTTTCTTTTGAGTTCTGTGAAGAATTGTGCACTGAATCTGTAAGACTGCCATTTTTACTGTGTTGATCCTACCTCTTCAAGAGGATGGGAGAGCTTCCCATTTTTTATACATTCTTCAATTTCTTCCTTCAGAGATTTAAAATCTTGTCATTCATGTCTTTAACTTGTTTGGTTAAAGTTACACCAAGATATTTTATGTTATCTGTGGCTATTGTAAAGGGTAATGTTTCCTTAGTTTTTTTTTAACCCATTTATCATTTGTGTATAGGATGGCAACTTATTATTATTATTATTATTATTATTATTATTATTATTATTATTATTTTGCATTAATCTTGTATCCTGCCACATTGCTGAAGGTGTTTATTAGCTGCAGGAGTTTCCTGGTAGAATTTTTGTTTCACTTATGTAAACTATCATATCATCTGCAAACAGCAAAAATTTGATTTCTTCCTTTCCAATGTATATTCCCTTGATCTCCTTTTGTTATCTTACAGCTCTGGCAGATATGGTGAGAGTCAGAGCCTTGTCTTGTTCCTGATTTTGGCGGAATTGCTTTGGGGTCTCTCCATTTAGTTTGATGTTGACTGGTTGCTTGCTGTATATTGCCTTTATTATGTGTAGGAATGTTCCTTTAAGGCCTTTATCATGATTTTGTCAAGGGCTGTTTTAGCTTCTAATGTGATGATCATGTGATTTTTCTTTCAGTTTGTTTATATGGTGGATTATGTTGACAGATTTTCATATGTTATACTATCCCTGCATCTGTGGGATGATGCCTACTTGATCATGGTGGATAATTTTTTTTTTTTTGGTGTGTTCTTGGGTTCAGTTTGCCAGTATTTTATTGAGTATTTTTGCACCAATATTCATGAGAGAGATCCGTCTGTGATTCTCTTTCTTGTTGCATCTTTGTATGGTTTGGGTGTCAGGTGACTGTAGCCTCATAAAGAGTTTGCCCTCTTCTGGACTGCAGGCATACATGCAGACATAGCACTATGCATATTAGATATGTATCACTATTATTATTAGTTTTGGTCTTTTCATGGTATCCCAGGTTTCTTGGAGGTTTGTATTAAGAATTTGATGGATTGGGCATCCTTCATCATATCTTCCCCACCTTATATTCCATCTCTTGTATTCTGTTGGCTATGCTTGCATCTCTGGTTCATGTTTACTTACCTGGATTTTCCTTTTCCAGAATTCCCTTAGTTTGTGCTTTCTTTTGATGGGAGATGCCATTCTGTAAATACGTTTCTCTTATTGGTTAACGAATAAAGCACCGTTGGCCAATAGGAAAGCAAGATAGGTGGGGCTAGGAAACAAGGAGGATTCAGGAAGTAGAAGGGAGGAGATTCAAGATGGAGGATGGAGAGAACACCAGCCCCTCTCTCCAGTAAGATAAGACCACATGGAAATACTTAGATTATTAGAAATGGGTTAATAATTAAGACAAAGCTAGCCGATAATAAACAAGAAACTGGCAAACAGCATTTATATCAAATACAGCGTCTCTGTGTATTATTTGGGGCTGGTGCAGAGTGGTCCCAGGCCGGCAGGGAAAAATTACTCATAACATTATTTTTTGTCTTTATTTCAATTCTCAAGTCTTGAACTGTTTCTTCACCCGTTTGATTGGTTTTTTTTTTCTTTGCTTTCTTTAAGGGGTTTATTGATTTCTTCTAATTTTTTGTTTGTCTTTTTCTCCACTTTTTAAGGGAAATTTTCATTTCCTCTTCATCTTCATAAAGTTATTTTCATGGTCGTTTTCTTCTGCTTCATCTGTGTTGTCATGTTTCAGCCTTGCTGTTGCAGAACCACTAGGTTCTAGTGGCACAATATTGCTCTTTGTGTTATTTGCTGTATTCTTACACTCTCTTCTACCCATTTGGGCTTGGGGTAATTACAGATACTGGCATCGATTCTTCCTCCAATTGGTGCAGGTCGTGTCTACATCTCAGGGGCCCACTTTTCCTCCAATCAGTGCCGGTAGCTCCTGCGTCTTCGGGTAGCCTCTGATGCCACTTGGACTGCTGGTAGAGTGGCCAGGCTACTGTTGTAGCCTGTTGGGGCTCTTTCTCCAATCACTGCAGGTGGAGGTTGTGCTTTCAGGGGCCTCTGATGAGGCTGGAGATGGTGGTAGAGTGAGTGGCTTCTTCATCCAGTTGGTGCTGGTGGGGGATGACTCTGGGGACCTCTCTTGCAGCTGGAGATGGTGGTAGAGCGGCCTGGCTGCAGGAGATATGCTTGTTGACTGGCTGCTGGGTCTGGGATGTGTGGGGAAGGGGTGTAAGGAGTTACCCTGGACCCAGGGCCTAGAGACTGGGGCTGCCCACTTTGGAGAACAGCCAATCCCCATTCCTGCAGTCAGTGTAGGTAGGGGCTGTGCCTCTGGGGCCCTTTGATGTAGCTGCTGTGGTGGTGGAGCAGCCTGGTTGCAGGAGACTTCCCTGCTGACCAGATGCTGGGACTGGGATGGGCAGGGGAGTTTTATTTGATTTTTTATTAGTGCAGAGTTTTTGTTTTTTTCATGCAGGCCTAAATGCATCTCTTTCTTTTCTGCATTCTTGGAAGAGAACTTGGAATATGGAGACTTCAAATAAGATTACATCTGCAGGATACTCACAGTCCCTATAATCTTAACTCTTGGGAGGCTGAGGCAGGAAGACCACAAGTTGGAGGATACCTAGTATAACCCTGTTTCAAAAGAGCAAACAGTCGCATACACAAACCAGGATGCCTCTTACAGTCCATTCAGGAAAATGCAAATGAGTACATATGGGTAGTGTAATAGTTTGCTTTTGGCCAACTTGACACAAGATGCAATCATTTGAGAAGTGGGACTCTGAAATTACAAAATTTCATCCATGTGATTCCTATGGGCAAGTTTGTTGGGCATTTTCTTGATTCATGGTTGATGTGTGAAGGCCGAGACCTCTGTGAGTGGTGCCAGTTCTTGGCAGGTCATTCTGAAGTGTATAAGAATGCCAGATACACAAGGGATAAGGAACTATACAGTGTGTGGTGAATCCCCATGGCATCTGCTTCAGGTCCAGCCTCCAGTTTCTTGCCTTTGCTTCCCTCTGGATTTTGTCCTATAATTACTTAAGATACATAATTCAAATAAACCCTTTCCCCCACTTAGCTTTTGCTCATGGACTTTTATCCACAGTTCAGTGATTGTGTGAATCTTTCTAGGGAGGCATTAGCAAACATCTGATGATCCCAGGAAGGGCACCGATGACAGGTCAAAAAATGATTCACCAAGGTCTATTTCATTGAATTAATGAGTTTATTGTGATTAATTACAGGATCATGATTAGTGGATAAGTATTGGAGCATGGGTGACTCAAGGTGTCTATACCCCCAAATCCATGCCAGCATGGGTGGTGACCTTGTTTTTCTGGAGTGGAGCAGAGCAGAGAAGCAGTGGGCATCTCTGAGGGGAAACTCCCTTGAGGTGGAGCAGTAACAACTTTCGCCAGAGCAGGAGCAAACTGACATTTCCATGGGGGTTCCTCCATTAGCAGAGTGAATAAGAGAAATAACAGCCTTTGCCAGAGCGGATAAGCAATGGACATCTGTGCTGGAAAACTCCTTCAGTGGAGTGCAGCAGGGCTGATTGGTAAAGGCTCTCTCAGAAATGAGCAGGTTGCCACATTCCTGCAGGGAAATCATCCTCCACCAGAGCACAGCTGTGTGTATAACCTTGCTCCGGAGAGTCAGAATACCTTCTCTTCACAGATATGTGTGTAGCCTGGCTCCAGACAGAATACCTTTCTCTACACATCTGTAGGTAACCAGGATACGTTACCTTCACAACTATTGGTATAGCTTGAATTCGGACAGCATACCTGGCTCCCAAAAGTCAGGCATAGACGTTCAGGATATCTTCCCTTTATAGCTGTAGGTGCAGCCTGGCTCTCAACAGTCAAAACACCTTTCCCTTCAGAGATGTAACACTTGCAGTTACAGCTTCAAATACGCTTATAATTTATACCTAGTGAGGTTGTAGAGGTCTGCCAGAGAAAAATGAAATAGAGGCCAGTGGATTAAGCAATAGAGTTTGATTTCTATTGAGTTTGGAGTGAGGACCATAACATTTGCAAGTAAGGGAAAGCCGCTTTGAGAACCATATTATAATAATGGAGTGTGGTCCCAAATTTAGAGACTTGTGTCTTCAGATTTCATTGCATCTCTCAGTCTTCACTGGAGAAAGGGCTGTTGTATCCTCAGAAGACTTCCTCAAATCTTTCCCTGAGAACTCATGGTGCAAAGAAGACATTTCACCTCAACTTATCATTTCCTGATTTCCACGTACACACTGAGATCTGTGGAACATTTCTTGGGAATCTGGGAAATGGGAGTGGTCAGTTTTTGTTTGAAGTTCCTCTTCTCAATTTCTAAGTATGTTACTTCTTGCACGTCTTCTCTTTCAGGGTCCTGGAAGGAGGTAAATGTTAAGTGATGTTGTATGCACATAATCTTGCAGAGAATGAAGGAATATTTAACGGTATGGAAGCGGGCAGACTCAGGAGGACCTACCTGTCTGTTCAGGGTTGTTCTCACCTTTGGATCTTGATCTATGTTGGCTGCATTTTTAGGGGACACAAATAAACAAACACACACAATAAAGTGCTTCTTTGCTCACAGTTCAAATCCAAAGTACTAGTGAGGAATACGATAAAACCCAAGTTTGCACACCTTTAGCAAATTAGATGCATTTCTGCTGCCCTATGTTCACAGCCCTGTCCTGCACATGCTATATCCTAGTAATTCTTTCTCCCTTGCTTCCTTCCTCCATCCCTCCCCTACCCTCTCTCTTATAAAACCTCCTCCTAGATATTAGTGCATGCTTTGGATGTTAAATATGCAGAAGACACATTGCAGAATTAGTCAGTGGTCTGAGAGGTGAAGAGAAAAGCAAGGGCTCTCTTGCCTCTCTAGAAATCTCTACCTCGGCTTTCCCTGTTGGCCCAAGTACACTTTAGTAAATGAAGAACACACACCTGAATTCCTCCGGTCTTGCATTCTCACACTATGCAGAGGACGCTCACTGGCTTGTTCCTGAGACTTACTCTTTTTGGCAGAGAAACAAGAGCAAAGGAGGACGATGAGGGACACAGGGATCATGGCCACTGACAGCCCAATCACAACATTCTGGTTCTTGTGGTTATCTGGAGGAAGATGGGATGCCAGAAGAGGTACATCATGGGGTACTGATTTTGATAGATTGCATAAGATTTGTTGCTTGGAGGATAATTGATATAACATTTCTTTTAAGTCAAGAGTCTACATGGAGAACCTATTAATAATATTTTGCTCAATGGAAATAGTGACTCCTCATGACTTATGGTTGTATCCATATTTTAATGCATTTCTCAACTCTCAGCAGAGGAGTCTATATATGTGATAGATGGTGATTAATACAAATGCTCACAATGGGGCAAGTTGTGGAGAACAAAAGACTGTAGAAGTCTTGGCCCTAAATGAGATGTTTACATCTCATATCCTTTTCCAAAGGTTCAACATCATTAAAGAGATGGAAGAAGAGATTGCAAAAAAGAAAGCTGTGGATAACTATAAAGAAACTGTCTTCTGTACACCAAGGGCAGTTGAGTGTACGAACTTCACAAGAGGTTGTAATAGCATGCCCAAGAGACAGTACAAGACCAAGCTAGACAAATTCTCAGCATGGAGAGTGGAGATGGACATGAAGTCACACCCCTAGTCAAGTGGCTATGGACAATTGATAACTGTTTGGAGAACGGGTATCAGTTTTAGGATCATCGTTACTCATGAGCTGACCGTGCTTAAGTATAAGTTCACATGTCCAAGAGTATATGGACATTCTACCAGAGGCAGAAAAACTGCAGAACACATGTTCACTATCCCAATCTGAGCTTGATACCAGTGCTCAGTTAATTTGCTTAACAACTTGCAAATGTACAACACCCACAAGCCAAACAACAAATTCCCCCAAAGGGAGAAAATAAATTCAAGTCTATTCCATTACAGATATATATATATATATATATATATATATATATATATATATATGATCTTTCCTTCTGTTAGCTTGTTTCCTTTTTCACGCCCTAATACCCTCTCTCCAAGAGGAACATAACGAGAATGAACACTTCATTTTTTCCTGGGAAGGAAGTGAAATTTACTCTCCTTTTCACTTGTAGGAGGTCTCGGGTATAGTTCCCATACTTCTACAAATCTTCTGATGTTTCAGAGTTTAAGAATCAAAGATGAGAGATGATTATATTAAGACAACTGAGCTGTGAGGGAGCTGAGCCAAAACACGAGCCCAAGAGTTTTTGTCTCCAAGTTTCCACAATGGAGAAGAGGAATCAATTACTCACAAGTCTTGGACTTCGGTTCTGTGCACGAAGTACAGTTTCTTGATGAGTTTACTAAGAAGGGGAGAGGAAAGGAGAAAGTTAATAAAAAGCCTATCTACCTTCCCTGTAGGGAGAGTCCTTTGAATTTGGACAGTAAGCAGAACACACTCTACCTCTTAGTGCTGATGACTGAGAGTCATAGGATGCTATTAGGTGGTTTGCTTTGAGGTCTAGATTTCTAGTTGTGATGAGTCAATAGGGATACTGTGATGAGATCTATGTGAGGGAGAGATCAGGAGGGCTGCTCCATCTCTGAGATGACCAAACTGCAAGCTTATACCTAATGTGTCTGTCCTGATCTGTTTCTTTTTAATTTAATTTAGAAATGGTCTCATTTTATATATCAACCCCAGTTCCCTCTCCCTACTATCCTCCCAAGCCCCCCAATACCCCCATCCCACTCTCCAGCCACTCCCTAGGGAGAGTAAGGCCTTCCATGGGGAATCATCAAAGTCTGTCACATCATTTGGGGTAGGGCCTAGGCCTTCCCCATGGATCTAGGCTGAGAGATTTATTCCTAGTACACGAATGGACTTTGAGAGCCCATTCCCCTATGGAGGGACACTCTCTCAGCCTAGTTACATGGGGAAGGGCCCCATAGGCTGCCCAGGCCTCCTAACTGTCACCCACAATCAGGAGGCCTGGTTTGGTCCTATGCTGGTTCCCAGCTGTCAGACTGGATTCCATGAGCTCCCACTTGCTCAGCTGACTTGCTTCTTTTTATTTATTACATTCTCAAACTCAATGTCTTTCTAAAGAAGTTCTTAAGTGAAATTAAATTATCTCTTTCTCCCTTTCATCTCTCCAGACCCTCCCAGGTAAACGTTCTCCAAGCTTTTTCACACACTCCCTGAAGTTGTTAGCCTCTTTTGCTTTGAGTAATATTGTTAAGCGCGCATGTGTGCGTTCACACCCACACTTCCCCCTCCCAACACACAACAAAATGACTCCTAGAAACCCTTCTCTGTAGTTGCCTAAGGTACATTTTCTCTATCATCAGCAGGATGGCTCTCAGACATGGCTTTAGGATCTCATTAGTTACAATGCATGAGACATATCTGAGGCCTTCTTACCCGTGACAGAAAGGTAGAGGGGGTCACTTGGGGAAGACCACACGTGGAGGGAGTTCCTGAAAAAGCCATAGCATCTATAGTTTCCTTTCTGGATTACAGGACCAAGAAAGAAATTGGCCTGGAATGCCCCATTGTGACTCTGCACAGCAGGCTGCCCATGTCCATGAGGTACCCCTTCTCTGGACAGATGGAACATGTCAAACTGATGGTCTGAGATGCAGGCCAAGGTCATGTTCTCTTCTGACATCACTACAGGGCCCATCAGGGCTGCCAGGGAAGGTTTCTTGTATAAACCTGGAAGAAATGAGACAGAGACGGTTAGGGGGCATTTATCAGTGTTCATTATCTCCTAAGTGTTCTCTCTCCATGCTTACATTTCTGTGAGCTCTCTCTTTCTGCCCCATCTTTACCTTTCCTTCTTCTACCTTCCCATCTCTTCCCCTCTCTCTCTTTTCTGGGTCTCTGACTATAATCCTGTAACCATACATCCTACCCCAGGATTTTTTTTTTGATAGTTTCTGGCTCTCTATGCCTTGGTTCATTCCACCTGCCTGTTTATGTTTATTTTTATTAACATATATTAAATTTATGTAGCAGTAGAATTCATTATGAAATATAAACTTGTAAATATAATGTACTTTTTATAGTTGTTTTCATCAAAATTGAACTTAAAATGTAATTACATAATTTTATGGCCTCATTTTCTTTAAGTATTGTTATGTATATATTTATGTGTGTACTCTTGAGCATATTATGCTGTTATTCTCTCTTGTCCATCAACTTCCACTGATTTCATTCCTTTTCCTAATTTTTCTTCTTTATACTTTCGTTTCTTCCAAATGTTTTGTCAAAAAATCTGTGGGTTTAATTACAGATACTTATTTTTTAAAATTAGCATACAAAGTAAAGGACTTTATTATGACATCCTCATCCAGATCATTTTGTTCAAGGTAATTTTTTTATGGTATTTATTGAAAGCTAACACAGGAATCCATGAAGAATGGAAATTAAGAACCAGGGAAATGATGTGCAGAACAGGGCATTGGATGTGTCTGAACCCCTCCCACTGTATTGCCTTTTCTGGGCCTTACTCCCCACTTCATTTCATTTTTCATGGCACATGTGCATGCAAATGTGCGTGCACGCACGCACGCACACACACACACACACACACACACACACACACACCGTCTCTTCCAACGCCCCTCCTGGTTAATCTCCTTCTCCTCATGATTAGTTTCCAATTCAATGACTTATAACTCCATCCTATGTATATTAAAAATCTATTATCTTCATTCTAATATTCATTTTCTAACTCGTCTGTCCTTATACATATCTGTGCTAATGAACGTCTCTGTTCAAAGTACAGACTGTCCCACGAATGTGTTTGTTTCCCTCGAACACGGGCCATGATTGTCCACCCCACTTGTTCCTCTTCGCGTGTGTACCGCTCAAGTGTAATCTATCACCCATCTCTCTATCTTTGCTTTGAACACCCAACATTTGCCGTCATTTCTCCATCTCTACTTTGAAGCTTCTGCTCAAGCTTAGGACTTTTTACAGGCTTTCTCTTCCCACGCATGCCATGTTTACTATTTCCTTAGCCCTCTCTGTCTTCGAGTCTCTCTCACGGTCTCCCTGTCTGTCTTACTATTTGTATATTTTTCCATGTTTTGCATTATTTTTGTCTGCCAATCCCAGGGGGAACCAGTGTAGGATTGTTTTCTTCCATCCTAGAATGTCTGAATAACTTTGGGACATGGACTGACACGTTTGGAAATGTAGAGAACAGACAGTGATTGCTGGTCCACTCAATGACCCAGGGCTATGCTATTCTTTGATAAATAATTGGTCAAGCACAAGAATGGAAGAACTATCAAACTAGACATAAATTCTTTGGGTGCCATCTGCACCAAGGCCTCAGGACTCACGAAGAACCAGCCCCACTCAGCAGATAAACTCAGGTCAGACACATGATGTAAATATGTCTCTGGCAGATGTGTTTTAGAGGTAGAAGCAAATGAAATAATGAACTGTTTTGGAATTGAAAATTAGTAGAATGACATCATTGTCTCCGATTCACATCAAGCTCATTGAGTTGCCCTTTTCTCCTTCTTTACCTCTAGTTATGACTTTATTTATTTTTTTATTTTATATGTTGATCCAAGTTCCCTTTCCCTCTCTCCTTCCCTCCCTCTCTCCTTCCCTCGTACCCTTTCTGCCCCCTCACATGCACCCTTACCACCCTCCCCTCCCATCCCCCCACCCCAATTCCACATGTAGGGCAATACCATCCAGGTGGGGTCATGTAGACCTGTCAGGTCATTTGAAGTAGGGACTAGGACTTCTCTCCTGTCTCTAGATTAAGGCAGTTATCCCTCCACGGGGGATGTGTTCCCAAGGTCCTTTTGTGCACCAGGGATACATCCTGGTTCCACTGTCTGAGGTCCCTTAGTCTGCTCAGTCCTTCTGGCTGAGACCCATAGTTATGACTTTTTTTGACCTCCCTGTATCTGTGATTTACATTGTAACCACTGGTCTGTCTTTGTGTCTCTATTTTTCATCGTCTATGTCAGTAACTCATAAACGAAGGCTTCCTTTCTTTGTTTCCCACAGTCATCTTTCCCATGACTTCCCAGCATTTCCAGCCTATAGAATAACTGCTCTGCATCACAGGGAGGATGATGAGCAGGTAACACCCTCTTACCTGTGATCACTATGTCAACAGGGTCACTGGATTCGGACCACTCATATGGCGTGTGATTGTAAGAGCCATAACATTCGTAAGTCCCAGCATGGTCAGGTGTCACAGGTCTTATTGAGAAGTTGGCATGGGACCACCCAAAATGAGATTCTGCAAAATGCTGGAAAGATTCCTTGATTATTCCCTTTCTCTGTGAAGTCAGAATGAAGGTGTCGAACATAATCTCTGAATGACACTCCAGGCTCAGCTTCTCTCCTGAGTTTACCAGGGGAGTATGTGGGACCACAAGGAAAGGCTTCCTGTAGATTCCTAGAAATAAAGAGATTGCAATTATGAACCTGACTCCAATCTATGCATCCCTGAAAATCTATGCTTTTCCCCTTAACCTGTCCTTCCTGTCAGCCTGTCCTTCCTGTCAGTGTCCTTGTCTGTGTTTATATCAACTGTGTACACAGACCCCCTTTGTCTTTCTCTGACTTTCCCCTATTTACTTGGCTCTGGCAGCAACACAATATTTTACCATTGATTTGTCGGGAGAATGTTTCTGCTGAGTCTGTCTACCATAGCCTCTATTGTCCGTTTTTAAGTTTGGGGAATGCAGGCAGTATAGACAGCTTTATGCCAGGATCCTTCATGCATCATTTTAATGCTATTTTAGAATAAATATAATTCTTGGAATGATAATGAATGAGAAGTGAAGGTAGGTGTCAGTGAAACTCTTCTGGCCTTTTCCAGGGATCAATACTCTGTGAGGCATTCCTGATCTGGCATCATGAACTCTGTTTCCTGCCAACATGAATCACTATCATCCTGACTTTACTGCTCTCTGCTCATCCCTTCCATGGTTCTTACATTGCCTTTGACATGGATTTCTGTATTAGTCTCTAATCATCACCATGACAAATTATCACAAATATGGTTCTTAAAAGGGACACAAGTGTGCGGAAATCAGAATTCTGAAACGAGCCTAACTAGTAGAAATCAGTTATATGCAGTGATAGGTTACTTAGCAAATCCCTAGGGAAGGGTGCTTTTTGCCTTTCAGCCTCTAGAGGCCTTAAGCATTCCTTGGAATTTGGACCCTTTCTCCATCGTCAGAATTAGCAATAGGGTGTATCCCTCATAACACATTGTTCGTACACTAATGAATTTTTCATTATTTTGCTATATGAATCCTTGTGATTCTGCAGACCCACGATAATTCAGAACATTCTCTCATCCTGATGTCAGCCTGTTAATGCCCTAATTCAACCTTCAATTACCACTCCTTAACACTCATGAATCCTTAGCAATGGAAAGGGCATGCCCATGGGCTTATGATATGCCCATCATAGTATCTGATTCCCTGCTGAGACTGACTAAAACTTGTTCTGAAAATTCTAATGTGAGGTGATTTGGAGGAATGAAGCGACGCTTCAAACATGATTTCTGACCTGAAATTATGATTTTCAAAGGGTCACTGTGTGATGAGAGTTCACTAGTGCATCCATGGTTGTAATTATAGCATCTGTAGGTTCCTCCGTGTGCTGATGTCACAGGGCCCAAGAGAATGCTCTTCCAGAATATGTTTTCATAGACCTGAGGAATAGGGTCTCCAAGTTCTTTGTACAGCTTGAACATGCCAGACTGTCTATGAGAATCACATAGAAGATTCACACGCTGTCCCAATACAACAACAGGGCTTGGCCAGGCAGACAGTGAAGGCTTGTTATGGCTTCCTGAAGAAATCATACAGAAAAATCTTTAATGATCTCCCTGCATTCCTGAGAGTTGAGCTTCCAATTTTCAGTTCCTCAGGTAGCTTCAGTACAACAATTTTCTCTGAATTGAAACATCCATTTCAATTCAAGAATCTGAAAAGCTCAGGGCACTCAGTATGTAAACAAACATAATTACTAGAAAGCTGAAACTCACAAGATTCCTGCTCTATAGAAACAGTACGCCACCGGGCCTTCTGAATTCCAAAAGGAGATATCTGAGGCATTTTTAGCTGCCTACAGGTAGTACAGAGTGTTCTATGGGGCTTTCATGACAATTAACCACACTCAGTTCTGATATCAGCAATGCTTTTGAGTCATCCCTTGTTTGTGTAAATAATCCCTCATCCATATTGCTATTAGTAATCTCAGATTCACAAATTCACCTATTTAGACTTTGAGGCTATCATTGTTTGGTCTGTTCTGTTTCCTTTATGAGGAGAACAGATTTGCATGTGCTTTGTCTTCCCAAAGAAAGTCTCAAACACATACAATAAATCATTTTCATGTAATGGGTGTCCGCCACCTACCTCATACATCTTTGTGTGCTAAGATATGTTAACTGAGAATTTGAGTAAGTATTAAATAACAAAGTACATTTGGTCATGAAAAAATTGTAATCTAAAAAGAAATTATGTAAGATGAGTGCAAGAAAAGAGTCATTTGCGAGATGACAGATGGGAATAGTGTCCACTCAGGTAGCAGAACAGAAACATTCTTCATTCACACTCACTGACTCAAGAAATAAAACACCCAGGTTAGAATTACACTGTGAATATCCCAGACCTCAGGGTTGAGGGTGAGCTGGCCCACAGGACCAAAATATAAACAAATGACATCCAAACAGGAGGAACGAACCATTTGAACTACTCTGTCCCTTATGTACTCTTGTACAGAACTTCATTCACAGAGTTCATTTTGATTCGTCTTCTACACTAAGTGTGAGAAGTTATGGGCAGACATACAGTTTCTCCACCATTTCAAGGCCCCTTGTATATGAAACATTGAGAGTATAGAGTTTTTCTGCCACTTGGGTCACTTGGAGATAAGAAGCATTTGGACTCTTGACTGCCCAACCATGAATCTTGGCCATTGCTTTGTATCCAAATGGTGGATGTTCCTGAGGAAAGAGGCAATAGCAAAACATTGCAGTGAAGATCATATGGATTCCAGCCCGTGTGGGCACCTTGCAACACTGCCCAAACAGAGGAGATCATGGACCCCGGCAGGAAACTGTCCCTGATGTGGAGTGTGACTGGTGATATTATTGACCCAGGGAGTCAAGATAGCTATGGCATCTGATCTCAAAAACAGGAGAAATCATCAACAAGACCATTTCATCCGGGGCTGTAACCAATTTTCCCAACTTCATTCTCCGGTTGCGCCGAATGGTGAAGGGGTATTTACAACCGAAACTTTCTGCATGTGGCAGAGGCGGTGGGAACTAAAATCTAGCAGAGAACAACGGTGAGGCTCTGGTAGTAAACACAGGGGGAAAGGAAGGACTATGATTTCCATGACAAACAATTCATAGCAGTCTTTTTTAATGAAGTGACAGGATTGTGAGAAACCATGAACAAATATTTGGAGCTAGGAAGCACGGCTGATAGAGAGTATGTGGTGTTTTTCTTTACGGTTCTGGGTTATCTCACTTGGTATAATGTTTTCTAGTTCCATTTATTTTTCTCAACATTTCGTGGTCTCATTGTTATTTACCACTGCGGAGCATCTCAAGTGTACACGCCACACATTTTTGTTGTCCATTCATCAGCTGAAGGACATTCAGGTTGTTTTCTTGTCCTAGCTGTTGAAAATATACCTGCTGAAAAAAAAATGGCGGTGGTAGCATCCATGGCATAGGATATCATGTTTTATGGACACATGCCAATGGGTAAAAATGGCACAAATACAGTATGCAGAGGGCCATACAGCAGTGACAACTAGGATTTAATAAATCGACTCACTAGAAGTCATCGGAGAGTCCTACTTAGCAACGCTGACTCATCAATTGTTCTTGGGGACCCCCACTTGGCAAAGCCATGGGGATTTTGACAGTGAATGGTTTTCTGTGTGTTACTTTCTCACCATGGCTCCCTGATAATAACAGTTGTGGGGTTCTTTCCACAACCCATTGGTGGTGTGTTTTACACTTACTGGCACATGTATAGCTGTAGATGATGTAGAGGATGATTCTACCTAAGTTATAGAATACTGATGAACAGAAATAATACAGGAATATTTTCATAACTCGGACTGACATAGAAGAATTCTCAGCTACAAAGACAGTCTTTTACACATCTAGCCAAGACCTCAGCAGATCCCAAGTTGCCTGGTTGCCCCTAGAGAGAAATACACAAGGTCATTCTCCCAGGTATTGTTTACTGATTAGTCTGAACATACTCCTTACAACTCCATGTCAAGCTCACTAATTGTTATTGTTAAGTCTTGATTTCCAATGTCATTTTCTGTCTGGGAATGCTCACCAACATAGAGACACATGTAAAGGTCAATGTGACATTCCTAGCCCGAGAGATACTACATGACTTAATTTTGTTTTGAGTTTGGGTAGGTCCTTGTTAAACCACCTATAATTGTCCAGAGTGAGGAGGGGAGAAAGGAGAGACAGCAGAAAAGAGCAGGGACAGAAGGAGAGAGAGAGAGAGAGAGAGAGAGAGAGAGAGGGAGGGAGGGAGGGAGGAGAGGGCAATGTAGTGGGAGGCAGAGAGAATGTCAGAGACAACAGGGAAATAGTGGAGAGGCAGAGAGAGAAAGATGCAGATTAGTAAGGAAAAAGTTGTTGAATAGAGGATCAGGAGGAGAGCAAAAGAGACTGTCACAAGAAAATTATTTTTCTAGATGAAATAAAGAGAAAGTTGCCATCAGAAAGTGTCTGTGCTTCTTTACTATTTTAATCAGATAAAAAGATCTAACTATTAGATAAGATCTTTCCCCCAAGCTATTATCACATTCATGAATTTTCTTTGCATACCCTAGTGCTGACGGGGCTGAACCCTCATAGTTATGAATCATAGTACTCATGAGTGAAGGTCTCAAGAAATTAATTTTAAAAAGAAGACTGTTTTATAAAAGAAAAAGAAATGATCTAAGTATAGGAAAAAGACTGTCTAATTAGTCTATGAAATTTAGAAATGAATCGGTGAATAACAAACATTTGGCAATATCCATATTAAGTAAAGAATACAACTACTGAAATGGAAAATGTGTGGGTGAGCTTGCTGTCTAATCAGATAAAGGCTTCTGCTGCTGTACCCGACTCTCTGGATTCCATCGCTAGGACCCACATGGTTAAAGTAAAATACTGATGCAGAAGGTTGTTCACTGACCTACAAACTTGTGCCATATTACATGCACACACACACACACACACACACACACACACACACACACACACAGCACCTGTGTATACATGCTCACAGATGTGCCTCAAATAAATGCAAAATTTCAAAATGTTAATGGAATATTTCAATAGTATGCTTGGGTCAAGAAGATAATGAGTAAGCTTACATCAGGCACTATATAATCTGATGGGTAAATACAGAAAATGTGTAAATGTACAATAATAAGCATGATAGGAGTTTTGGATACCATCCTGGTACCAAGTTATCAGTCACACAAATTCAAGAAAGGACAAAGGATTTTAGAGGTTTTCTTGGGTGTGTAGGTGATGGGTGGGGCTAGGATACATTTAGGCAGGGAATGAACATAATTAAAATATATCATAAAATTGTCAAATAATTAATAAAATATCAACAAAGGATGCAACTAACAAAGCTAATCAACAGAAAAAAAAAACCTAGAGAAGAAAGTATAGAACACTGTTGAAACATGGTCAGGTCCAAGAAGGTCAAATGCCACAAAAGAAATTCAACCCAAATAGTCATGATCACAGAGTATATTATTATCATAGGATATCCTGAAATCAGAATGATAAGAGAAGCAAAGCACACACGAGGGATATTCCATACAACTAGTGGCAGGCTTCTGAGCAAAGATCTACAGGACTTAGTAGATCAAGAGGATGTATTCAATAAAGTAAGTGGTTTAAAAAAAAAGGCAGACTATAAATGTCAGCAACACTGTCCTTCAGAAATGGTGATAATGAAAATTTCAGAAAAACAGTAGCAGATAGTAGAGTTCACCATAAGCATAGAAAATGGCACAGAGGTCTTCAAGCTGAAATAAAAGGTTGCTAATGAGTCACATGAAAACATCTTTATGTAGAAAAAGTAAAAGTTGTTCACTAAAGAAGTTACAACAGCGTCCTGGTGCCACACAAATTCCATCTGTGGTATAGATGTTTGAAGGCAAAAATAATAATGTCAATGGTTTGTCAAGTGACATACAAATTAAAAAAACCCCACAAATTATCTCATATACAACATGAAAAATAGAAGACCCAGAGATGTATTAGGGCTCAAGCTTCAAGCTGAATATCAGAAAAGCAAAGCAGCCAGCCACTAGCTCTCACCTCTACCTCAGGCTGAAAGGGTTGATCCTGTCTCTATGAGCTCTTGCCAAGCTGCAGACTATAACCTCTCCTCCATGTGTCTGAAGAATGGAAAGTCTATGTGAGACTGCTTCTGTCTTATATACTTCCTTAATGTTGGCATTAAAGGTGTGAGCAATAATTATCTTTTAGACTGATTCAGTCTTGTGTAGATAGATCTCTCTGGCCTTGGACTCATAGTTACCTTCCCATCTTTTAATTCTGAGTCCTTGGATTAAAGGTGTGTACCACCTCCTAGCTTCTGGATGCTGGGATTAAAGGTGAATGCCTGGCTCCTATGGCCTGTGGCTGACTTTGCTTTAATAAAGCATAAACACAAATCTTACCACATTATCAAAATCTGAAAATTGTGGGGGTGGTCAGATGAGATTATAGCAAAGGGGAATATTTTTTTTTAATTTAAAAATATTGATTATCCTCAAGGTGTTATGGCCCACTCTTAATCATAGTGCTTGGGTGGCAGAGGCAGTCAGATATCTGTGTCCACTGGCAGCCTGGTCTATAAAGCGAGTTCTAGGCTAGTCAGAGCTACACAGAGAAAACCTGTCTTGAAAGGCCAAAAAATGTTTATCTGATGAGAGTTGGTGCCTAACTCAGCAGGGACAGTGTCTGCGATGATCTGGGAGAGAAAGGAGAGGGCGGTTCTCAGGTCCTAACTTTGCAGTTCGGAAGGCTCACCAATGAGTCACTCACAGAAACCACCAGCCAACACCCATAATGTCTGCTCTCTTGTTAAAATGCAGCCTATCTATTGGGATGGGTAGTTACTCAAGGTTTTAAGGATGGACTCACCTGCTTGTACCAATGTCCTCAGGACTGGGAAGAAGCCTGGAAAGAAAAATTCATGATGGGTGATCTATCTCCTTCCAATAGACTGGCCATCTGGTCTCCCCATCCCCATAATGCTTCTGTACAGTAGAATCAGAGATCACTTAAGTTAAGGTGAACTCTTGCATCAAAACCCACGACACAAACCAATGTTTCTGCTGTGGATGTATCCAGCCTCCTTAGACGATCTATCCACCTGTATTCCACACCCTTCATTCCAAGCAGGACTCACCAGTGCACACAAGGTTTAGGAGCACAGATAGCATGGTGCTGCTGCTTCAGCTGCCAAGAGATAGAATCAGAATGTCTCTTACAGGATGTCCTGAGAGGCTCGAAGCATCTACCTGACCACAGCAGAGAAGCTGAGAATCAGAGCACTTCCGTCCTCCCCCGTGTTTGTTGACCATTTTCCACACAGGACTTCTCTGTAGCCATGGCTGCACTTTGTAGGTAGGCTAGGCTGGCTTTAGATGTAATGGTCTACCTTAGAGTGCCCCCCATATGCTTGGATTAAAGGTGTGTATCCCCATAGGAGCCATTAAATGTGCCCATCCTTTTACTATGGCATCAGAGGACCAAACTTCTTGGAAATTGTTGACAATTGAGTTTGTCATTAACAGAATCAACCATGACTACAGCTACGTTGAATCATAGACCCAACACGTTTTTATTCCAAGTATTCAAATTTGATTATGGTGCTAAATATTTGCATATTGTTGCTTTTTTAAAATCTGAGGCTCAATGCATATATTGGTGTTCTGTGCAACATGTCCAATGAGTATTTATAGCTTAATATTCCTGTGTCAGGTTATATTTATTCGGTTTCTTGATTCATCGTGTAGGGTTTTTTTTCCCCTCTTTTTAGAATGATAAAGTTCCACTTCTTTGCAAAAATGAAAGAAATGAAGAAAGGGTGCTTTTTCTTTAACTGAAATTTAAGACCCAGCATTAAGATTCTTCAATATTTTTCATTTTGATTAATGTGTGAATATGTCCATGTCTGAATGAGTGTGTTCTGGTGATGTGTAAGGTCTGAAGTGGGCATTGATTGGATCCCCTGGAGCTGTAGTCACAGACAGTTGTAAGCCTCTGGGCTAGGCATTAAGAACTAACATTGTGTCCTGTGCAATACAGAACACACTCTTAACCACTGTGTGATCTCTCCAGCCCTGTACACTTAACAATCCTTTACCAAAAATCCCAGACATACATTTATTGTTTTGTATTGTTTCTCTTCATAGTTGAATGATTGACATAGAAATATCTGAGAATGTTTGATAGGTACAATTTGGCAAGCTGCTTTTGCATTTTCAGACATTATTATTTTTGAAGGCTTGTTCCTGACTTTATAGCACTTAGCCTTTAATTCAGTAGGACGTATTAAATACATCGAAGAGAACAAGAACTTGTAAGAAACCGCAAAAAAAACAAAAAACAAAACAAAACAAAAAAACCCAAACAAACAAAAAGAAGGGAACATTTGAAACAGGAGTAACTATTGGCTATTGGCTATTGGCTACACAAATTCTGGGAGTGTAATATGCAAAGGTAGCATTTATGCTCTTCTATATTTTATTGCATTGTTAGGCTTATTTTCTTACGCGTTACTCTACATTTTAAACTTAAAATTTTATCAAATAAATTATATTTATACCATTTTCTTTGTTTTGTTCCTCTCAACCTCTCCTGTATAGCTCTTTTGTTATCTCAAATACATCTTTACCTTTAATCATCTCTATGTATACACACACACACACACACACACACACACACACACACTCCTAAATACAAACACGATCTGATTAATTGGTATAATGTTATTTATATGCATCTAATTTTAGCGTTGACCGCACTGCTAGGAGATGCAATCTCGCAGCAAACTTCCTTTTCCTCTTGTTCTTACAACCCTCTCACTCCTTCTTGCAGGATGCTCTCAGCCTTAGGATCAGATGTTTGTTGTAGATGGATCAGCTGCAGCTGGACATTGCTCAGTTCACTTGTTCTCAGTATTTTTTATTGGTTTCAGTTTTTGTAACGGTGTTTGAGGCTAATTGAAGTTTCTTTTTTTTTGGTGCAAGAACTACATTTATCTGTAGACACAAGGAAAAGCATTTAGTTATTGAAATGCAGTTCCAAATTATACTTAATTAGTAAAGTGGCAGTTGTGGATTTCTCCAAAATCAATGACCTCACTAGCTTTGGATAGTTGGGCAGATTTCCAGAACCAAGCAATATTTCCTTGTATCTGAGAAGACCTTAAGTCCAGCTAGACAGCTAGTATCTACCTCCAAGATATATGTGCCACAATTCCATCCTTGGAATTATTGTGCCATGCAGGACATGAAGAGACTAAACAAGTCCTCAAACATTCATCTTCCTAAATGCTGAAGTATCAGCAATAGCTTCTTGGTAATTCTTGTAGATAAAAGGTCCGGTGTCACACAATGAATAGCTTTAAAATAATTACTGAGATATTGGGGAGATGGCTCAGTGATTGAAACATTATCCACCTATCATCTCCCTCTCTGGCATCTATCATGACTCTCTGCTCACCTATATAACTACTATTTATCAATCGATCACATTTTATCTACCGTCTTCAATCTATCAATAAACCTGCCATTCAGTCATTTATGTATTTGTTATTATCAAACTATGTTTGAATAAAATATATTTATCTATTGTATTTTTCTATAGGCCATTGATTTTTACCTGTCTGTCTCCCCTTTATCTTTCATTGATTTGTATATGCAAAAGCACCTTTGTACCAAAAATAAGCACAGTATTGAGAGTTACCTTTAAGTTTTCTGTCCCTCTGTCTCTCCTTTCCAGAAGTCCAGTAGACACCATGACACTCAGGCAGTAAGCCATTGATTGAATAGGGGCCCCAAGCTTCATAACTCAAGACCCAGTTACAGCCATCTCAGCAGAATTCTAAGGAGATTAGACTATCCTTGGCTAATAACATCATGATGTTTTCATATACAGTACCATGTTTTTTAAAATTTAATTTAATTTTTAAAAATTTATTATTTTTTTATTTTACATATCTATCCTAGTTCCCTCTCCCTCCCTCCCTCCTTCCCTCCCTTTCACCCTTCCTCCTCTCATGCCTCCCAAACCCCCTCCCATTCCATTCTCCCCACTCCATAGGGAAGGTGATGAATTGCAGGAGGGATCAACAAAATCTGTCAAGTCATTTGGAGTAGGGCCTAGGCCCTCCCTCCTGCCTCTAGGTTAAGGGAGTATCCCTCCATGGGGAATGTGCTCCCAAAGTCCTTTCCTGCACCAGGGATACATCCTGGTTCCACTGTCTGAGGTCCCTTCGACTGCTCAGGCCTTCTAACTGAGACCCACTTCAGGGGGTCTGAGTTGATAAAATGCTGGTTTCCCAGCTATCAGTCTGGGGGTCCATTAGCTCCCCTTTGTTCAGGTCAGCTGTCTTTGTGGGTTTCTGTAGCCTGGTCTTGCCCCCATTTTCTTATCACTCCTCCCTCTCTGCAACTGGATTCCAGGATTTTGGCTCAGTGTTTAGCTGTGGGTGTTTGCTTCTGTTTCCATCAGCTACTAGATGAGGGCTCTATGATGATGGATAAGTTAGTCATCAATCTCATTATCAGGGAAGGGCAATTAAAATAGCCTTTCCACTGTTGCTCAAATTGTTAGTTGGGGTCAGTCTTGTAGGTCTCTGGACATTTCTCTAGAGTCAGTTTTCTCTTCAAACCTATAATGGCTCCCTCTATTATGGTATCTCTCTCTCCTTTTTTATTTTTGCTCTCGTCTATTCCTCAATCTTCCTAGTCCCACATTTTCTCTCCTCTTCCCCTTCTCTTTCTCCTAACTCCATCTCTACTCACTTCCCCTCCCCCACACCCAATATGCTCAGGAGATCTTGTTCCTTTCCCCTTCTCTGAGGGACCTTCTAAGAATCTCTTAGGTTCCTCCCATTTCTTTAAGGGGTTTTTTCATATCCTCTTTGAGGGCCTCTATAATTTTCATGAAGTTGTTTTCAAGGTCATTGTCTTCTGCTTCATCTGCATTGTTGTGTTCAGGTCTTGTTGGTGTAGAGTCCTAGATTCTTGTGGTTTCATATTAGTCTTTCTATTATTGAATATGTTCTCGTACTGCCGTATTCCCATCCCTTCTTCCAGTGGGTGAAGGTCAGGTCTGTCTCTATTCTCTCTTCTCCCAGTGGTTGTAGGTGGGTCAGGAGTTTGATGTAAATCTGGATGGTCTCAAACAGAGGGTGTAGGTGGTCAAAGGTAGAGGTGAGGGCAGGCTCTGGATGATCTGGCATGTCGTGGTGGGTCCACTATGCGCAGAGCCAACCCAGGAAGTTCCAAGGAGAGGGTGGGGGTGTTGGACCTGAGCTGGCCAAATACCTCAAGCAGAGGATGTAGGAGGGCCAAGGCAGTGTCTGGATGGTGTGGAGTACCAGGGCAGGTCCTTCCTTGCAAAATTTTAAAACATGTACACACAGAGAGACACACATGAACCAAATAATGCAAGAATTTAAAACTCAGTAGAATTTTTCAATATTAGGTTTTACAAAATAGAAGAACTGATGAGTTTTGATCGTGCATTATTTAATCTGATGTGTGAAGAGAGAAACTCACTGAAAACTCAATAAAGTAGAACGACAGGGTCTATAATACCCTTTAAATGTCAAAATTTTAATTATGAATATTCAGTAAAGAGTAAAGGACCATGGAGGTTTAGTTGGGTTTCTAGTGGAGGGAGTAGACCTAGAAGGAGTTTGTGCAGGGTGATAAACATGATCACAACACGTTGCATGATATTCTCACAGGTTTTGTAAAATATCAACAGTGGACATAACAAAGCTTAACATTAGCAGAGGAACTTAGAGAAATAACTATAGAACAATTTTAAATTATGGAAAAAATGTAAATGTGCAGTTCCAAGAAGGTCACAGCACAGAGAAGAAATTCAACCCAAATAATCAAGTTCACAGAAAATATTATCATAAGAGATCTTGACATCAGAATAACAAAAGAATCAAATAAGATATGATGGCTAATGCAGACATCTGAGCAGAGCCCTGCAGTCCACTAGAGACCATGATGTATTCAATGAGGGGAGTGGGAGGAAAAAAAAAAACCTGAGTACAAATGTTGGCATCACTGTCCTTAAGAAATGAAGAACATGAAGATTTTCTTAGAAAAAATAGCAGTTGGGTATGGATATGATCAAAATACACATACATGTAAGGAACTGTCACGAGACCCATTATTTTATGTAATAGTATAATATATTATTCATGTATCCTGGAGCTTCGTGTTGATATGAAACTGTGAAATACTCAACATGGTCACACCCTCAAGTTATTTGGTAAAGGTTGGAAGGAGTGAAATGAAATAGACAACCACGAACTAAGAAAAAGGGTTTGATTTCTGTCCAGTGGGTAGCGAGGACCATAGGACTTGTTTGTAAAGGAAGAGCGCTTTCACAGTAGGAATAATGAAAATGTTCCCAAACTTAGAGACCTCTGTCTTCAGATTCCAGCTGTTGTTTCACTTCATCTATCAGTCTTTTCTGGAGAAATGGCTGCGGTCTCCAGAGAAGACTTCCCCAGATCACTGAGAACTCATGGGGTGCAGGGACTCTCCCATCATGGTGCATCATTTGCTCATTGTCATGTACACACTGGGGTAAGTGGAAAATTCCTCAGGAAACTGGGAAACCTTCGCGGTCAAGTTTTGTTTGAAGATAATCTGATCAAATTCTGTGTATGTCACTTCCTGAATTTCTTGTCTCTCAGGGTCCTAGAAAGAGGTAAGTTTTTTAATTAGTTATAATAATTGCATCATTTGTGTATTATTTTAAATATATATTTATTATTTTTTATTATTTTACATACTGATCCCAGTTCCCTCTCTTTCCTTCCCTCCCATTCCCCCTGACACCCTTCCAATCCCATCCTGCTCCACAGGGAGGGTGATGCCTTCCGGGAGGGATCATCAAAATCTGTCAAGTCATTTGGAGTAGGGTCTAGGCCCTCCCTCCTGCCTCTAGGTTAAGGGAGTATATCTCCATGGGGAACATGCCCCAAAGTCCTTTTGTGTACCAGGGATACATCCTGGTTCCACTGTCACAGGTCCCTTAGATTGCCCAGGCCTTCTAACTGAGACCCATGTTCAGGGGTCTGAGTTGGTCCAATGCTGGTTTCCCAGCTATTGATCTGGGGGCCCACGAGCTCCCCCTTGTTCAGGTCATGGTAAATGTTAAACCACATTGTACACACATATCCTTTCAGATTATGAAGGACTATTACGCTGTATGGAAGAGGGCAGACTTAGGAGGACCTACCTGTCTGTTCAGGCTTGTTCTCACTTCAGACTCTGGATCCATGTTGGCTGCATTTTTAGAGGACAGAAATAGTTAAACAGACAATAAAGCAGCCTGCATTCTCGTTTGAGATTCATTGTGCTAGAGAGAGGTATGTTAAAACCCAAGGTTGCTTGCTTTCCACACAGCAGAGTCAGGTGTTCTGCTTCTCTATGTTCACAATTCCATCCCACCCACGCTCTACCCTAATAATTCTCTCGAGCATTATCTGTCTCTTCCTTTGCCCATCTCTCTTGCAAAACTTCTCGTACATATTTGTGTATGCTACTGATGCGAGGATGCCGAATGTCCATTCAGGGATTTCTCAGTGATCTGGGATTTCAGGGGAAGAACAAGGGCTCTCTTGCCTCTCTAGAAAGCCCGGCCTCTGTTTCTCTGTCTTGGCCCAAGTACACTTTTGTAAATGAAGAACACACACCTGAATTCCTCCGGTCTTGCATTCTCACACTATGCAGATGACGCTCACTGGCTTGTTCCCGAGACTTACTCTTTTTGGCAGAGAAACAAGAGCAAAGGAGGACGATGAGGAACACAGGGATCATGGCCACTGACAGCCCAATCACAACATTCTGGTTCTTGTGGTTATCTGGAGGAAGATGTGAACCCAATAAGAGGTGCATCATGGGGTACTGATTTTGATAGATTGCCTAATTTCATTTATTTTTGCATAATTAACATACTATTTGTTTCAGGACAGGAATCCATGGAGAATATACTACCATTATTTTGCTAAATGGGTGGTGTCAAACTGACTCTCAATGACTTATCATTATACTCATATATTAGTGCATTTCTCACCTCAGCAGGTGAGCTTGTATTTTTGATTGATGGTAATTAATACAGATAGCAACAACTGACTAAGGTGCATAGAATAAGAGATTGTTTATTTCTTGTACATAAATTACACCTTTACATCCCATTTTCTTATGTTCAGGGAACATCGTGAAGAGATTTCAAAAAGAAGCTGTGGATAAATACAGGAAACGTGTCTCTGGACACAGTAGGGCATTTGTGTATATGAAATTCACAGTAAGTTGAGAGCATATGCCCATGACCAGTGTAAGCTCAAGCAGGACAAAATACAAGCATGGAGAGTGGAGGTGAACATGAAATCCTATACTTAACCAAGATGCTATATGCAATTGATAACTAATTGGAGGGGTGTCAGTTTTAGAAATGTTGTTACCAGTAAGTTGACTAGGCTCCAGCAGAAGGTCACACAGCCAAGAACATACCGGCATTATGCAGAATACTGGGTGCAAGTATCTCAATCCGAGCTTGATACAAATGCTCAGTTCATCTGCTTCGCAACTTACTTCTACAACACCCTTGAACAAAAACTCTAATTCTATTGTAGGAAAGAAGCGAAGTCAAGCCTATTTCTGCCAGAGACAGCTTTTAGAAAACAGAATCTTTTCTGCTTGCTTGCTTCCCTTTCCAGTCCCTATCATCTCCTCCCCAGGAGAAACAAAGCTAGAGTGAGCACTTCATTTATCCTGGAAGGTAATACAATTTAATTTTCTTTTCACTGGCAGGAAGTCTCAGGTACAGAAATTAGAGATGTGAACAGTCAATCCTTTTACTTTCTGTGATGCTGTAAAACACTTCCAATGTTATGAGTTTCAAAAATCAGAGAGGGGAGATGTCAATATTAAGACTACTGAGTCAGGAGGGAGCTAGACAAAAAAAAAAAAAAAAAAAAAAAAAAAAAGAACCAGAGTTTGGTCTCTACGTTTCCATGGTAGAGAAGATGAATCAGTTACACACTAGTTTGGAATCTGTTTCTATGCATGATTGAGATATCTTGTTGACACTCTCCTTGAATTTCAAGTCATTATCAGTCCATAGGAATACTGTCGGGAGAGCTGTGCTTTGCCCCAACTGATTTGAATCTCATTCCTTTTTTGTTTTCGTTTTTTTGAGACAAGGTTTCTCTGTGTAGCTTTGGAGCCTCTCCTGGAACTCACTCTGTAGCCCAGGCTGGCCTCAAACTCACAAAGATCTGTTTGCCTTTGCCTCCCTAGTGTTAGGATTAAAGGCGTGTGCCACCACCGCCAGGCTTGAACCTCATTCTTAATGAGTTGGTCCTGACCAGTTTCTGTATCTGCCTGGGTACATAGGTATCCCAATGTGGATATAAAGTTACGTAAGAAGTGTCTGCCATTTTGTAATCTCATACCAGGTCTCAAATTCCATGTCTTTTATAAAAGGCTTTCAGCTGAAATATATTTATGTCCCTTTCCCCTTCACCCTCCTGTTTCTAGTCCTTTCCATTTACTCTTCCTCCAAGCTTTCCCATATCCCCATACCTTTTTTGCATTGGTAGCCTTCTTTTTCTCTGATAATTATTGTTATATGTATTATATGTATGTGTACCCTCTCTCTCTCTCATTCCCCCCTCTCTCTACACACACACACACACACACACACACACACACACACACACACACACGGGAAGAGACAACAGAACACACAACAGTCCTTCTCTGTAGTTCCCCATGATTCTTACTCTCTATCATCAGTGTGAAGGTTCTCAGATAATCATTTAAGATTTTTTTTTAGTCACTAGACATGAGATATATCTGAGACTTTCTTACCTGTGACAGGAACGTATATATCTGAGACTTTCTTACTTGTGACAGGAACGTACAAGGGGTCACTTGGGGAAGACCACATGTGGGAGGAGTTCCTGAAAAAGCCATAGCATCTATAGTTCCCTTTATGGATTACAGGACCAAGAAAGAAATTGGCCTGGAATGCCCCATTGTGACTCTGCACAGCAGGCTGCCCATGTCCATGAGGTACCCCTTCTCTGGACAGATGGAACATGTCAAACTGATGGTCTGAGATGCAGGCCAAGGTCATGTTCTCTCCTGACATCACTACAGGGCCCATCAGGGCTGCCAGGGAAGGTTTCTTGTATAAACCTGGAAGAAATGAGACAGAGACAGTTAGGGGGGCATTTATCAGTGTTCATTATCTCCTAAGTGTTCTCTCTCCATGCTTACATTTTTCTGTGAGCTCTCTTTGCACTTTACCCTCTCCCCATCTTTATTTTTTATTTTTCCTCTTGTTTCTTTCTCTCTCTTCCATTCTGTGTTATCTTATTTAGTCTGTGACCTCACTCTGCCCTCAAATATTTTACCCCAATTTTTGCTTTCTTGACATTTTCTGCCTCTATTTGCATTTGTTCATCCTATCTGTCTTTTACAGTAATGTTTTTTTTTTTTTAACACACATTAGTTTTATCTAGCAATTGACTTTATTGTGAGGTATTCATATGCACATACAATGTATTTTCATAGTTATTCTGAAAATATGTCTTAGTTTTTGTAGTCAAACTATGTCTTCATCATTTTATGGTTGTTCTTTAAAAATTGTTATATATATTTATATGTATATAATATTGATCATATTAGTGACATTATTCTCTGTTGCCCCTCTACTTCCGCTGATCCCATTCATCTTCCTAATTGGGTTCCCTTTTACTTTCGAAAATTTCCAATTGTTTTGCAGGTCAATGGGTTACCGGAGTTCGTTTTAATTAGCATACAAAGTAATGGGCTTCATTATGACATCCCCATACACCCCCTTTGTTCAGTTCATTCCCACTTCCCTCGCTGATCCATTCCCTCCCTTTTATCCTCTTTCATGTCGTATTTCTTTCCCACCCCTCTGTGTTAATTTTTTTCTTCCTCTCATGGCCACCCTTCTGATTTCATGACCCATAACTTTTTTTAAAAGATTATTTTACATATTTTAAAAATCCTACATATTCTAAAAATCTAGAATCTGGTATCATTCCATTTTTCACTGTCATTCTCGTCCCTGTTTACAAATTCATGTTGATTAATCTCTGTTTTTAGAGCATGTTTGTTTCCCTTGAACAGTGCCCAGGATGACCTTTCCTTTCTTGTTCCCCTTATTGTGTGTACTGCCCAAGTGTGACTCATCATCTGCCTCCCAAGCACTTTCAATTTTGGCTTACACCTCTGTAAGAAGTCTACACATCGTGTATCTGACAAGCTTTGTGTTGAAATATTTAACATCTGCCATTACTTCTCCATCTCTACTTTCAGAGTTTCCTTTCAGGCTTCCATCTTTTTGTGATTTTTCTCTTCCCACACATGTTGTGTTTATTAATCTTTAGCCCTTCCTGGGTGCCACCTGTGTGAACGCTTAAGGACTCCTTAATAACCAGTCCAACTGAGCACATGGACTCAGGTCAGACACATGATCTGTCTGTCTCTCATGGTAGATGTATTATAGAGGTAGAAGCAAAAAACAAATTCTGAACTGAGAGTCTGAATGATAGTAGAAGACTTTGTTCTGCCTGATTCATATAATGCTCACTGAATTGTCATTTTCTGTTTATCCCTACCTCTGAATCCTTTGCACCCCCCTGTGTCTGTACTTTGCAGTGTGACCTATGGCCTGTTCTTGTAACAATGTTTTCCTTGTTTTATGACAGTAAAATACTCACCATGGATGTCTTTGTTTAAGTTTCCCACACTCATCTTCCCCATCATGTCCCAGGATTTTCAGTTTACAGAGTAAGAGCTTTGTATCACAAAGTAATGAAGAACAGATAACACCCTCTTACCTGTGATCTTTATGTCAATAGGGTCACTGGATTTGGACCACTCATATGGGGTATGATTGAAGGAACCATAACATATGTAATTCCAAGCATGGGCAGATGTCATAGGACCTATTGAAAAGATGGCATGGGACCCTCCAAGATGGGATTCTGTATAACAATTAATTATTTCCTTTCTTTGTGAAGTCAAAATGAAGGTGTCAAACATAATCTCTGAATGACACTCCAGGATCACCTTCTCTCCTGAATTGACCAGGGGTGTTTGTGGAGCCAAGAGGAAAGGCTTCTCGTAGATTCCTAAGAATAAAAAAGAAAATGTATGAACACGATCACACTCAGTGTCCTTGAAAACCTATGGTTCTCCCTTAAGAAGTCTGTTGTTCCTGTTAGAGCTCTGGTGCATTTGGTTGTGTATATTTCAACTTTGTATTCAGGCTTTGAAATATTCATGTGTAGATTTATCACTTATCTGGTTCTAGGATCAACACAATACTTTCCTGCTGGCTTGTGCTGAGAATGTGTCTTTTGAACTCTTCTTCCGTAGACTGTATTGTCCTTTTCTAAGTGTTGGGAGTGCAGGAAACATGACAATTTTCACACAAGACTGCTTTATGTGTCCTTTTTAATGCTAGGTTCAATAGAGTATAATCCTTAGCAGGATGAAAAAATTGTTATTGAGGATGTGCGACCTGGAAACTCTTCTGACCCTCTCTGTGGTTCAAATTTACTGTAATGTATCCCTGATCCAGAATCAAGAGTGTTGCTTCCTCCAAACTTGTTGATGTATTGGCATGTTGACTTTACTGCTCTCAGTGTATGCCCTCCCTGGCTCTTTTTTGTTCATTTAATTATTTATTTTAAAATATTTTAAAATTTATTATTTTTTATTATTTTACAGATCAATCCCAGTTCCCTCTCCCTCCATCCCATGCCCCCAACTCCCTCCCTTCCTATTCCCCACCCATTCCACAGGGAGGATGATGCCTTCCAGGAGGGATCATCAAAATCTGTCAAGTCATTTGGAGTAGGGTCTAGGCCCTCCCTCCTGTCTCCCTTAAGCTCCCTGGCTCTTAATTTGCCCTTTACTTGGTTTAAAAAATTAGTTTCCAATCACTACCATAACAAACTACCACAAATGTGATTCATAAAAAGAACACAAGTGTTCTGGAGATCAGAACCCTGAAAAGCTCAAATGGCCTAAATTTCATATCTTCAGGGAAAATTACTGCTCAAAGCACTAGGGAAATACCCATTTATTTCTACATTCCAGCTTCTACAGACCTCATGCATTCATTGATACTTAGAGTCTTCCTACACTGTCAGAGTTATCAATAGACTGTCTCCCTCATAATGGTTTGTTCTGCCAGCTACTGAATTTGTCCTTATTTTATGATATCAGTGCTAGTAGTTTTAAGGACCCAGGATAACTCAGGCTTTTCTTCCACTCTGATGTCAACTTGTTAAGATCCGAGTTCCATCTTCAATCCCAATTTTTCCTAGATTCATTTTACACTCAGGAAGACTTAGGGACTAGAAAGTACATGTCCTAGTGTATTGTATTGTGCCCAGGACATTATCCATTTCTCTGTTTTGAATATGCCTTTATAAATATAAACCTCTCACTAGCACCATTTAGACAATTACAGGGCTGAGGGATTTGTGGGAATGAAAAGTCACTTCACATATCATATCTGACCTGAAATTATGATCTTCAGAGGGTTACTTTGTGCTGCAGGTTTATTAGGGGATTGTCCATGAAAACCGTAGCATCTGTAGATTCCTGCATATGCTGGTGTTATTGGACCCAAGACAAGGCTCCTTTGGAAAAATCTTTCAGGGATTGGAGAGGTAGGATCTCCATTTTCTTTGTGCAACTTGAACACGTAAGACTCACTATGAGAGTCACATTGAAGTTCTACATGCTGTCCCTGTGGAACAACATGACTTGGCCAGATAGAGAGTGAAAGCTTGTCATGGCTTTCTGCAGAGACATGAGTAACATGTAACATGAGAACAGAGTAATATATGTAACGATTTTCCTTCAACCCTGAGATGTGATCCTCCAATCTTCACTTTGGGGATCCTTGCTGTAACAATTTTCTCTGCATTGAAACATTCCTGCTTCTCAGGGAAATGCAAATCAAAACAATTCTGAGATACCATCTTACTCCTGCCAGAATGACTAAAATTAGAAACACCAATGACAGCGTATGCTGGAGAGGATGTGGAGAAAGTGAACACGCGTACACTGCTGGTGGGATTGCAAATTCATTCAACCATTTTGGAGATCAGTATGGCAGTTCCTCTGGAAAATGTGAATCAGTCTACCACAGGACCTGGCAATTCCACTCTTAGGCATATACCCAAATGATCCACATCCATGCAACAAGGACATCTGTTCAACTATGTTCATAGCAGCATTATTTGTGATAGCAAGAACCTGGAAGCAACCTCGATGCTCCTCAATTAAAGAATGGATAAAGAAAATGTGGCAATTTACACAATGGAATACTACTCTGCAGAAAAAATAATGGAACCTTGAAATTCACAGGCAAATGGATGGAACTCGAAGAAACAGTCCTGAAGAAACCATCCTGAGTGAGGTAACCCAGTCACAAAAGATGAACATGGTATGTACTCACTCATATATGGATTTTAGACAGAGAGCCAAGGACCTCAAGCCTACAATTCACACTGCCAGAGAAACTAGGATACAAGGCTGAACCTAAGAAATTCATACAAGGTCTCTCACAGAAGGGGGAAGGAATAAGATCCCCTGAGCATATTGGGAGTGGGGGCAGTGAGTGGAGTGGGAGCTAGGGGTAAGAGAAGGGGAGGCAAACATATGGACTAGGAAGATGGAGTCAGGGAAAGAACAGAAAATAGCAAACAAAAACACAGAGAGAAATACAATAAAAGAGGGAGCCATTATAGGTTTGAAGAGAAAACTGACTCTAGAGAAATGTCCAGAGACCTACCAGGCTGACCCCAACTAACAATCTGAGCAACAGTGGAGAGGCTACCTTAAATACCTTTCCCTGATAATGAGATTGATGATTAACTTATCTATTATCATAGAGCCCTCATCTAGTATCTGCTGGAAACAGAAGCAGACACCCACAGCTAAACACTGAGCCAAAATCCTGGAATACAGATGCAGAGAGGAAGGAGTGATAAGAAAATGGGGTCAAGACCAAGCTACAGAAACCCACAGAGACGCTGACCTGAACAAGGAGGACCTCACGGACCCCCAGACTGATAGCTGGGAAACCATCATTGGACCTACTCAGACCCCCTGAACATGGGTCTCAGTTAGAAGGCCTGGGCAGTCTAAGGGACCTCCCTCTGACAGTGGAACCAGGATGTATCCCTGGTGAATGAAAGGACTTTGGGAGCACATTCCCCATGGAGGGATACTCCCCTAACCTAGAGGCAGAAGGGAGTGCCTAGACCCTACTCCAAATGACTTGACAGATTTTGATGATCCCTCCTGGAAGGCATCACCCTCCTTGTGGAGTGGGGAGGCATGGGAGGGAGGGAGAAGTAATTAAAAAAATAATAAAAAGAAAAATACTTAGAAAAGAAAATCCTACTTATATAATCAGCAAGACTATTTTTCAGAAATTAAGTATATAAAAATTTTCTCACAAAGATAGAAGCAGAGAAAATCCATCATAGTAAGCACAGGAAATTCTATGGAGTTTTTGAAGTTGAAAGAAAAGGCTGTTAATGAGTTACATGAAAATATATTCACGTAGAAAAAGTAGAAGTAGCTGACTAAAAGCAACCCATAATAAGATGTTACAATAATGTACTCATGGTACACAAATTATATCTGTAGAGCACATGGGTGAAGAAAATATAATCTCCTAAATTATTTGTAAAGTGCCATAAATATGTAAAAATTATAAATAATAACATCAAAATCTCAATATGTGTGGAGGTGTTCTGGAGAGGGTATAGCAAAAGGGAAGATACATTTTAATTAAAAATTGAAAGTTCACCAGGTGTTGTGACCCACACTAAATCATAGCATGTGAAAGGTAGAGGCAGGTGAATATCTGAGTCATGGGTAGCTTAATATACAAAGCACGTTCTAGGATAGTCATATCTCCACAGAAAAATCTGCATTGAAAAAGCAAAAAATAAAATTTACCTACCCCAGGCCAGTGTCTGGGACAATATGGGACAGATCTTCCAGGCTGGTTTGCAGCCTCCTAATTTTGCTATTTAGTGCACTCAGCAAGATATCACTCACAGAAGCCAACAGGTGAAACCCAGTGATTCCTGATCCCCAACTACAATGAAACATATCTATTGGGATGGATTTAGGATCCCCAAGTTTTAAGGATGGACTCACCACCTGCTTGTGCCAATGTTCTTTGGACTAGGAAGAAGCCTGGAAAGAAAAACTCATGATGGATGATCTATCTCCTTCCAATCACCTGGCCATCTGACACCCCTGCCCCTGATGGGCCTCTGTGCAGTAGAATTAGAGAGTATGTAGTTAAGATGAACTCATGCACTAATATCCACAATGGAAGCTTGTGTATCTGCTGTGGATAGATCCAGCCTTCTACAACAATATTCCCACCCTGTTATTCTACACCCTTCATTCCGTGCAAGACTCACCAGTACACATCAGCTTTAGGAGCACAGTCAGCATGGTGTTACTTTGACAGGCAAGACACAGAACCAGAATAAAACCTGTAGGATGTTTTGAAGAAGCTCGAGGTGTCTACCTGACCACAGCACGGAAACCTTACCAACAGACAACATCCGCGCTTACCCCCATGATTACTAAGTTTTCTGAGAGAATGTGTCTCTGTAGCCCTGTCTATTCTGGAATGCGCTTTCTAGGCCAGGCTGACTTTGAATTCAAACAGCATTAGCATCTGTTTCTCAAGTGCTTGGATTAAAGGTGTGTTTTCCAATACTAGGCTTTAAGAGAACTGCCCCCCCCTTTTTTTTTTTACCATGGCCTTGAGGACCAGAACTTCTTGGAAATTTCTCACCTCAGCTCTTAACCAACAGCATTAACCATGACTACAACTATGTTGCATTTTGGACCCACTGCCTTTATTCAACACGGTTAAGTTTGATTATTGTACTAAAACTTCTGATTTGTTTTGTTGCTTTCTAAATCTGAGACTCCATGCTTCTTCTGGTGTTCTGTGCAGCATGCCCAATGAGTATTAATCATGTTATAAGATCAATCCTAATGTGTCAGTCAAAACCACTATGCTGCCTGCCATTAATCCTGTGTCGGGTTGTAGTTATTCAAGTTCTTAGTTAATTGTGTAGTCATTTAGAATAATAAAATTCCACTTCTTAAAAAAACAAACATACAAAGCAAGTATGTTTTGCTTTACTTGAAATTGAAGACGTAATGTTTACCTTATATAAAAAATTCATTTTATAATATGTGTGAGCATATGCACGTTAGTTCTGGTGCATGGAAGGCCAGTAGAAGGCATTGATTGGATGCTCTGGCGCTGGAGTCGCAGGCAGTTGTGCACCTCCTGCTGGGGGCACTGGGAATTGAAGTTGGGTCCTCTGCAAGGACGGAAGTCACTTTTAACCTCTGAATGATCAATCTCTCCAGCCCTTACTTAACAATTCCTTACCCAAACCCCTGATATATTTATTACATGTGTTGCTTCATTTGTTGAGTGGCTGACAGAAATATGAGAATTTTTAATAGGTACAGTTTGACAACTTGTTTTAGCATATTTTCGGAAAATCTTGTTTTAAAAGATTCTTTCCTGACTCTACAGGACTTGTTCTTTATTTCGGAAGGACACATTATATTCTCATCAACGAACCTAGATATGAAACACCGTTATTCTTATTTTCAGATAAAATACATATTTAATAAATCTTTTGAATACCATCATGATGGTGAAATCACCTTAATTTCTTTTTTATTTAAAAAAATGTACTTTTCATTTTACATACCGTCCCAGTTCCCCCTCACTGCCTTCCTCTTGTTTCCATATCCATCCCCCATACCATCCTCATCCACTCCTCAGAGTGGATAAAGCCTTCTTGGAGAGTCAACAAAATCTGGTATACTAAATTAAGGCAGGACAGAGACACACCCATTTGTTAAGGCTGAGCAAGGTTTTCCACCACAGGGAATGGGCTTCAAAAAGCCAGTTCCTGCACCTGGCATAGGCCCTGTAAACAGCAATATTCTTATGATGTATTTCTAGAAGACTCTATCAGGGCCTAAGAAGCTGCAAGACATGGAAAACAATTGGGAACATTTAAAAAGGGACTGACTATTGGCCACACAAACCCTGTGTTGCCTTTCCAGATTTTCATTCACCATGAAACCCAGACAGAATGCTACGGGTTGAATAGAGGCAACCAATCCCCACCACTCCAGACACAGTTATAGCCACATCAGCAGAATGCCAATGAGACAAGGATCTCCTTGGCTGCCACTAAACTAAGCTATTTTTCCTGTTAAGTGACAGTTGAGCTTCTGCGGGAACCATTTCTTCTTTGACAATGCACTTTCATTAAGGACTCACTGAGATACAGGATGCAGTGTTCTGCGAGGCCAGATGCTGATAAAGCCTCAGCTCAGTCAGCTTCCTTTCTGTGTGCATTGAAATCAGCAGGTATTTGTGAGACATTAGGACCTACAGGATGTGTGAAGTTCAGTTCCTGACCACACATTTCTATATTTGTTACTTCACATGCAAAATAATCAGCTCTCTCTCTCTCTCTCTCTCTCTCTCTCTCTCTCTCTCTCTTGTGAAATACTTAGTTGATCTTATGTGGACACTTAGAATAAATAAAAAAAAACATCCTTCTATTTAAATTTCAAATATAATAGGATGACTTTCCTAAAATTGTCTAGTGGTGCTCAAATTCCTGTCTCTTTTTCACCTTTACTTTTAAAAAAAATTTTTTTCCCTGCCATCCTTTATTACGCTTGCCTAGGTTATGCCAGAATTCACTCATGAATCACAGACTTGTCTTACATGAGTCGCTTCTCCTCCACCCAGCCTGATGCTGGCAACACATGTGTGCACTACCCTTATCGTCTTTATTTTGCTTTTAGTGGAGAAACACTTTGTTTTATAGTTTCATTGTTGTGGGTGAAATACAAGGAGTGCATGTTTACAGTCAGCTTGTTTATTTCACCCATAAGCATTTACAAACATCCTATTCAGGAAGTAATGTCAGTATCTAAATATTGGGCAGGCCTCTTCACACCATTACGCTAAACAGGAATAATTTCCCCTAACATAGTAGACAAACTCTCTATGATTTAGACAAACTCTTCAGGCTCTGTCTTGAAGTGATTCTAGATTTCCGGAATTTGACATTTAAGTTAAAATTCGCACTACAGAAATGCCAAGCTGACGCTACCATTTACAAGCTTCCTGGTATGTTTGGAAACAAGTGTTGCCACTTTACCAGCTGCTCCTCTCTTGAGAATGTACCTGAAGGACTTTTCCTCATCAGCACACCGTGGATACGTTTGCATATTCCTATTTGCTGAGTCACCAGTTAATCGCAGCTGCTATGGGACCACTAGTATGATAGCCATGTCTTGTCCAGAGACCAGCAACTCACTTCGTTCCTTTTCATCATCTGGCTCTTACTGTCTTTTCACTGGTCCTCTTTTGTGATGTTCTCTGAAGCTTGGAAGGGGTTAATTATAGCGGTTCTGAGATGGCCGTTGATGGGAGAAGTCATTCTGTAAATACTTTTTTTTTTTTTTTTGGTTAATGAATAAAGTGCTGTTGGCCAATAGGAAAGCAAGATAGGCGGGACTAGGAGACGAGGAGGAGCCAAGGAAGTAGTAGGGAGGAGTCAAGATGAGAGACTGGAGAGAACAGAGGTCTGGGCCCTCTCTCCGGTAAGATGAGACCACGTGGGAATACTTAGATTAATAGAAATGGGTTAATACTTAAGGCAGAGCTAGCCGATAAGAAAGTAGAAACGGACCAACAGCTTTATATCTAATACAGCATCTCTGTGTGTTATTTGGGGTTGACAGGGGGGGGGGTTTAAGGACCAGACCGGCAGGAGAAAACCTACTCTTAACAGGCTCTTTTCCCTCTGTGTTGTTTTAGATCGCTTGGGCTGAAGTGTCTGAATTTGTTACTGGTCACCCCCCTCCCCCCACATCTGGTCTTCTTTCTACTTCTAGTTGTTTTTTCTGGTCTCTTATTACTTGGATATTTTAGCCACCATCCCTTATTCTTTGTTCCCTTATGCTCTCTTCATCTCTGTACCATACCTGTCTCTATAAGTTTCTTGGATCATTATAAAAGACATGTCATTAATTCTCTCTTTCTCTGACACACATACACACTCGCACGCAGTATGATTGTTTGTCAATATATCACAAAACTCAATGATTTTAGGCAAGCTAAAATTAATAAAAAGTTAAAAATAGAGAGGCATAATTTTTAATCTTGCTTCCACATATTGAAATATGCAATATTTATTTTGTGAATCTGGCTCACTATGATACACATAATGATTTCTAGTTGTGTAAATTTTCTTTTGAATGCTCTTAAATAGAACATTTCATTGTTGGTGTGTTAGGAGAATAAAGGTTCTTGTGGCCACTGACAACTAGGGCAACCAGGAATGTTAACCATGCATATGACCTGTTTTCCTCATAGGAGGCTGAGAATTCAGTGTGATTAATAGTCTTGCATTATTTGCTATTTGAAAGGTAAGTTAATATCAGCATACAAACAGGACCAGAGGTAGCTAGCAGTCTGTAAGTTCTCGGAAAGACCAGTCCATATATAGCTCCTACAATGATAACCACAGATACTTAATAGTCTAGATGTTGTTTACATTATCTTTATAGCCAGACTCTCCAGAACTAGGACCAGAGGTCACTATTAGCCCAAATTACTAAACTGTCTGTATGACTAAGAACATACAAGATCCTTCCATAGGCACTTAAACCAATGTTGGTAGCCTATCTTCTTGGAAGAAATGCTATGTATTCTGTGTTGAGTTTGATATCATCATATTTCCTTTTGAACTATGGATTTTATTATTCCAGGATTATTTTTTCTTCTCAAAGTATACTGTGCTTAAATATCCTTAATAAACTGCTTTGTGTCAGACTCCAGAATTTTGTACCAACCCAATGAACTAAGTCATGATGATCTGTTTCTTTACTGCCTCTGGAGGTTTATTTCTCTTATGCATGCAGCATACACAAGGATCCCCACAGCTGGCAACTACTGGGAAGTGCTAAGTCCTCAGAGAAGGTTAGAACAACTTCCTTTAAGTAGAAATTAGGGGTTCATGAATTGCTGGCCTCTGATGGAATGTTTCTCGACCATAAGTGAGAGAACAGAATTATCACAGGTTCTAATCAGTCCTATGAGACAAATAATTTTGTACAATTATTGTGTGTTTAATATCCAAAGTAGAAGTAAAAATATTCAGAAAAATAGCTCTGCAACTTTATTCACACAGACACCAGTGTATACAAACCTTATAATGAGGAGAGAAAATCTCTAGCAAGTATTTTGCAAGCTGAAGTACAGTATTTTTTTTTCTTGTACCCCCTCAGGAAAAAATGCAAAAGAAAAAAAGGAGAGATGAAGGGAGGGGAGGGAGTTGGAGTGGGTGTAAATTTTCTGATGGACACGTCTTGTCAGGTCTCAGCAGGGTGTTCCAAATTTACTTTGCAGCTGCTCAGATTCCGGGACGGCTAAATCCATTCAGGACTCACCTTCCCAAGTGATTTGGGTGTAACTATTTTCTCCAGCTACACAACTCTT